AAGTTCATTTTCTCTTCTGCAAGCAGTATTGGTATGCTTTCTGTTGAGCTAATATGAGTTAGTCTCGACCTGCTTATCTAATCTCTTATACATCAATGATTATGCAAGATAAGAGAAGGGAGTGTGAGACTCAGATCTAACAATCTTCAATAGCCCCAGTCCTATTCAAGAGTCGCTAGACGAAATCACCTCAATTAGGACAGAAGCTAAGGTATCATTGTTCCTATTTCAAATACTATCTAAAGGGGTGCTAACTCCCCCTTTTATTAGAGGACAACTCTAGAATTACATATCTGAGAATATTTTAAGTTGATATTTACCATGAACCAGACAGATCTGTATGAGTATTATCTGTCAAGTTACAAACACTTTCCCGGCTATATGACAAAGGAAATACCGTAATCTATCCAGCAAATTTCATTCTTAAACGAGCGCTCACATAACAACTTGGTGATCTAAAGATATACAGAATATCTACTTTCTATCTGGGGGGCTGGGATAATTTCAATGACAATTACATTCGATTTACGAAATCAAGCTAAGCAAAGCCTCAAAATTAATATTCTGGCATTATTTATTTCTTTCAAGTTTGATGTCTAGACTGTTCTGCTTCCGGAAGCGTGATGACGTGAGAGTTTCATCATTCACCAGCATAATAATCCGATAAGCCACAAACGTTTATCTGAAAGATGTATCAAGTTTCTGCTTTCAAATACTTTTCGGAGCCCAGGGTAAGATTTTTGGGCGCTCGATTAGACACTAGGGTGTTGGAGTTTGGTCTGAATATCAGCGAAGGGTAGAGAAAGATTGTTCGTGTTAAATAAAGAGTTGAAAATAAGCTAGTCAAACAAAAATATCTAGCTCATCTAGCTCTAATCTCATATTGATATTAAGTGTCTGATAAGCATCAAGACTACTTAGTCAGTGATCTTAGTGCATGTCTCCACATAGTATACACCTTGCGCATGCATGGACTAATTACTTTTCAACAATAGTATGTATCAACTGATGTGTGAGATATGTAGTTTGAGAGAGCTCTCCTCTCTTAAAATAGAGGGGGAAAAGCCCCTTGAAATAATATGAAAAAGCGCAACAATAAGACCTCAGCATCCGTCCTAGTTCAGGTAGTTTAATCCACTAACTTTGGTTCAAGACGGATGCTATTTTAGGTCATTAGATATGGGTCTCAGATGTTTTTGTCTTAAATAGCACAATTGTAAGATTCTATTCTTAAGATGGTTCACTTCTTCAGTATTCATAATGTTGCACTTGATAATTCACTCTTTTACTATATCAGTTTAGATAAGTTGTTCACTTCAGTATGTGAACGAACCTCACATATCTATAGTATTCTCAGAATCACCCCACACATATATTCTATGTTGTGTGTCATTTGCTTAAGTCACCTCTCTTATCAGTTAGAGTCACGTGATTAAGTTCACGACTAACTTCATCACAACAACAATTTACGATACACAAGGCACTGCGTAAGCAGGTTGAGATTGGCTCCCATTAGTTCACCAATAAGTGAAGCAGCTTTTAGAATGTATTGAGAGCTGTCTTTAATTTCTCGTCGCCTTAGACACCTCCATCGTCGATAGTACATCAATTGCTGCTACCATTCTGTTTATAATCGTTTCAGTTAACTCTTCTACCTCAATTGATGCCATCCAATTGATGGAAAACTTTAGTTCGATACCGAGATTAGGTAATCGCTCAATCATACATTTAGAGTGTCAGTACAGGTCTGTATGATGCCTACCTCTGTTCGATTCTGTTGGACTTTGCTGGATTCTGTCAAATTCTTTCCAATAGAAAGTCGAATTGTTTAGTATCTGCCATTGCAATCAATTTAATCTTAATTTACCTGATACTCCTAACTTAATCCTTTGATACTTAATTCCAGTCTGCAATGTTACACCTGGGTAGGATCCCCCTTTTCCTTTAATATATTATTCTGCGAAACACTTCTCTTCAAGAGACATGTATTACCTGATTATATTTTCTATCATTTCGAACCACGGCTGTACAGAGCTCGCATAAAAGAATAAATGCTTTACAATATCTCGATATTCAACAGTCTACGCGGCCATGTCTTCTCTGATACCCGTACAGAGCCTTTCTAATCGATGTATCCACTCCTATCTGTCCTTAGGGTGTTTCTCCGCATCCGCCTGGCTGATGTACGGTTCTATGTGGTGCGCTTCACTACTGGTTGAAGTCTTCGTCTTAAGAATGATTACTCAAACGAGACAATACGTGCAAATAAATCACCACCTAGTTCCATATCACACACATTTATGATCTCATTCACCGAACCAGTGATGTAGACTTAGTTTCGAATTTTGCTTCTTGTCTGTAACTTGACAGATGATACTCATATGGGTCTGTCTGGTTCATTGTAAATATCAACTTATAGTATACTCAGATATACAATTTTAGAGTTGTCCTCTGAATTCAGGGGAAGCTAAGCCCCTCCTTGTATAGTGACTCAGATATAGCAGGTAGCTATTGTAACCTGCTCATACATAGCGAAGATTTCGGGCGAGAGGCTAGGAGTGCAGATCCTTCAACTTCTCGATGTTCCAAGATCTGAGTCTCACACTCCTTTCTCTTATCTTGCATAATCAATAACGCATAAGAGATTAGATGATCACGTCGAGACTAGCTCATATTAGCTCAACAGTAAAAACAACTCTTGAAGTTGGTAAGTGGACATAATAGCTGATATGAAAATCAAGAGTTCCCTAATTGTTAGTGAAGTAGTGAGCCAATGAGAGAGGTACTTTCAGTTAAATCAATCTGCATTTACAGATGCACATAGCTTATCCAAAGACCATGAACTGTGCGGTAATATATGATCTGGTCCATCCGAAGCTAAACGTTATTGCTAAATGTATCAAGCGTTTTTTCTATGTTTACAATTACCTGCTTAAGCTACAATCGAATTACTTTTAGGTTTACCGCTTAAGGAAGAAGTAACTAATTGCTACTACTTGTCCATGCCGCTAGCCGAAAAACTATACTATCGAAAGAAAGCTTTGTATTCTCGGTGGCTCTGAAATTGTCCTAAATAGAGAGTTGCTCGAATGTTGAATACATCCAACTCTTTTTTCACTTTGTAGCATGTAAGAGCATACAATATTGGATGGTGACCCACGTCAAATGAAATAATGCAATAGTCAAAGTTTTTTCCTGAATCCCCTATCTATTCAAGATTGAGCGTTGAGACTGTCGAATCTGCGCGTCCTTTGCTTGCGCAGATTCGCAATCGCTATCCCACACGAATTTTGCGCGCGGTGGGCATGCATTATCACTAAGGTGTGAAATCAATGGATTACACGATTGCTTGATCAGCTGGACCATAGAGAATTTCTTGGTATACTCGGAGGAAGTTAGTTGCCGTTAACAATTTATTGCGGCTCTTCTCTATTTGTTGTGATGAAGCTAGTCGTGATTGAATCACGTGACTCTGACTGATAGAGAAGTTGACTTAAGCAAATGACACATTGTATAGAGTATATGTGATGTGTGCAAAAGTGATGAAGGATTGGATGGGACTTTTACAGGTCCACTTTGAGAATCATATAAATATGTGGGTTTCGTCCACATATTAAAGTGAACAACTTATCCAACTCATATAGTAGAAGAGTGAATTATTAACTACAACATTATCAATACTGAAGAAGTTAACCATCTTAAGAACAAATGTTACATCTTTCCTTGGAAAATTGTCTCTTTATTCGTTGATGCCACCTTTTTTTGAGGCCTGCATGTACGATCTTGCACTGTCACACAGTTCCGGACATTGGTAATCGCACTTTTTATCTCAGCAGGATGTGTGATATCTGATGAATAGAATATTAGATAACTTACCGATTACTCGACCTTTGCTTACAAGCTCGTGAGCGTGTATTTTAAGCAAACGAATAGTATCAAGCAAGCTAAATATTAACGAATTTCAAGTTGTAGGATTGATTCATAATCTATTAAGATGACACACTTCAGGGTTGTACGGAGTGTACCCAACCGTTGACTGATATTGGTGGTGTGGACCGTCTGTCTGTCTATAACTTGACAGATAGTGCTTATATAGGTCTGTCTGGCTCATGGTAGATATATCAACTTATAGTATTCTCAGATACACAGTTTTAGAGTTGTCTTCTGGCATAAGGAGGAGTTAAGCCTCTCCTTATAAAATAATTCAGATATGGCAGACAGCTGACGGATATCTATTATTAGCTGCGTATACATGGAGGAGGTTTTGGGCGAGAGGCTAATAGCGCAGATTCTTCAACTTCCCCGATGTCATGTTCCAAGGTCTGAGTCTCACACTCCTTTCTTTTATCTTGCATAATCAATAATGCATAAGAGATTAGGTAAGCAGGTTGAGACTAACTGATATTAGCTCATCAGTGTCATTTGCCTGATCGACACCAGCTATCTGTTGAAACCATGTAGGTAGCATATTTCGACTAAAAAAGTTTTAGCAAAATAAAGTTGAAATGCTGAATCCACGATATCGAAAAGTAACAAGGTTGACCAAAATTTCGCATGCTTCCCCTAGATGTTGTAAGGAGACTGACTCTTTGTTATCACGGGGGCCTGTCTAGATTTTAAACGGTCAGCCTTTTGCATACGAACGAACTTTTCCAAAGAAATCGACTTCGGGATCTGTTTCTCCAAAGGTGACCACATAGCAGGCATTTTCAAAGTCAGATAGAGGGCTATTGATTAAGAGAAGGCAAAATTAAACAAGCTGACCATAAGATTACATAAACATAAAGTTGATCTTCCCGGGTCGTAGTCTACTGTTGCAAACAATACTAATTAAAAAAAAAAGGCCTTTTACAGTCCTCAAGAGTTGTCTTGAAAAGAACTATCCAGAATTCAAAATATGGTGTTTACAGCCCCGGAAGCTACGATATTAGAACATCAGAATTAAGTCATTAGAATGAAAAAATGTTGAAATCATTTTGATGAAACTTGTCTTTGTGTCTTCAATATTTGTAAGTAGAGCCCGATCGTATATTCACCTGCTGTTGTTGGCCTGCATAATGGTGAGCTCTTGAATTTCTTTGGTTCGGCGGTCTCATTGGTACAGGTACTCCATTGGAGACGTTCTGACCTTGAGGAATTCCATATGCCATCTGTGGAACGTTTGGAGGGGGTTGATATAATGGAATAAATTGTGGTTGCTGAAATTGAGGAACAACAAAGGTCGGCTGAGGAATATGCATGTTATGTGGGTCCATTTGCAAGGTTTGCGGCATCATCATTGGCTGTGGCACGGGCTGGTGATGCTGTTGTTGAGGTGGAGGCGCCATGACAGGAAATGGTTGCGCAGCCATTTGATACATTCTTTTTTGCATTTGAGGAATACCCGCAGGATTGGAAATCCATTCTGGTTGCTTTGAAAATACCATTTTGTAAGACTCCTCGATGGTTGATGGCCATGTTGGTGGAGTAGCAAACGGTTTTTCAACATTTATTATAAAGACGTTCTTTGTCTCATTCTTATCCTCGTACTCTGTTCTTGCTTTCACCAAAATGTTGAACTTAGTATCGAACAAATCCAAATGGCGCCCTCCATCCTTTGGTTCTTGAGGTACCTTCCCCAAACCGAAAAACGAAAGGGGATCTTTCTTACTTTTTGCCTGAGGAGAAGGTAGCTGATCGGATGAATTCTGTACAGGAGAACCTCTTGATGAAGTGAAACTTGATGGCGAAAATGGTGCAGAGTTTGGGTTCATCTTGAAAGTAGGTGCAGTCCGCGGATCCATTTTCTTTTTACTTAGCAGAGGAGTAGGTGTCTTCGTACCGGCTGATTTGTCCTCTTTCGTAACCTTTGGATCCATTGTTACCTCATCCGATCCCATTCGTTTCTCGTGACGAGCCAAATCACTTGGTTCGGACTTTTGCATAATTTCTTGCTGTCTCTCCTTGTCTTTGGAGAGAATCGGCAGCAAATCAGGAGGCAGCTTAGAGGGAAGTTTGAAACTTGCAGCAAATTCTTTCAGTGAATTGATTTCATGCTGAACGTTTGCCTTGTGCAAATCTGTACTATGAGGAGGAGATACTGTAGAAGTCGATGTAGAATTGGAGCCTTTTTGCGCTTTTTGGGAATAAGAAAGATTGGGTAATTGTGACTCTCCTGATTTGGGACTCCGCTTCTTCTCAGTAGCTGAGCTAGCTACTATTGCTGGATCTCCATGAAAATTGGCAGCACGCTGTCTTGGAGGAACATACCTACCCGCTCCGATTGGTCTGAGTTCCGACTTGATATCTTTGGAGTTGGCTTTCAACATACCCATCAGCAGAGCATCCCCTTCATTTTGTGTATTGTTCTCTCTGGCAACTCCTGAATACTTATCTTCTTCATCAAAACCACTATCATCCACCAAAAGACCCCTTTCTTCGGCAAGATGAACATTGCCGTGGTGACTCTGACTTTCGATTTCCATTGCAATACGCTCGGCTTCCTTGAGCCTTTGCTGATAATCTGGAGCCTCTTTTGACAGTTTAGTGGTGTAAAGCTCTTCATTGTAAGTCGAATGTATCCCAAATTTTCGTTCATTCACTTCAAATTGATCCCAATGCCCATCACTGGACGTCTCTTCCAGCCCAACACTAAGACTTGAATCAAGTTCGTCATCTGGGACCCACTTTTGTAGTTCCCTTTCTTTGGAAACCGTTGCCGATGAAATGTCGGAGTCTGTTTTGAAACCTTTTGTCGGGGGCAAAGAGCTTGCATTTTGTAATTGTTCATGAGATGAAAACTTGACGTCTTCGAACTCAATCATGGCAATTTCTTTTTCCATGAATATCAGTGTTTCGGGAAGATGGGCATCCTCATATTCGATTTCGTCACCAGATAGCTTGTCCTTCAATTGTCGGGGATACTTCAGAATTATCGAGACACCACTCTCAGTAATATCTCCAGCCGTATACAACACTCCAACAAATTTCCTCCCAGAAAGTGATGTGACAACCACCCGACAGCCAATACTGCGGACGAGACCATATAAAAGCCTGTCATTCATATGTTTCGCGACCATGTCCGAGTCTTCAATATTTGTCAGGTGAGACTTTCCTGGATTTCCATTACCAGCAGATTGAGATCCTTGGATAATATTGCTTAGTCGCCGCTGACTGCTGGAGGTAGTAGTACTCAAGCCTAGCGATGGTGATGTTTGGTGGTGAATTGAATTCTTGGAACCAGTCCGGCGATGCTGATTTGTACTATTTGCTTTCAAGGCCGAAGATCCTCCACCTGGGGTACCTTTGGAAGCCATCTTTCTAACACAAAAAAGAAGCTATATGGAACTGCTAGTCTTTTCAGAAATCTCCTTTGACCTCGACCAGCCTTTGTCCTAATCCTTTTGTATGGATTTGGAGATAAAATCCAACGTTAAACAAGGTTATGTGCCCCGTTGCAATACAAAAACACAAAAAGTCAGTGCTCATAACGCAATCAGCTGAAATCTAAAATTTGCTGATTGGTTCTCATGGATAATTAAATAAATTAAATCGTTCAACAAGTAAATCTCTGTCATTACAAGACTTTAATAAAGGTTTGATTCGAGTGCTCACGATACCGCATTACTTTCTGCTACAAAATGAGACCAACTTATCCCGCATTCAACGCTGCTGTAAGTATTATGTGTTTGAACCACAATTGAACTAACCATATAAGAAATCCAGCTCGTTCATTAAGAGTATCCCTGTGGAACTTTATCCACTGTTTGCGGCATGTGGTGTTGCTTGTTGCTCCGCTATCTACTTCAGCTCAAAGAAGCTCAGGACTGATAAGACTCTGAAATTGGGTAGAAAAGTTCCTACCTTTGACGACAAGCTAGAAGAAGTTATCAGCAAACAAGAGTAATTTATCTATACAAGCTTTATACAAGTTCAAATATGCCATCCAAGGAGCACACTTCGCATGGTACGAAAATATAAGAGTCAACCAGAATACTCCCAAATTCACTCAATCAAATTTGTGTAGATTTGAGAAACATCGTCTATATCGTCAACGCTTCTCAAAAACTTTTCGTAATTTGCCCTGGTATCGCTGTCTGTAATCTTTGTTGCCATATCAGGAATTGGGATATAACCAATTTGCATTTCCTTTATTTTGTACAATTGCTTCAGGTGATTTCCAACTCTTCCAATGTCCGCCGGATCAGTAATCACCTCGACAAGGTTTGTCTCATCGTCCTCGACTTCGGAAACATCTTCACATCCCAGTTCAACAAGTGTTTCGAAGACGGTGTCAAAATCAGTATCTCCAATATCTATCAAAAGCATTCCTTTTTTTTCAAACATGTATCCTGTGGGTGTCATGCTGGTGTTGAATTTGTTGAAGCATGGTCGCAGATATCCAAGTGTTCGATTCTTGTTATCCGTGATGGCCTCAATCATCACAGCTACTCCTCCCGGAGCAATTCCCTCGTAAACGACGGTCTCCATTTTCTCAGATGTCTTGAGTTCACCAGTGCCCCTCTTCACCGCGTTTTCCAACACCTTTTTAGGAATATTCAAAGACTTCGCCTGATCTAAAGCATTACTTAGCTGAACATTTTGTGATAAATCAGAACCTCCTATCTTTGCCAACATTGTGATTTTAGACGACATCTTGAAGGAGATCGCTGCCTTGGCAGCATCATTTGCTGCCTTTTTATGTTTTATGTTGGCCCACTTACTATGGCCCGCATATAAAGAATGTGTGACGTGAATGAATCTAGTCAGTGGAGCTTTTATTATACGAAAATTCCTAGCTAAGTACATGCTTCCTGGCATTCAAAATATAAAATCGAATAGTCAAAAAAAAAAAAAGTAAACTGCTGCCAATTTCTAATTTTGTTGTTCACAAATTGAAGACTACCAAATTATGGACTCTAATAAAAACAGATCTTTAATTGCTGTAATTGGCGACGAAGATACAATTACAGGCATGCTATTGGCTGGTACGGGTCAAGTATCGAGTGAAGTAGGTAAAGAAAAGAATTTTTTGGTTTGCAATGACAACACAAAAGAAGATGAGCTTCAGTCCTACTTTAACCAGTTCGTCCAAAGGGATGATATTGCTATTTTATTGATCAATCAACACATTGCCGAGAAAATCAGACTGTCAATAGATACGTTTACCGATCCATTTCCCGCTATATTGGAGATCCCTTCCAAAGACCATCCTTATGACCCGGATAAAGATTCCGTTCTTAGACGAGTGAGAAGGCTATTCGGGGAATGATACCCCTGCGCAAGAAAGTTATCTTCTTACTGCCTGGATTTTTACAATCTATACCGAATAAAGTGTATCTACGGTTTTGAAGGAAATACAGTGTTTCTGACTTCATTTTCTTTTCTTGCCCTTCTTTTTCTTCGAAGAATTGTTAGCTGGCTTTCTGTCTGATGACTTCTCCTTCGTTTCGTCTTTAGCGACGTCCTTTTCCGTCGACGACTCGACGACTTTATTCTTTTCGCTGACTTCCCGAATGGAAGTTGATGCGCTATGGTCATCTTGCGCTTCTTCCTCAAGGATAGCATTATAGGATTCGTGTTGAGCCTCGTTTTTCACTGAGGGATTGGATTCAACTTGGCCTTCCTGGGCATTTGCTGCAACAGTTGCATTTTGGTGATCCTGAAATTCGCCATCGGGTGTCTCATCGACCTCTGTCGATACGGTGACTCCTGCAGGTCGATCAGATGCTTCTTCAACTACGGGAACAGCTTGAGCGCTTGCTTCTGCCGTGTTCAATTCATCCCCAGCTTTGGACTGCAATTCTAAGTCCGTTGCAGTAGTAGAATCGGATTTGTTGACGATTGGGGCGATATCTGCTCGATCTGGGATTGAATTGACGCGATTTGAATCAATTCCAATGTTTGTCTCAACAGCTGGAGCATCGGCTTCGGAATTGATGAAAGACGGTTCCTCAAACACATCTTTTGGATCTATTGTTGAACTTTTCACTGTGTCGTTGACAGCTTCGTGACCCACTTTCTCCACATTGTTGGAAACTTCCTGGTTGTCTGAATTCTGGGGCAGAGGCAATGATTGTCTTGATTTGGTCTCAAGCGATTCCGCAGTAGTCCAGAACTCCTTTTGTTTCCAAATCGGATTGTCCGAATCCAGGTAAAACTTGCTAACACCAACAATTCTTCTTTCAAGCTCGCATGCCTTCAGCCACTCTGGACGAATGATAGGTATGTTAAGAGTTTTAGCCTTTTCAAATTCTGAGCCCGTTTTCTCGGTACAAATAAATTGAGTAGTGTCTATTCTCACTTCTTTTGAAATAGGCTTTGCTCCGATTTTTTCGACAGATGATACGATGTCATCAAAAGAGAAAGGCTCGCTATCAAAGTTGATATCTCCCACGCAAACGTTGATTCCGCTCAAGTCGGTCATCTTGTGGGTCTTCAATTGAATAAGGTTGGAATAGTAGATTCCTGCAGTCGTTTCTAGTTTCAATCGAAATTCGTAGCTCGTATCAACAGGCAAACCACTCAGTTTGATATTCTTTCTTGTAAAAGGTGTTTTAATCTGTCCCAGCTTTGTACCATTTTTATACAGGGTGAGAGACTTCAATTCTGCGGTTCCCAACTCCAAAGGGTCCCATTCCAGAACACAGGACGTTTGCGTCACATTCAAGACTTTCAAACAGGGGTCCCTGGGCTCGCTCTTTCCGAAAGTGTTGAAAATCTCGTCTTGCAATCTGTCAAAATCAGCGTCTTCAATTTCTTCTTGCTTGAGATCTCTCTCGCAATTTATCTTGACAATTGAGCCTGTCGAAATTCCATCCGGTAGAAGAATAGTCGGAAATTCAATCAGATGGTGATCTTTCGTGAGAAGCAGAGCCAAAGACGCGTCTAATTTTCCGACTGTAAGCGACACTTCCACCATTGTATATGCTATAACTTGTACAATAATATTTGGTTCCTCAAATCTTTGAACACATCATGAGCTGCCAAATACATTTGAGGGTCAATAACATTTATGCTAGTCATCTATTTATTACGGAGTAAATAAAAAAACAAAAGTCGAAAGAGGAAAAATGATGCTCGATATCTCGGAAGGCTCTAAACTTTCTACTTCACCGATATCTGAGAACTTTTCTAGGCTTGATCCTCAAGTGGAAGATGAAAACGTTAACATCCGTTTTGCTAAAGTTCTAAAAGATTTCAGGCTCAATTTCGGTGAGCAAGATGTGAGCGATATCGTACGTGATTTCAAAGCATGCTCAGCACAAGAACTCCTCAAGGCATATGAACAAAGTTCGGACACGCGAATAATTGAGAACTGGATATTAGAAAGCCAGTTCTGGAATTTAATCGAGGTTCTTGAAAAGAAATTTACCAAGGAGTCTCAACAAGTTTTGTTTCCTGCTAGCAATGGGGGCGCAATAAGTAAATACACATCAGGAACACTTCTTTCTGATAAAATATTGACTGAACATCCTCATCTGTCTCAACTTTACTCCATTATCCAATGGTTATCCGAAAGTTTGAAGTTTAACTTGATTGATCGCGATGATATGCCTGAAAGCAGTTCTCTACCGGCTACAAAATGGTTGGCGACCAAAATGAAATTACAAACGGGTAAATACAATGGTATAAGCCCCAAATTTCTAGACGATGATTCCTTTTTGCGACTCCACTCTTCTAAAGGACTAGATTCAATTGACAAAGACAACGAAGACATTTTTTTCAGAATCGTGTATCACTTGTTGCTTCAAAATGAGCCAGAAAAGATTTCAGAGTTATGCGAAAACACAAACAATTGGACTTTCATATTAATACTCACCGGTGTGCAGAAACATTTTGACCCTCGTGTTGATTTAGATGACTATAATTCAAAGCCTTTAGGAATTATACATTCGACCGCTTGGAGGCAAACAATTTACAAGCTGACAAAGAGTGAAGCTTTAAACCCAAATGAGAAGGCGTGTTATGGGTTCCTATGTGGTGATGTGAGCTCTTGTGAATCTCAAGCAAACTCATGGGAGGCAAAATTGCTGATCTATTTGAATAATATGTTTCAATATGAGCTCGAGGAACATATGGCACTGGAAACAAAGCATCTTATGAAGTCTAATGCTCAGAATCTGCAATGTGTATCTTCTCTTCCTCCCAAGTACGCTGGTACGATCGTTGAAGTTCTCAATCTTTTAGCATCAGCAGAAAACGAGTGTGTCAGAGAACAAAGCAAGCATCCCTTGAGGGTATTGATGGGTTCAGTTATCTCTAACAATGTGAAGGAACTTATGAAAAATTGTCTGCGCGTATTACAAAATCTGCTAGCTGAGCCCATCCTCGATTTGAAGACTTTCGAGTTAACAAGTGATGCATACCTATTACGAGTCTTGGTTCATTTTGCTATAATTCTACAATTGATCTTTGGAGATGAAATTATCTCGCATGCTGACTACACACAATTGTTACAATCATATATTTCGAGGTTAACACTATATGAGCTTTATGATCTGATTCCGATTTATATCTCATTCATCCCGGATGACCATGATCTGGTAAATACATATTCCCACCTGCTATCACATTATCAACTTAGTGACTCACAAAGATTCAAACAGCTCAAAATTATGCAACAGCTCAATCTTCCTTTACAATCCGTTTTGAGAAACTCGGTTGCAGACTCATTCGATTCGACTAAACACCTTTACCAGGCAGAGAAGGAAATTCGGTTAAACTTTAAAATTGAAGAAGTTGACCGGAATCTCTATAATACAGCTTACTGGTTCTATGATGCGGGCATGATTAGTGATTGCATAGAGTCTCTCATCTCCTTGAGCAGGCGTTTTCTTCTGTGTGGAAAATTGCAAGCCTTTGTTGAAATGGTCGGTTTCATTAACTTGTCACAGGTGATTAAAGATTACAAATTCAATGTCGAGTCAGTTGATGGCTTCGAAAAACCAGATCTTGGTATATTCCGTGTGCAGGCTTTCAAGCTGAGTGAGCTCTTCCAGTATCAAGCTCTTGCGGGTAATTTTCGAGACTTATGGCAATTTGAAAAGGAACTGGCCGAGATGTCGGGCGATCGCGTCGTAGAAAAAGCCATTTCCATTTCATCTTCGTTAGAGACATTGGCCAAAACATTTCTTCTCGAATTATCAAAGGATCCTTTGATAACGACACAGGATTTAAGCGTCTATCATGAGATGAGACGCTTATACATCCCGACCATATTTGACAGGATGTTTGATATGCTGATGGCCTGTAGGGAACACTCAAGTGATCTACTTGTTGAGAGAGCAGTCAAAACTATCAGCATACTTGGGGCAAGTGAGTTTCACATTTACGAGATCTTCCAAAGCTCCAATGAGCTCATGCCCTTTCTCAAGAAGTATGCAAGTTTCAGCAGCGAAATTCTGTAATGTTATAATAGAATATAAAAGTAAATCTCATGCTATTGACGAAGCCTTCTCGTATAGGAGATCGACGACGCCCGACATAGTTTTAATCACATTCAAATTCAAATCATATGTTTCGTCCCGCTGAGGTTCATCGTAAATCACAAGCCATCCATTTCCCTGATCGAGAACACCAAAAAATGTCTTATCCAATATCATATTGCTCAATTTGGTTTCAATGATGTTTCTAGGTAGGCCGATCATTGCACTGATATGAGATATCTCAATACAGGAATAAGGCTCAATGAGCTTGAGCAAATTCCGTTGGAACAATGAGTCATACAAATCAGAGAGGTGAGACCTGATGATTGGATCTTCTGTAAGTTCGGCGTTGTAAGACTTCAAGCAATCTTCAAGCTCCTTGAGAGATCTATTGGAATGCGCCACAGAAACAGATTTCATGGCTTCAACTTCCTTCTCATGAGAAAATTTCGATATATTTTTGTTGTTCAAAAGGGATGTCACATCGTCAATTGATCCTAACATGATCTTGCACAAAAGCATGTATTTCAGTACCTTGATTGTCTTCTTCGGGTCAGTATGGATCTGATAGTTTTCAAAAGCTTCATAGAAGTAAGAGAATGCTGTGCTGAAATCTTTCTCTTCTGCATGTAAGACCCCACTAACCAAATCCAGTTCGGCTTGTAACGGTGATGGACAATAAATCGAATTAGCTGAGGTTCTAGCAGAAGTGATTGCAGCCTTAGATTTTGCATAGTTTTTTAGTTGAAAATAGTTTTTTGATTCCAAAAGCTGTACCTCCACTAAGGAGAACTTGTCGTCCAGCCTCTTGAATTCTTTGAGAAGTTCATTGATCCTTGCTAAGGAACTGTTGTACTCTTTACTTTTGTAAAAGAGAGAAGCTAGACGAATTTGCAACGATTGTCTCAAAAAACTTCTCTTTTCCTCAATAGCCCAATCAATACATTCTTGTGTCACCTTAATGGTGGCCGTGACTGCATCATCAAATTCGGAATGTTCAATGAGATCAATTAAATTCTTGATGATTTTGGCAGTCTTGGATTTCGCTAAAGAGCCCATCGTTTGACGTGCTTTGGAAACCAGCTGAACCAATTCCCCTTTCTTTCCTTGAAGGAGATAAAGCTCTCCCAACTCCTGTATTCCTGATTCTTGTGTTTCAATAAGTTTCTCATTTCTAATATGTGCGTCGACGATATTTGCGTCCAAAATTTCAGTATAGATTTGTTCCGCCTTCTTATAGTTCTTCTTTGTCACGGCCTCGCGGGCATCCTCTATCCTTGGAACAGTCATTAGAGTCAGTTGTCAATACTTCAGCCAAAGTCTTTTATGATAGACGAATAGGATTTTTTTTGTTGTCTTTTGCCACCGTAAATTTGTTTTCGCGAAGATGAAAACGGATGCTATCGAGTGACAAAAGATATTTACTATGTTCAAGATTGTGACTTTATCGTTGAAATAAGGTCAGCAGCACGATCTTCTACTTCCTTGGCTGCTACCTTATCTATCACATCGTCCAGTCTCTCGCCGTTAAGGCAACCTTCCAAATCGTACAATGTCAAACCGCACCTATGGTCTGTGAGTCGATTCTGAGGAAAGTTATATGTTCGGATTTTATCGCTCCTGTCGACAGAAGACACTTGACCGGTTCTTTGCTCTCTTTCTTTCGCCAATTTTTCGTTTAATTCTAGTTCTGCAAGTCTGGATCTCAGAATAATCATAGCTTTCTCCCTGTTTCTTAACTGAGAACGCTCATCTTGTATGCTCACGGTTATTCCAGTGGGAACATGAGTTATACGAACTGCAGATTCAGTAGTATTGACATGTTGTCCCCCTGAACCACTCGCACGCATGACATCGATTTTCAGTTCTCCCGGTTTAAACTTACGAACCTCAGGATCAGCATTGTTGTTTTCAATTTGAGGTAAGACCACCACTGCCGCAGCAGACGTGTGAACACGCCCTTTGTTTTCTGTTTCGGGTATCCTCTGGACGCGGTGAACTCCTGCTTCGTGTCTCATTCTCCCATATGACCCAGGCTGTTTAATTAATAGTGTAGCCTCCACCAATCCTCTACCTGACGAGTGTTCTGTTTTCGATTCTATGTTCGACGCCCATCCCCGTAATTGGCAATATTTGATGTACATTTCTAAAAGGTCTTCGGTAAATATGTTTGCCTCGTGTCCTCCTGCACCAGGACGTAATTCAATTAAACATGGCCTATCAGAGTAAGGGATCGGGGGAAGTAATTTGACTTTGAGATTTTCGGCAGTTTTTTCCAACTCAGCTTCAACGCCTTTGATTTCCAATTCGGCTTCTGAGATGAGAGATGGATCTTGATCCTTCTCAGTCAGGATCTCTTGAAGTTCGGAAATCTCCTTCACTAACTTCTCAATTTGATCATAAAGATCGACTGAATGAGTGAGGCTATTGAAATGCTTGGAATCATTTGGATTAAGAACTTCCCCATTAAGCATCTTATTTTCGAACTCCCGCAACTCATCTCTCAGTGACTTGGCTTTTTGGAGCAATAAAGGATGTAATGGAACAACGAATTCGAACTTATTTGTGGAGTAGAAAGCTCTAGCAGACAGATGAGAAAGTCTAAATCTATGGACTGCTCCTCCCCAAACACTGAAAGCAATCCTTTTCATTGAGTCGATTCTAGATCAAAAGCTTACAGTTCCTTCACAAACAGAGATTTCCTGAAAAAATACTCTGATTAAATATTTTTGAAGTCTGAAAAATTATAGATCAAGTAATTAAGTAACTAGGTAAAACGGATCTTGACGAGGTTTTCGTCCAAAAATGCTAAATGTTCAGTATCCAGCGAGAATCATATATATTGATGTTGTCATCCAATGACTTTCAAATGCAGAAGAATCACAAGATGTTCTTTTTCTTCATGTGATTGATAAACCACCATAACTGGGTGACCGTACTGACGACGAGAACTATAACTGTAAATATAGCGCAGATTGAAAAATTGCTCAAAATAGCCTCGTTTGTGTTCCTGAGTTTGCTTTCATCCGTTAGGAGTTGTCTCATCTGTGCAGTTAGTTGATCAATATCATTCTCAATTCTCAACAGCTCAGATTTAACGCTGCCAAGGTTCTTAGAGTTCTCCTCGTACGTTTTCAAAATTTCAGGGACACCAAACTTTATTGTCAGATAAGCATCAATGTTTTTTGGACTTGATCTCCATGACTGATCAATATTGATATTTTCAAAGCACAAATCAAAATATTCTGATTTGTAATCATCCTTGTGGTTGTACAATGGAAAGTCGACGACCATTTGAACATTCTGCTCTTGTAAATTGGTTTTTCGTCTAAGTGTGTTCCCATGTCTATCGATCACATTGATATTAAGTTGTTGTCTTCTTAATTCTATGGGTTTGTTGATTTCCATATCTAGTGAAATCAAAATGTTGGACATATCAAAGTACATCTCTTTCTCAGCCAGTTGTTCCACTTGGATATGATCTTTCAGGTGGTACCGTAAACACGTATTACTCGTGATATAGTCAGTCACTCTATTCTCAAACTGTTCGGTTAACAGTTGCCGTTCTTTTCGACTCAGTTTACTCGCCGAGTGAAGCCGGCTTTGATAGTCATTCACTGACTGAACGAGATCTATAGCGTTGCCAGCACTAGGGGGGACGGTAATCCCGAAGCGAAGCGCACCAACGGGATTAATGAGTGTAAGAACAATCAGGATGTTTATAAAGACTGTCGCACGGAAAAAGCCTAAAACTGAGACCTTTCTGAAACCAATATTTTTGTGTGTCGCCCCCCAAATCCTGTCTTTTCGTGTCCAGTTCTTGAATATTTGATGCAAATAGGTCAAAATTTGATGTTCCAAACTTAATACACTAATAACAGAAGATATTATAAACACAGATTTGGAGGAAGCATGTGTAGATGTCTTTATGAATGCCATTGGTGGCATTCTTGTCATTTGATTAGGTATTTCGAATTCTAGAATAAGCTTTAATGTTGAGGTATTGAGATTGAGCAGAAATTTGTTTGTTTAATAATCACTCGAAAATATTCAATATTTTGAAAAAGGATAAACAATCAAAACTTACTGAATTTAGAAACTGAGGTAGCGTTCCTCCGACAAAGATCCGTCATTAAAAGAATATGAATTAGCTTTGGTTTTTGTACCATATACTGCTTTATGATGAATATCTCATTTGACTTGGTTTATAGCTCGACTCAAAAGAACCCACAGTAAACATATATATATTACTTTCGACACCTGATCAGTACTATTTCTTACTCTCAATTGCTTGCAGCTGCTAAATTGGATCATGTAAACTCAGGTGGCATTACTTTCAACAAATTCCGAGATAGTTTAGTGGTTAGAATTCTCGCTTGTCACGCGGGAGACCCGGGTTCAATTCCCGGTCTCGGAGATTTTTTTGGTTTTATTGTATCTGATATTCAAGAATTGGGATTTACATTGAAACGTACCGAAATTCGACACCACAACATGTAAGTTTGTCATGACATTTGCATGCAAAGATTTAATACATTTTTGCTTAACGGCTTGGGCGAGCATCTCAGGGGCTGGTTCTGAGCAATACTCCATAAACACCAGATTCAATTGTATGTGTGCGCTCCCTTAAATTTTCTTCAAACAAAGCTTCACAAATGATTTGAAATTTAATTTATGAACCCGCATAATTAATTTTAAGCAAAAGCTTTTTTTTTTCCATCACTTATGGCACTCTTCAGGGTTTTGGGAGGCATATACCTGAGTTCAGTTGAGCCATTTGAGACGAATGAAGATATTTATGCTCAAGATGGAATTCGCGGAATTTTGTCTGTACAAAAACAGCCTATACCTGAACTTTACCGAACAGATCCATATATTCATCATCAAATACCTATAGACGACGACGACATAACTAATATAATCCAACATTTTCATACGGCTAACTCATTTATATGTTCTGTTATATTCAATGATTCAGAGATTACGCCATTAGCTGCAAAGTCCACGAAGCATCAATCGCATATTCTCATACACTGTAATGCTGGCTGTTCTAGATCAGTGACAATACTTGCAGGATTCTTGATGAAATATTACCAGATGACTTTGAATGTGGCTCTATACGCAATTAAGCGGATCAAGCCAGATATCAATCCCAGTGATAATTTTCTAAATCAATTGAGATTCTTCGCCTCTGTTGACTGTGAGGATAATTTAAGTGAGTTGATCAAGATTTCAAGCTACAAACAGCTTGTAATGGAATTAGGTCACCACAATTTTGCCGCTTTGGTGACGGACGATTATTTTTATAAGGATGTGAGGGAAAACCAAGATGCAGGAAGTGTACTACGGTGCAAAAGGTGCAGATGTTTACTTGCCAATTCATCTTCTTTCGTGCCTCACGAGCCTCCCTTTGAGAAAAATGATAAGCAAGCGTATTTCATCAAGAATGCGTATAAATCACATAGAATTAGGGACATACAGCGAGGTGCAAACGAATGTACTCACTATTTTGTGGAACCCTTGAAATGGATGCAACCTGAGCTGTCCCTGAGTGAACTAGAGGGAAAATTTTCTTGCCCAAGATGCAAAGCAAAAGTGGGAGCTTACTCTTGGAAGGGATCGCGATGCAGCTGTGGAAAGTGGATGGTTCCAGCAATCCACTTGCAGAAGGCTAAGGTGGACGAGTTTAAAGTGAAGAGTGTAATACTCGACAATGCAAGGGCCATCCCTAATTGATACCATTATGATCTCACTCAAGGGTCATTTCGTAGTCAGATGACTCATCAATCACATCGTTTACATTTCTCAACTCCGAGGATCTCAAACACGGACTATCTTGAAGTCTTAAATTACTGTGCGAGGGATAATATGGCGTCTGTGGTGAAGTATCTCCAGTTGCGGTATGCTCTCCAATATCACCCACAGAAATACCTCTTATCATGGTTGAGGCCGATGTTTGTGTGGTGAGAGTAGCAGAAGTCAAAGGACCTGAATTAGCTAGCACTTCATCTTGATTGGCAGCCGGTAGTGAGGACGTCGGCTGTTGTGTTCCATGTGGATCAAGTAAGATGCTGTGATCGTTTTGGTATTCTTCAGAAGCCATAAACTCTTCGGCACTGCTCATTGGATTATTTAGTTGTTCGTCTAAATCATCATCTTCGTTTGCTGTGAAATCTAGCCCGTTTATATCATTATCAGGGATCTGCACATCTAAGTCCAACTCGTGATCGTTGTGAAGGTGCAAAGAGTGGGTCAACTCTTCGACGCTGTTTCCAACAGCATTGTCTCCATCTTCTTCGTCATCAAAATCTCCCATTGCATCCCCACCTTCAAAATTGATGGGATCATCAGCAGTCTCCTGCTCATCAAGCATTTGCCTCATACATTTATCTACCCCTATTGGTTTGAGATAGTTGTATCCGAATTTTCCAAGTCTATTCAAATACTGTAAGTCATTCGTTAGATTGGCCCTTAAATACTCTAATGTAGAGTTATTTGCTTGATCTGAGGGCGAACTGAGAAAACTTGAATTATGATTAGGAGTTGTTATCGTGCCTGGATATGCTGGAGAGTAAGATGAAAGAGGAGGAAATTGCGTGGTTACAAGTTCAGAACTTGATCCTTGTGCATTGGTGGAATGCTTTATATTGGATTGAGATACCCAAACGTGATGTGCATCTCGTGGGAGAAGATTTGGTAAGTACATCGTAGTTCTTGATACCAATTAATGTGAGCGATAAAGTACAAAGCGCTCAAATTAAACAGTTATTAATATGTTTATGTTTTTTAGGTGTAAAATTATTTACAAGATGTTTCCTCACGATCTAGTTCCACATAAATTAGGCAGTCAAAGACCGGTCATCTGAATGGAAAGATCTATCCCACTGACCCTTTTTGTGTAACATGGCCAGCACAAGGACAACTGGAAGTTGCCAGATGGAGCTCCAGAACGTCTTTTTTGCATATTGGTTCGCCAAAGCTATGGCCTCATTACTTGGGCCACCTGCGGCTATAACCTTGCTGGAATGGTTAATTCTTTGCTGCCACCAGAACTTGAATGACATATAAGCCATCCAACCATTCAAAATACTCGAGTCAAACATGAAAAATGGATCGGTAACATTGTAGTAGCAAAGACCATAGCAAATTGGGAACATGAACAGGGAATATCTAAGTGCGACTCTGGCATTGAGTTTGGGATTTTCAAACGCTGTCATCACATATCCTGCACGCTTGTATTCATCGCGAATATTATGGCTCAAGGAGTTGAAATGTGGAAATTGCCAGGCATACAGGAGCAGAGCTAGACACCAAGCGCCTGGGTCACTCAAGCTAGAGCATGCGGCCCATCCCATCAGAGGAGGAATCGCACCAACAACGGCACCAACCCAGGTATTGAGAATTGATACACGCTTCAATGAGGTATAAATCCACGAGTAGAGGACGATGTTCAGCAGGCCGAGAATAGCAACTGTTGGATTCACACCGTAGTAAAGTATGCCACAACCTAACAAACCAGTAACTGAAGCAAATGCATACGCCTCTCTAGGGGTAACAGCACCACGTACAACAGGTCGAGCTTGCGTTCTTATCATCATTTTATCAAAGCCCGGCTCTCGGCCCATATTTATAGCATTAGCACTTCCCGAAGAAAGAAGTGTACCAATGGTCAAATATATGAACTCGGCGATATTAGTCGAGTGAGGAGCAAGAGCATAGGAGCAAATCGATGATAACATGATCAAAAATGTCAGATTTGGTTTGGTAAGTGCAAGATATGGGGCACATAGTTGCTTCAAGGTAAGCTTTTGGCCCTCGAATGCACGCTGAAGTACAGATGATTCAAATCTCCCCCCAGAAGACATCTTCGATTTCACTCCGAACGGTAAGTTCTGTCCATTAGTCTGTGGGTGGCATGCGAGCGTGCTTTTTGCAACCGATTTAAGCACATTTTTTGTATCTTCATCAACCAAAGCGATTTTCGATTTTGATGGATGCGCGAACGTTATATGCTTGTAATTTGGATCGAACTGTACATTTAGTTTGGAGCTCTTTTGGAGGTTCTCGTTTTGTTCAAAATCTGTTGTGACGTTACTTAGATGCTGATTTGAATAATAATAAAAGTGCCTGACTGATATGTGCCCAAAAAGAGCATTTGTTCTACGTGAACGTAGAAAAACATGAGTCAGTCTGCTACCAGGACCCTTGGAAGTCGGTACACCTGGAATGTGTAGGTTCCACATACCACGGAACTAAAATAGCGATCAAAACTGAGCCAATGCTGATAGCGTATTTTGAATGAATCGACTTTTTTTTTCAAGGTAAGTTCATCGCAGGGTAACTTGGACAGTTAAAAATCAAGATCTGTTCATACAGAATAGCCGAATGATAGTCGCCTATGTAATATATCTTACGTACTTGCTCTATGAATTCTCCGTCTCCACACCTTCCATTTCGTCGTCTTTCTTTTCTTTGATATCTTCGTCGGTGATAGACTTCAAGCTTTCGTTCGATTTTTTGTTTTGAATCTTATTTTCGATTAAATCGTTAAAAGCGATAATTGACCTCACCAAACTGCTGACGTATAAAATCATGAGCTCATCGTTAGTTTTCACGTTGAAGGCCGCGCTGAGACGTTTATTTTGGGACTCCTCCGATGATCCTTCCACTAAATCAGCAGAAAAAGCACCAAGATTTGGCAGTAAATTGAAGATATCCTGGAGCTTGCCAAGGATAACATGGTTGACTGGCAACTCACCGGTAGTAATCCTATTCAGATAGTTCACAATCGTGCTTAGTCGGTCTTTAAGGGAGATCAGAGATTTAAAATTGTTCGTCAGCCGAACGGACAAATTCCCACATGCTTGATCTCTTATATCTCTCAACAAATGTTCGACTCCAATCTCTTCAGCCTCCTCGGCTAATATGGTAGATGGTAGATGAACAAATGTTTTCTCGCTCGACGAACCATCTTCTTTGATTTCCTCAATTGAAACGTAAGAATCCGTCGGGATATCGATTTTATCTGTAGAATTCACATCAACGATCAAAAGTAGAGGGGACGGAGTGAATTTCTTGAAAATCTCATTAATCTTCAAGTCACTGCTCTTCAATTTGGGACCTGAATGATACCAGCCAATCAGTTTCTCTTTCGCACTGATTTTCTTGAACATGTCGAGCATATTTTCAATGAAATTGTGATCAAGAAACCAAATATCGGGACTGTTGACGTCCTCCTCAAAAGGAATCGCAAAAGAATTGGTGACTTTAATGGAACCCTTCTGAGTATTATCACCGAGAATTACTCCAACAACTCTTTTTGATGCTTGCGAAGAGCTTGCGGATGTGGATTTCATCACACGTTCATAATGGTCCACAACAGATAGAAGCACAAGAGGTGCCACACTGACATTAGTGGACAGTAAATTGGTTGAACCCGATGAGGAAACAGGAGACATTGAATTATACAAAGATCTTAATTTGTGTGTTTCCAGTTTTTGGTGGCAAACCACGATATTGTCACATCCCTGCACAAGTGGCTCGTGATTTATATCACGTGCCCCAGATATATTATTAGATCTAACTCTGGTTTGATTGATTGACACTAGGTAACCGACTGGCCGGAGGTTTGGAAAAGCAGCTTCACGAGTCACTCGGTAGAGGAGGTAGGGAATCACGGCGCTTATTAAATTTAATATTTTCTCAAAAGAGAGACGATGTAATTGTTTTTGAGTCTATCTGAGAATAAATCCGACTCAAGTTCATATTCACGACTCTATTTCAAGGTCTTATGTGCACCGGAAAGTCGTTTTCACCAGACTCAACCTAACTAGAACGAGGTTTGAGGTTACCTTAAAGTTTATCAAACAGGATATACTCCTCGCACCTGATAATATCGAGTGTTAGCACATGCGATTGGGTTTCAACAATTAAAAACATTTTTAGATCGCGTGACTGTCTGAATTTAAGATCAATGTTCCTCAATTCCCGAACCAGTATTCAGGCTTGCACGAGCTTGAATAAGCCGCTAACACGTGCTTCAACCAATGCATCTATCAACCAGCAAAGGGCGTACTATTACGCTTTTCCCAAAATACCGCGTCCAAAGAGAAACATTTTGTATTACAAGGCTACCTCGATATCAATTGTTGCTTCTTTTAAACAGCCTTTAATCAAGTCTATTGGCAATCGATATGGGTTGCCGGTAAGGAAGAACTTCATTGCGAGCACTAAAAAGCTATTTGGTAAAAGGCAGTATGGTACGAAGGCTGTTTCATCCAAAAAATCAAGACGTGTTCCCTTTCGCTCGTGGTTCACCTTGACTACTATATCAGTCATCTTTTTTGGAGTGGTAGCCAGGTATTCATTTGATGAAGATGTAGGGGAAGGCGGAGACGAAGATAAAAAGGCACACGATATTGGTTCATGGCCTTTGTACATATATTCTCGATTACCTTTGAATTCGCTATCTCGACTCTGGGGCCAAGTGAACAACATCGAACTACCCATTTGGATGAGGGAGCCAGGGTTCAGGTTTTATTCAGCATTATTTGGAGTGAATCTGGAGGAGATGCAAGATCCCGATTTTAAGCATTATAAAAATCTGGGCGAATTTTTCTCCAGGTCAATCAAACCAGAGGCGAGACCCATTGACAATACCGCTTTGCTCTGCTCGCCATGCGATGGAAAGGTTTTGAAATTTGGTGCCGTGGGAGATGACGGCGGGATCGAGCAAGTCAAAGGTATCACATATAAAGTTGGTTCCCTATTGGGAACCAGAAATTCTCCTCGGTTGGCAGCTCCTCAGCATGAAATCCAATTAGATAAGAGTGCAAGAGAGTCAGAATTTATAGATTTACATGGAGGTGAAAAAACTCTCAATTACCAACACGAAGGAGATCAGTCGCTGTCTCACCCCTCAACTTCTGATATACTGACAGTTACCAAGTCGCTTTTAGGGCCATCCAGTCACAAACATGGTAGTGAATTATATTATGCAGTGATATATCTCGCTCCAGGTGATTATCATCGTTTCCATTCGCCGGTCGAATGGGTTGCAACCCTAAGAAGACATTTTGTGGGCGAGTTGTATTCAGTTGCACCATATTTTCAAAGAACACTCCAAAATCTTTTCATTTTGAATGAGCGTGTGGCAGTCCTTGGGTACTGGAAGTATGGCTTTTTTAGTATGACTCCTGTTGGGGCAACTAATGTCGGCTCGATCAAATTGAACTTTGATACTCATCTTGCAACTAACGAAGCATATGAGCACGAGCTCTATTCTAAGAGTGAACTAAGAGAAGCCATCAGAGAAAAGGACAGCGTACAGGAAAAAAAGAAGCCCAAGAAGAACACCTGCTACGAAGCGACCTACGCAAAAGCGTCTTCATTACTTCATGGGATACCTCTGTTTAGAGGGGAAGAAATGGGGACTTTCAAGCTTGGATCTACAATCGTCCTGGTCTTTGAAGCACCCTCAGACTTTAGATTTACCTTGAAAGAAAACCAAACCGTGAGAATGGGTCAGTGCATCGGGAAGTTAGAGGAATGAAGGGGTTTATTGTGGTGAGTACTATATTCGAGGTCGACAGCCATCTTAAATTTTCCATAAAAGCTGGCTGTGTAAGTACGGGTTTCGATTTGAATTTAGACGATGAATCCGAAAAATTCAGTAGACCAAGAAAAAAAAAATAAGAGTACTTACGACGGAATATCTTCAGATCATTAATTTCAGTCATGTTTGCTTCGCTTGCTCCTTGGAACTCCGAATTTTCAAGTGCTGTAGCGGCGGAACTTGAGAGTGAACCATTCGTAACATTTTCTTTGGCTAATGTGGATCGAAACGGATTGCCACATACTAGAACTTGTGTTTACAGAGGCTTCTTATTTGATGACGCAAAAACCAACATTTTACTATTCACTTGTGATAAGAGATCTTCCAAGTATAAGGACCTGATAGCGAATGCCAATTTCGAAGCATGCTTCTATTTTCATAAGCTTCACAAGCAATTCAGGTTCAGTGGAGCTGCAAGAGTGATCACAGACGATCAATACCCGATTATAAGTTTCAACAAAGCCAAGTTGGCTATGAAACTTCAAGAACAAAACGTCAATCAAGAAAATGGAAATAAAGAAGATGGCCTCGTTGTGGAACAAGAGCCTGATTTCTACTCAAGTAGGATAGATGAAGTTGGTGCCACTGAACCTATCACATACCGAGTTTTATCCCCCTCTCAATCCCAGGCTATGAACTACAGTTCGACCTCTCTTGCCGATCTCAATAAACCAACTATTCCTCCCACGGAAGCCGAATGGAAAGCCGAAAGACAAAGGTGTTGGAATGCGCTTTCGCGAAGTTTGAAGAGGTCCTTCAAAAGGCCCGCACCCGGAACTCAGGTTACCGAAGAAAAATACAAACTCCTTGATTCAATTAATAGAGGTGTCGATGGTACTTCATCGGGTCAGGAGAACTTCGTGGTCGTCTGCTTGTTCGTGAAAGCAGTGGATCTAGTTGAACTCACCGGAGGTGTGGACAGACGGTATCTGTATAAGAAGAGTTACGATATAGACGCATGGAAAGAGTACGAGGTGTGTCCCTGAGCATACGGGTTTGTCGCATAACCCGATTCAATTCATTTTTCGAACGGATAAAGTTTATTCTGCATCTATTATTCGAAGCTTTAGCGGTAACCAGACCGCATAAAGTTTCCTAATTATTTTTTGCCGCTTAGAATCTCGGGTCGCATAGAGATTTGTATATAAAGCTGATTTTAGATTCCCGGATCATTACTTTAGAATTATTCGCAATGTCCTACACAGAACAACATTTTCCACAAGAACCTACTGGCCCAAAAGTGGTCACCGATTCTATTCCGGGTCCAAAAGGCAAGAAAGGAATTCAGTCTCTTGGCGAAGTGTTTGATGCTAGATGCGTGTACTTCCTTGCAGACTACCAAAAGTCGTACGGTAATTACATTGTCGATGCTGACGGAAACACTCTGCTCGATTGTTACGCTCAAATCGCTTCTATTCCTTTGGGATATAACAACCCTGAATTGATAAAAGTTGCAAAGTCTGACGAAATGGTCTCTGCCATTGTCAACAGAGCTGCTCTGGGTAACTTTACGGGTGTTGAGTATGAGAAGGTTCAAAGAAGTCTGTTGAAGTACGCTCCTAAGGGCCAAAAATATGTTTGGAACGGGCTTTCCGGTGCTGATGCTAACGAGCTTGCTTTCAAGGCTGTGTTCTTCAACTATCAATCCAAAAAGAGAGGTTTTGATAAGCAATTCAGCTCCGAAGAAGAAGCTTCCTGTATGGAAAACCAGGCTCCAGGTAATCCAGAACTCGCTGTTCTTTCATTCGCAAGGGCTTTCCACGGAAGACTGTTTGCATCCGGCTCTGTCACAAGATCCAAACCAATCCACAAGATGGATATGCCATCATTCAAATGGCCAAAAGCTGAATTCCCATCCTACAAGTATCCAGAAGTCGACAACAAAGAGTATAATGCAAAGGAAGACGAGAGATGTCTGGCTATTGTTGAGAACTACTTCAAGACTTGGCACTGCCCTATAGCCTGTGTTATCGTCGAGCCTATACAGTCCGAGGGAGGTGATAACCATGCTTCTGCCACGTTCTTCCAGGGTCTCAGAGACATTACCTTGAAGTATGGCGCTAAATTGATCATTGATGAAGTCCAAACTGGTTGTGGCGGTACCGGAATAATGTGGGAGCATGAAAGATACAACATCACTCCACCTCCAGATCTTGTTACCTTCTCTAAGAAGATGCAGTCTGCCGGTTACTTTTTCCATGACAAAGAATTGATTCCAAACCAGCCATACAGACAATTCAACACTTGGTGCGGAGACGAGAAATTGATAATGCTCGCCGCTGCCATTTGTAAGGAAATCCAAGAAAAAGATCTGTTGACCTCTATTTCAAAGACGGGTGAATTCTTGTTTGGAAAGCTTGAAGAATTACAAAAGGAATACCCAGTTTATCTGCAGAACTTGAGAGGAAAAGGCAAAGCTTGTTTTGTTGCATTTGACATGCCTTCGCCAGAGAAGAGAACCGAATTTTTGAACAAGATGCGTATTTCTGGTATTAACATTGGTGCTTGTGCTGAAGTCGGTGTCAGATTAAGACCTACTTTAGTTTTCGAAAAGAAGCATGCCCAGATTTTCATCGATGTGCTCAGCAAAGTTCTCGCAACCTTGTAAGAGATATATATAGTTTACATTTATTTATATTGTGGGCTGTGTATCCCGTCAAAAAAGGGGACATTTTTTCTTGTTCAAGCGCCACTTATAAGTATCTTGTATCTTGTCATTTTTCAGTTGATTCTCTGAAATAAAACACTAGCATCATGAGAGAGTATACATTATCAGACATAATTGTCTTTTCAGTGATTGCATTTGTCTACATGTTTTCTAACTACTCAATTGGCCAAAACATCAGTTTTTGGGTTGACAATTGGGGATTTTGTGAGTTGATCCATGGTTTGCCTCCTTTACTAATCTTTCAGTTTCTAATTTGATCACGGAGATATTTGTCTATGGTTTTGTAGAGCCATTGAACAATAAGAACAAGGTTCATCGACAAGGAACCCTACATCAATTTGTCCTGCTACGATTACTCAAACAATTAGTTCCAGAGGTGACGAACGAGGCAGCACCAGGATATTCGTTTGCAGCAAATGCAGTTTGGAAAAGGTTCTACGACTATAGGTCAATATTTCAAGCATGGAATGGTATTGAGCTAAGCACTTACGAAGAATTAAAGAAAGACGACGTAAAAGGTGTTTTGATCAAGAAAGCTGAATGTTCGGACAAAACCGTTTTGGAGCCAGATCTAGCAATATACTACATCCCAAATCTTGCAATTCTGGCAAATAGCCCTCATTTTTACACGGAGTATCTAACTACATTGCACTCCTTGCTTCTTCTCCAGGGGTTTAAAAATCCAGTGATTTTGATTGCACAAATGAAGTCCCCCTCAAAGGCCGAGTTTCCTGATCAGCTGCTTACTTTACTACACGGCTGGAAATATATTACTGACTCATACCCAAAGGCAAAATGTTTTATAGCAGGAGACTCCGCTGGTGCAAGTTTAGCATTAAGTTTTTTGATCTTCAGATCTGCTCCAGATAGCTCAATTTTCACGAAGCCTGAAGAAGAATCAGACGAGAATCTAGAGCAGAAAAATGCCACAATCAGCTCAATAACTGAAAATCATATACCACCGCCTTTTGGAGCTATCATCATATCACCTATTTTGAAGTTTCGTGGTGTCACAGAAAGGCCTTCAGAGGATCAATGTCCAGATTTTTTGACCTCGAGCTTCATTAACAGGATTTCTCAGAACTACATTCCTCCCAACTTGCCAGATCTGGAGGCTCTTCATAGCCCAGGTTTCTGTAACAATTCGAATAAATGGGAGCAGTCGTTTCCTGAAAAGGGAATCATTCTAACGTGGGGAGCAGAGGAACTTCTCAACAACGAAATTGAAGAGTTCGGAAATATTCTTGCAATGGCTGGTGCTACAAAAAGATGGAAAGTGAAAAGTGCAGTGCATTCTTGGCCCTTTGTATCCTTTCTGACGGAGGATGCTCAGGATGAAAAAGAGGATAGCTGTTTTATCTTTGCTGGAATCATCTCTCGAATGGCTTTGTGGCACTCAGCATACTACTTGGATCCCAACTCGTCCAAAGAGCCAATGAATTTGCTTACAATTGATGATGATCATCTGTGATATGCCAGAAAACAACATAGCTACCCCCTGTGATTAAAATGTACACTCAAGTTTTAGTCAAAAGGTAATATATGGTTGATAAAGCAGATCAGTTTAATCTATCCCAAATGTGTGGTTATTATTTATATATCTGTGCGGCTCAAGAAAATTTTTCTTTGAACCGAATTTTTTCACCTTTAAAAAGTAATTCAGAATTAGAGTCTTCTGCTCAGGTAGTTAAATTGTTGGCATAAATCATCTGATTGAAGCGGAAATGATGAACTTTTTCTCTACTCGCCGACACGCAAAGCAACTGGCATTGTCTGCTGCAAGAGCTAAACGGTTTGTGGGCGCCACCAAATCCCGGAAGGCAACTTTGTTTTCTGGTCAAACCTACGATAAAAGCGCTCATCAGACTGCCGCTATTCTAGGTTCAAACAAATTCAATCATATTAAGTACTCCGATTTAGAAGAGATCCTTCTTTCATCCTCGGTTGACAACATTCTTACTCCTAGCTCGAGTAACATTATCAGATCATGGAGTCTTTTTGAAGCTTGTCTTTTCTCCAAAGATTTTGAAAGGGCAGATATGATTTTGCAAAGTATCGCCTCTGTGAAGTCTGCTCAAGACAAGTCAAAGCCTACCAAATACTTTTATGATGGAGTCTGCGAGTTTTTATCTACATGGGGGCGCAAAGATGGAGTGTCGATCACCGAGATCAAAGATTGGCTGAAGACGTTTTCAGCTGTTAACCCTTCATTTAGGAGCCAACCGAGAATTGTCGCTTGGATTATCCGGCTCAAATTGGAGAAAAACTCTCCTATTACCGATATACTCTCCGATATTGATACTTACAGCGTTGCACGCCCTCAGCAGAAGAAAGCAGATATTTTTCGGTACGTTGATATAATCGGTGCTGACAATATACGTACACTGGTTAACGCTGATCCATCGCTTGTGAACGAACTACCAAAGGAATACAAGGAGTTCTTCAAGCTGTTTGTTGGACAAAATGATCAGCAAACATCGCTTGAAGGTATGGAGGTCCCGGAATCTTTGGACGGTGTTCGCGAAAAACCGTTGGAAGTCTCTCAAGTACCAGACTCAACTATTGAAAAATCTGCCTCTGGGCAGTCCGAATCTGTGGTCAACGAGATGGACGAACTGATGCCCGTCTCATCGTTCAATTTGAAGGCAATCAGACACACTTTACTTGGACTAGTCAACAACTACAATGGAGAGGGAAAGTTTTTGGACAAGTTTTTTTCTTTGGCAAAACAAGAGAAGCTAGACATAGATTATGATTATTATGAAAACAGCGAGTTAAAACCGGATTTCTTCGAGATGAAGTCCAGTTTACCGGCCGACCAGCACGAAAAGTTCGATATGGTGTTGGATATGGTCTCCGAAGATCGCCAGAAATTTTTAGAATCCACAAGCATCGAATCTGCCAGGCTGAAATGGGAGCACGAGTTCGAAAAAATAAAGGACAAGAGTATGCCATCTTCTGTCGGATCTTACCTTCATGATTGGCTCAAGAGTATAGAGCCATTGGTCGCAAAAGAGATCGACGAATATTGGGTCGCAAGAAAATTGGAGACTAAAGGTAAGCTCAAGAACGCTTCGGCTTTTGACCACGAAAGATACACTCAGAAGCTGAAGTACGGTCCATATTTGTCGCTAATAGATCCATCGAAGTCTTCAATCACTACCATCTTGGAAGTTCTAAAGACTTGCATTTCCTCTGACCTCGCTCGTGGAGCCCCAGTCTCGAAAGTTGTCATGTCCATTGGACGCGCCTTAGAGCTTGAGTTCAAAGCAGAAAGATTGTTGGCCGCCGACATTGATGTCCATAAGAATTTCAGAGCTATCAGAAAGACCACCGAGTTCAAGAAATATCTGAGAGGAACAAGAGCTTCTAAACTGATCGAAGAAGCCGAACTGAAAGCAGAATCTGCTGCCGGCGAGTGCGTCAGTGCAACAAGCTGGGACTCCGATAGTAGATGCAGAGTTGGATCCGTCATGCTCTCGCTCTTGTTGCAGGTTGCGAAAGTCGACGTTGAGGGAACAGACCCAGTTTCTGGAGAGAAGAAAACAGCATTAGCACCAGCATTCTATCACACGTACGATTATCAAAATGGAAGCAAGATCGGTGTTATCAAACTGAACACTAATTTTGCTTCGAAACTTGGAACTGAAAGGGTGGATAACACGTTGCAACCTCATTTTATGCCAATGATTGCTAAACCACGTCCATGGACCACCCATGATGATGGAGGCTACTTCCTCAAGAGATCTCCAGTTCTCAAGGCCAAGAATTCTCCAGAGCAAGCAGCCTACGCAAAGACGGCAGCATCACATGGAAAGATCGACAACGTTTTACAAGCTTTGAACAATTTGGGTTTCACAGCGTGGACCGTCAATAAGGATGTTCTCAAAGTGATGATTGAAGCTTGGAATACAGGAGAAGAATTCTTGGAGATTCCAAAGTTCCAAGAGACTTTGGAGCTTCCACCTCCTCCGTCTGGAGATTGCACCCTTGAGGCATTTTTCAAACACAAGAAATTATGCCAACAGCTTTGCAGAGAATACTCCAAAAACCGGTCCATGAGATGCGACACTAACTATAAGTTAGAGATCGCCAGGGCATACGTGGGTGAGCGTATCTTTTTCCCTCATTCGTTGGATTTCAGAGGAAGAGCATACCCTATGCCACCATACTTCAACCACTTAGGCAATGATCTTTCAAGAGGTTTGCTGAAGTTCTGGAAGGGCAAGGAGCTTGGAGAAGAAGGATTAAGATGGCTCAAGATTCATGTCTGTAACCTTCTTGGTTTTGACAAACTTCCTTTGGATGAGAGAGTCAAGTATGTTGATGACAATATGGAGAAGATTTTTGATTCTGCTCGTGATCCATGGAACGGTTCTAGATTGTGGGTTGAAGCAGATAAACCATGGCAATTTTTGGCTTCGGCAATAGAATTGGAGAGGGCTTATCAACTGGAAGATCCAACGAAATTCGTTTCGCATCAGCCAGTCCATCAGGACGGAACTTGCAATGGTCTTCAACACTATGCTGCGCTTGGTGGTGATATGGAGGGCGCTAAACAAGTTAACCTGGTGCCAGGTGATAAGCCATCTGACGTTTATACCCATGTTGCTCATCTTGTTCAACGATCTGTTGATGAAGATGTGCGTGATGGTGTGAGTGACGCAGAAATTGTCAAGGATGTCATTAGCAGAAAGCTCGTGAAACAAACAGTCATGACCAGTGTCTACGGTGTTACTTATGTCGGTGCTCGTGCTCAGATCACCAAGAGATTGAAGGAGATTGAAATGAACGATCTCCAAATCTTACCCGCATCCAAGTATCTCACTCAAAAGGTTTTCAAAGCCATCAGAGAATTGTTCGATAATGCTCATGCCATCCAAGACTGGTTGATCATCGCTGCAAAGAGGGTCAGCAAATCTATCCGGACAGACGTTGAGATTATGGATGACACCGATTACATGTGTTCTGTTATTTGGACCACTCCGTTGGGATTACCTGTTGTTCAGCCATACAGAGAGTATAAGGGAAAACCAGTTGAAACTGCTTTGCAGACTATTACAATTGTTGATCCATACCAACCGAAACGGGTTGACGGACGCAAGCAAGCTAGCGGATTCCCACCCAACTTCATCCACTCATTGGATGCAACTCATATGATCCTTTCTGCAAACAAGTGCTCTGAAGCTGGCCTTACATTCTCTTCTGTGCACGACTCTTACTGGACTCATGCCTCCGATGTTTCTGTCATGAACAAGGTGCTGAGAGATCAATTTGTTCATTTGCACACCAACAATTTGGTTGAGAAATTGGATGCAGAGCTCAGAATGAGATATGGAGACACTCTAATGGTTTATGAAATTGATCAAGGAACTGAAATGGGTCTAGCTTATAAGCATTTCCGCTACCTTTTGTCAAAAACCCTTAAAAGATCTCCGACCTTGATCGACGAAGCAATGACAGAGAGACAAAGACAGATTTTGCTCAAGTCCAAGGATCCAGAAGAAGTCAAACAGGGAAAAGAGATGGTCACACCCGTTACAATTGCTGAAGAGCTACAATTCAAGCCAAGTCCAAGAGATGAAGTTAATAAAGGAACTACAATTTTAGTTCCATTTGACTTGCCACCAGTCCCACCAAGAGGTGATTTTGACGTGGGCATGGTTAGAGATAGTTTATACTTTTTTTCTTGATTGTTCGCCTTGTATATATATCGCTAAGGAAACAAATGTTTATTTGACTTAACAAAAAATGTAGAGACACCCATTAAACCTACTTTTCATGAATCTTTCCCAACTGGAATTATTTTCCCTTGTGCTTCCAAGTTCTCGATGAGCATACTGAGAGGCTCAAGTTCGTTCTTGGCGATCAAATCGAATTCTGTGACAAATGAAATAAAATGCGCAAAATAAGAATTCCAATGAGCTTCCAAAGACAAGTGGACAAACTTTTCAAAATGATTATGGAATATGTGCGCAATGATTCTAAACATCTGGATATAGATACCTTTGATTTCGCGCAAAAATGAAGGTGGGAATGCCATTCCCGATTTGGTTGGAAATATGGTCTGATCATTGATTTTGTTGCTGATCCATGTCAGGGCATGATCGATATATTGGCCCGCTGGTAAAGATACAGCTTTGTTATTAGGCAATAACCAAACGTATTCAGTCTTTGGATCGGCTGTCATTATAGGATATCTATCAGGGGTAACATATTCGGCAATAACACCGTAGAATTTATTCAAATGGTTGAACAACTCAAAAGTATTCAGGGCCAGCCATTCGTGATAATCAACGTACTTTGGTTGTTGAACAATGGTTTTATAGGATCCTTTCACCAAAGCGATTTTAACGAACGGTTCACATATAAAGAGAGGTGGTTTTGAAGACTGTTGCTGCTGTTGCTGTTGTTTATTCTGTTGTTGACGATTTGTGTTTGATGACTTGAACGATCTAATAGATTGTTTGGATGGAGAATGCGTCCTTCTTAAGGACAAAGAAGAACCGTTATTGTTCGAATAAATTGATCCCTGGGTATTTTGATTGTAGTTGAGCGAAGTGGAAGAATCGTTGTTAAGGTACAGCTCACCATAGTTGTTGCCAAGTTTATTCTGATTTTTCTTTTTTGAACTCCTAGTGAAGCCCCTGAGGAGTTAGAATACAGCAAAAAAGCATCGTATTACTTACTTTATGGTGTTCAAAAAAGACATTGTAAATTCAACTGTAGTTAACTTTTGGTAAATTTATTGGTGTTTTGATCTCATTCCGGGTAAAAATTTCAAACGCGCATCTTTTGGGTCAGATCAAAAATATTCAATAGTAAACAATAATTCATGGCCACCTTGGTTGGATCCGATTTGGACCTCGACTCTCGTCATGTTCTCACTTTAAACTTACATTCAGATTTCAGTGAGGCCTCATTGATCAGAGATTTTACTGATTATAAAGTCTATCTGACTGGGGATAGTGAAAGTCTTCTTGCTGGAAACAATACAATATTACTGGTCAAGGGTGGGTTAGTCACTCGAAATCTCAAATTTGACTCACAAATCATTAATTGCTTCTTCACCAGTCTGAATGGAGATCAGGGAGGCTTGAAAAAGGAGAAGGTTTTGGTAGTTGTCCTCAAAGAACAGATTTGTGTGTATGAAAAAGGTGGGCGCTCTCAAATTGTTAGTTTTCCGTTCCACATCAGGGGGGCATTCAGCTTTGAGAATGGTCTAGTCATCGGAAAAGAGTTCGAAGGTCCAATGTTACATCCGAACAATACCACACAAAATGTCCAGTCCCCAACCTTATACTCTGCCGGACTCCCACCCATCTCGGCGACCTCGAGCACAATAGGAGCAAATGAAAGCAACTTCCTTACGTTGTTAGATTCATTGGGTGAACTGGGATCAATTGTCTCATCTTCAACAACTTCCTTCAGCACAAAAGAAGAATTGGTTTCATTCCCTTCAACATCATTGCACTCAATTGCAACGACATATAATCCGATTGAGAAGACCATCACAATATACCACACAAGATTCTTGAATAGAAGCAAAAGTTCAAGGGTCAGCTCTTATTCTTATCACAACCTACCAAAGCGAACAAGCAGGAAATCGTCCCACAGGAGCCAGAGTAATGCGTCCACTGCAAATAACTCCTCCGGAGTGAACAAGAATGGCACATCTAATGCTACTCCGAGTGGTTCCAAGAATCTGGAGGATCCGGTTATGGAAGCTAAACAGTTTCGTTCCACGTCTGATGTTATGTCATATGATAGAATGGCTTCTGGAAGCGAACTTCATAACGACAACAGCAGCTTTTATCTCTCCCCCGGGCATCATCAATTCGAAACCGCAAAATTGAGGAAGGACGTAATTTTCACGAAGCTTAGCTCGATAGAGTTTGAAGATGATCTTAGGTATCTGAAGATCTTTAACATTGCATACAATGATCAAGAAGCTATCGTGGTTTGCAACTCAAAAGACAAAAGCATAGAATTTATCATCTTCGACAACCCAGGCAATTCAGTGAGCTTGCCATCGTTCAAACTCACATATTCCCTACAAGCACTGGATGCCGTCCCATTCAGTACCACTGCGGAACACCCAGGCTATATCGTTATGCTCTATGATAACTCACATGTCGTGCTTGTGAACCCATTTCTTGGGACTTTATCTTCGAGAATCGATCTGTCATCTCAACTACCCCCTATCAAGCGCCTTGACGATAGTTTCGGGTCTACGCTTTCCGTTCACTGCATTGACAATAAGCATTATACACTTAATTTGACCCTGGAGCCAGAAGATAAACTAATAACGACGCTTATTCAAATTCTCAAATATCTTGCAAATTCATATACGTATGAATTCTTTTGGCTACAATGGTGTTCCAATTGCTCATTGGATATACCTCATAATAACAACTGGAAAACGTTCGTCGTCACATTGCTTTCACTCATCATTCCGGAGGATTTCACAATCGATGAAGCTATAATATCCAAGAATGAAATATGCTCCTTGCTACCATATGTCAAGCTCGCAAAAACGAATATCGAGAAACTTTCAACTAGTTCTCATTCAGGAGGTGCTCAAATTCTCACCGAGCTTGCTCCCTCAATATTGCTATCCTTGCATTTGGTTAGAGAGGAGTTGAGACTCAACGTCTTGGCAGGGGAGAAAATGGGTCAACTATCACTGTTATTAGCCCAGACCGTATCTTGGATGGGTTGGTCCGAAGCTTGGTTCAGATATTACAAGATCGATTCTCATAATGTCGATCGTCAAGTGCGATTTTTATCAGCGCAGCCTCTCATGACTCCTCCAAATCTATTTGAATCGCTCGCAAGCCTTTTTGCCTACACAATCACACCTTACATTACCTTTTCTCAGATTTCAGAAGAAGATGAGTCAATTGACGAGCTCATAATCCCACGAACGTTTTATGTGCTGAGACTGTTCGAAGCATTAGTGTCACCGGAGTTTGAATCGTCTGACGTGGTAAATATGATGGTCGATTACAATATTAGCCGTTCTGATCTTGAAACTTTTCCAGCAGGCGTTTACCTTCCTCTCAAAAATGCAATAATCAACTGTGGAGAATCTGCTTTTCAATGGAATGCAGGCAAATCTGAGCTTGAGTTAATCGGACGTAAGGATTTACTATCGTTTACTGAAACCAACCCCAAGGATGCCTTGAGTTTCAAGAAATCTTTTTCTGATCACCCTCAGAAAGATATGACCCAAATTTTGAAGTTTGTGAACGATAACGAGGCCATTAGCGCGTGGGATGGTCAAGCCGAAGCCGACCGATTACAGGTTACCAAACTGATATTTTCTGAGGATAGGAGATTTTATGAACTGACAAAATTATTGCAAACTTCAAGAGTTCAAACGGCCACTTTGCATTCAGAACCTGGAATTGATGACCATGAGAAACTGATCCAGCAGAGGGCACTAGGGTCGAAAGTTGCTTTACGAACTTTAACCATGCCACTAGGAAGAGGAGCGGTATTCGCATCCAGCAGAAAACCTCTCATGACTGAAAGATTTCCTATTCCCAAAATGAACTTCAACTCCCTTATCTTGCCTGACATGATCAACGTCAGTTTAGAGAAAGATTCGCTTGACCAAGACATGTATGACTGGGGATATTTCCATAATGGAGCGTCAGCGGGCCTTACCATTTCGAGAGACTCAACACAAATAAATGGAAGCTGGATTGTTTTCAATCGGCCGCCAGTCTTAAATGCTCAACACGCTGGATTCCTTTTAGGTCTGGGACTAAATGGTCACTTAAAAAAGCTTGAAGAGTGGCACATCTATAACTATCTCGGACCAAAGCACAACTATACGAGTGTGGGTTTATTACTGGGTATGGCCGCTAGTTTGAAAGGCTCGATGGATATCAAGTTGACCAAGGTGCTCTCTGTTCACGTGGTTGCCCTTCTTCCAGCAGGGTCAACCAACTTGAATGTCCAATTGCCCGTTCAGACTGCTGGATTAATTGGTGTTGGATTGTTGTATCTGGAGTCGCAGCATAGAAGGATGACGGAAGTCCTTCTATCTCAAATTAGCTCTACCCTGGTCTACACCGAGAAAGAGTTTGTTAGCGAAGGATACAGACTGGCCGGTGGAATAGCGCTCGGCTATGTTAACCTTGGTAAGGGAGAAAATCTGAAAGCCACAAATGATACCCATGTTATAGACAGGCTGTTTTCAATGGCAGTTTCATTGAGAGATATTCAAACTGCAGACGAGTTTGACAAATCCTGTGGAGGTGCAATTATGGCCCTCACCTTGATGTTCCTAAGGACAGAGAACCAGGAAATTGCTGAAAAACTTGCTATTCCGCGTACCATGCAACTTCTTGATTACATCAGGCCAGACTTCTTAATGTTAAGATGTCTTGGTACAAACATAATTTTGTGGGATCAAATCGAAACAGGCAGGGAGTGGGTTGAAAGCCAGATACCACCTTGCATGACTGAAATGTACACTGTTGAAACGATTCATGAACTGGACAGCGATTTCCTTCCTTATTTGAATGTCCTAGGAGGCGTGCTCTTGTCAATTGCTATAAAATATGCTTCAACAGGAAACCCAGAGGCCAAAGAAACGCTCTCTTTCTACTTTGACAAGCTAATGAAAGTTTGTTCACTGGAAGCAAAGAAATATGACGAACGAATTGCTTTAATAGGAGCGGAAAATATCAGAGATGTTGTGATTCTTGGGTTGTCGCTGGTCACAGCAGGCAGTGGTGACTTGGATGTTTTCCGAAATCTGCGTTATCTACAAGGAGTTGTGGATGATACAATGAATTATGGAAACTACATGGCAATCAATACCGCTCTGGGAATGCTCTTCTTGGGAGGAGGCCAAAAAGCTTTCAGAAAAGATAATCTTGGAATTGCAGCTCTGCTAACAGCGATCTATCCTGTTTACGGAACCAATACTTATTCAAGCGGAAATGAGAGTTCTGAAATCTACCTGCAGGCTCTGAGGCACTTTTGGGCTTTAGCTGTGGAGAACAGATGTCTGAATGTTCGAGATGTTGATACGAAACAGCCTATCAAAGTTGAAGTCCAGATAGAGACCGAGTTGGGTACCATATTTAACCTTCAAACACCGTGCCTGAGCCCAGAATTAAGTACAATATCGAGAATAAGGGTTGTTGATCCTGACAAGAAATACTTCCCGGTGACTCTTGACTTTGAAGAGGAAGGTACATTGGAGTCATTTATCGAAGCCCAACTGAACATATTTGTATATCGGAGGAGGGAGCATCAAGATTTGCGACTACCTTTTACAGAAATTGTGCGACAGTTAGACACAGAAGAAGATGAAGAGCAGGAACAAGGATGTATCAAGGAGCTTGAAAGTTTATCAATTTTCAAGAAGCTGTCCTCTTTTGAGAGATCGGACTTATTGGGAAGTAACAATAAGGAGCAGCGAGCACAATCTACGATTATTGACTTCAAACTGGAGGTGGAACGACTTGCCACAAATCCACAGACCATAAACGACTTATGGAACTTAAAACTGTTGTTTAACTTTGTGAACAACCTTGGAAAGTACGGCGAGTTAGGAACATCAAAAGAATCCAGTGAGATGTCGATGTCCGAGAAAGCAGACGAGTTTTCAGGACGGGCTCCATCAGAACTGAGTTTCCTGAACGTCAAGTTCATTGAGGAGCTGAAGAATGATCTGTGGCTTTGCATACAAAATTCAAGTAATTGAATCGGTAGAATTCGGTAGAATTTCTAAATTAGCTATGTATGCGGGGATACCAATTAATTAGCTTTCCCCGATTATCGCGCTGCATGCTGGGTAAAATGAATATTGCTGTGGTACGATTCAACAGAGTACGGCGATACAACAACTTCGCCGGTAATTCCCGCCCTGAAATCTCTCGATTGCTTCCAGGCCTAGCTAGACTGACAAATAAAGGGAATATAGAGCTGCTTATTTCCTATAAAGTCTTTGTATAATAATTATCATGGTCCAACTGTTTGTGGTTCACCCTGACCTTCAAGTCTCTGATTGTAACGACTGTCCGTCACAGAACTCTCTGGACAAGAAGAAAGGAGAATATATCAAAAACCTCAAGTATTATAAACGGTTGACAGCAAAATTGTCACATAATGCGGACGTTGCGCAAGTGCCAAATTACTGTCTTACGAGGAATACGGAGCAGAACGTGAACGACATTATTCATAGTGCCGAGAAAATGGACGATGGTTCAGATGACGATAAACCAACCTTGGATGACGTTCATGAACTGAGCCACTTACCGTTATCGTCGATGCAGATCAGCGAAGACGATTTCACCAAACAAGGGACTACTAGAGTTGACTCTATGTCTCTAGAGGAAAAACTTGAGCTGCCAGCCAACTTGGATTCCCGTTCGATGGATGAAGACACAAACAACTTCTTAGCATTAAAGTACTTGCAAATCATCACCGATTTGTCTTTGGTCGAGTACAAGTATCTCCAAAGTTACTCCAAGATCAACGAGTCAATCAAGAAGTATTTCTCGATGCCCGAACTGACATCAGATCTGGAGGAAGAAGGTTGCACGGTTGTCAGCAACGAGATGGAATTTTTCAAAAAGTTGGAGCTTCTCCTAAAACGATCACGCGAATTAAAGTCTCAGTTTGAAGAGAAGTACCTTCTACCAAGACAGCAAGTGTCCGACCTAATCCACACGTCTACTCATCCTGCCCAGAAAGAGGCTGTACGCTGAGGACTATCCATATTACGTAATATGTCTTTATTTATTTTCTCAACACGAACACGGTCCGACTGAAAAATATTTATTTGTTTTCAATAATAACATAGAGGAATGGAAGGAGGAAAACATTAAAATCCTTCTATCATATTTTGCATTGCACAAACAGACATTTTAAGGCATCATAAGTGTTCAAATTCATCTCTGTCGTCTCTTGATAGGCTTTTTGAACTTGATTACGATTGAAACGTGGAAAGAGATCTGTTCAGTAAAGTGATCTGATGACTTCTGTGGCACCCAATAGAGTATCATCCTTTGCTGCAAAGGCTGCTGCCACGGCTACCAATCGTCAGAATAATACTGCTACTACCGGAAGTGATATACCTCAAATTGATCGCGTGGTAGAGAGTGTTGCTAATGCGAACAAACGTCTCTCGCAAACTTCCACAATATCCAATAGCAAGCGAAAGGCTGAAAATAAGATTGGCCCATGGCGTCTCGGACGTACATTGGGTAGAGGCTCTACAGGTAGAGTTAGACTAGCTAAACATTGTGTTACTGGGCAGTTGTCTGCGGTGAAGATTGTGCCAAAAGCAGCACCGGGAACCGTCCCCAGCTACAAGAAAGGCAGAGGTCCAAAGATAGATCCCAATGGTCTTCCCTATGGGATCGAGCGTGAGATCATCATCATGAAACTGATTTCACACTCTAATATTATGGCATTGTACGATGTTTGGGAAAACGAAAACGAGCTGTATTTGGTTTTGGAGTATGTGGAAGGCGGTGAATTGTTTGATTTTTTGATTAACCGTGGAAGGCTCTCCGAGAGAGAGGCTGTTGGTTACTTCAAACAGATCATTCGTGCTGTTGAATATTGTCACAAATTCGACATTTGTCACCGCGATCTAAAGCCCGAAAACATACTGCTCGACAAAAACCACAATATCAAAATCGCTGATTTTGGAATGGCTGCTTTAGAAACCAAACACAGATTGCTTGAAACATCTTGTGGTTCCCCGCATTATGCATCACCAGAAATTGTTGCCGGTAGGACTTACCATGGATCGCCAAGCGATGTCTGGTCATGCGGTATCATCTTCTTTGCTCTTCTTACAGGTCACCTTCCGTTTGATGATTCGAATATTCGCAAGCTATTATTGAAAGTTCAAACAGGCAAATTCCATATGCCTGCAAATCTGAGCAACGAAGCAAAAGACCTTATATGGTCTATGTTGAGAGTTGATCCGCGCAATAGGATTTCAATTCATGATATCCTTCAACATCCATTGCTTCGGAAGTATCCTGATACTGAGCAAAGTCTACCTGTCATCGAAGATGTTGATGAAAGAATGTCCAAGCCGATCAAGGAGATTGATCCAGACATTCTTCATAATTTGCAAACTTTGTGGCATGGTATTCCGATCAATGAACTTGTGAAGAATCTTCAAAACGGTGACCAAAACCCAGAGAAAATGTTCTACTATTTACTGGAGAAGTACAAGGAAGACCATATCGAAAACCCGAATGAGTCGTCTAAGCAGTCAAGAACTCGCAGACGGCCACCATCTCCTATCAAGTCTGCTAAACTTGGGATTACCAAGTCTACCAGCATAAGAACAATTATTCAAGACGAAAATGGGGAAGTATTGAAAATGACGACGAAGGAAATGCCGCGTGCCCCCACAAAGGCGCTGCCAAAGAAGCCGTCCAAATCTTCAATTAATAGCAAGAACCGGGCCCCAGCTATGGTTGTCTCTTCGACTCTCAACAAATCTGTTTCCTTCAACAAAAGAAGCAGTAGTAAGCTATCCAAGGCTTCGCGGTCATCTTCTAAATCATCACTTGCCAAGTCCAAGAAACTCACGGTGAATCCAAAAAACCTTCCTAAGCTTCCAGAGATTGATCTTTCGGAGTTTACTTACATGGTGAATGCCGTGTTTCCCGACGATGAACCAGACCTCAACCTAACATTCGATATTTATGATGATTCGAAAACCTCGAATCCTAAGCCGGAACGTTCGCCGGCTAAACGTTCGATGAGCTCTATTCAAAAGGTTGTGACACAACCAAGGATGTCAAATATGGATGATCAGGCATTCAAATCATCACTGGATCCTAAGCTCAACAGGAGACTACTTGCGAGAAAGCCTGTCCCTCAGACAATCTCAAGATCAGGTCACAGGTCGGGCTCAGAGTCTGCGTCTGACTCTGCGTCAGAGTCAATCAGAAAGACTAGCGATGTCCTTCAAAAGTTTGGTGTTAAGATGGATTTGGATGGATTTGAAACTCAGAGATCCACTCCAAAGAAACAGGCACCATCGAAGTTAACCAGAAAGAGTAGTATTGTTACCTCGCATTCGTCTTCAAAGAATCTGTCGTCTTACTTGTCTCCTCTGAATGACATATCAATGAACGATTACAACAAAAAGACCAGGACAGAGGCTCCGCATTACACTAAGTTGTTGCCAGCAAAGCGTTCTCCAAACCGTCACAAGACTCACAAACCTGATGTATCAGTTGACGAGAGCATAGTATCTTACGCCAATTCATACAGTTTGCATTCTGCAATTCAGATTCCGATTCTAACGCCTATGGATGAAAAATTCAAAGTTCATCCTTTTGAAGAAGACAAGTTTGCAGATGCAGAGAATGAGAATGGCAGCAAGATCATCTCATCACAATCAAACCAGTCCATATTGAGGCCACATCGTATAGCCGAATCTGCACCATCTCACGATTCTCATTTGAACAAGTTTGTGCAACAGCCGTTCCCAACGATTCGCTGCTCTCTTATGGCCAACTCTAACTATGATATGCCTCCCGAAGACGGCACTAACAGGAAGAGGATGACTCTGACTCCAGAGAAGGCCAAGAAGATTGAAACCGTGAAGGAAGAACCTGCGCGCGCATCGATTTTTGCTGACCCGCAGATCGAGCAACCGTTCATTGTTCACGATGAAACCACTATATTTGATGATGAGACCACAGAAAAATCACAAGTTGTGGACCTAACTCGTCAGCAGAGGGCATTTAGAAGAAGCTCTAACATCAAGGAGCGGATAGTTTCATTGCTTCCAAGAAGGGAGTCCTTGGGTGTGCATAAGGTGGATAATTCCCCTATTGACCCTAATTTTGAAGAGAGAGAGGCAAGGGAGACTGCGAACGAGATCGCTACGGAGACGAAACAGAAACGCCCTAACTGGTTCAAACGTTTTATTGGAACTCTCGAATGGCAGCCGGAGGTTTCTAAGAAGAAGGCTGTTCCGAAGTTCAAACGTACCAGGTTTTGGAAAAAACAGCATTATATTGAGAGCGATATCCTCACGAACGAGCAAGTTATCAACGGACTGAGGAATCGTCTTGAACATCAGAGCTACGTAAAATTGCGTCCGGGACGTAACGAAGACGTGTTGAATGTTGAATACATTGGCAACTCCAGAAAGAACGGGCTGCACGTGACCGTGGAGACAGATCGTCAAGACGGCTATGAATATGGGTTTTCAGGCTGTGTTGTCGTGATGACCAAGAATTCTGGGTCCAACAGGATGTTCAAACTGTCATGCACCATGATGGATCAGTTTGTGCGAGAAATGGAGATGACAAAAAATGACTGATCATAAGGGGTAGGAGAGCTGGTGAGGTTTATTAAATAATTGATTGCGTAAAAAGAAATTTTCAAAAATAACGGTTTCTTCTGCAAGACGGTGTTGACAGGGATCAACCAAATTGGTGGTCTGACCGAATATTTTAATATACTAAAGAATAGAGATCGTCAAGATGTTGAACGTAAGTGGGATTTATCGAATAACAAGAGATCTAACATGGTGCAGACCAAAAACATACGGATTAGCGTATTTGGAGAGATCGACAGCGGAAAAAGCACGTTGGTTCTCCAATATGTGCAGTCGCAGTTTGTTGAAGAGATCGATCATCATATCCAGGACATATATACCAAGAGGACTGAGATCGACAACGAAATCTACCAAATAGATATACTTGACGTACTAGATTCTGATTACGGGTTTGACACTCGGACTGAGGAAATGATTGCTGATTCAGACGCTGCTATTTTGGTATATTCTGTGCTATCTGAAAGATCTTTTAACTCGCTCATAATGAAAGGAGTTAGAGTGTGCTCACTGTTGAAGCACAAAGACATACCAATAATTTTAGTTGGTACCAAGACCGATCTGGAGGATCTTCGCCAAATCTCGGCCAACGAAGGAACTCAGATGGCGCAAGAAATGGGGTGTGTTGGCTTTCTTGAATGCAGTGCCAAAACCAGATACAACGTGGATCAGGTGTTTGAAACCACAGTCAGGAAAGTTTTGAGCCAAAGGGAGGCCGAGCAGAAGCTTCCAAAAGAACCTGCTACGAACTCTCAAGAAGTTGAGACAAATCCAGACCAAAGTCAGCAAGAACCTTCTCAACAATCTATAAAACCACAAGCGAGAGAGATCGTGCTAGACCGTTCGGCTGGTCCTATAAAGACTACTCAGAATACTGATAGATGCTGTATAATAGTGTGAGAAACTAATAGACTCTTTTGTCCGCTGCTCTACAAACCCATACACCACCAGATGCGAAAGGAGAAAAAAGAGTTAGCCGAAGATACGGCGGCAAATGGAAAATTCCTTGAAGCGCTCGGATATTGAAGGCAATATCGAAGTACCTATTTTAATAATATAAATGAGGCAGAAGTCCCCTCACCCCAGATAATTGCCAAAAACGTAGAAACTCAAGATGTCAAAGTAAAGATTTACCAGAGTTTGTTCAAATCTCAACCTATAAGTACTAGCAAACGGGGTGCGGTATCGGGAGTATATTCCCGACGCGTACAGGTGGAAAATTTTCCGTTCAGTCATCTATCCGGATATGAAGGTCCGAGCGGCCCTGTACCGGCATGAGTCAATACCTTGGGTTCCAAGGGCATTCATGGGGACAATAGAGGAAATAAAGAGGTAGCGGACGGCAGCCCGGTAAATTATCACTTGTGGTTCCAACACAGGAGCTCTGCATATACGCGCTTGGTTTCCTATAGAACATATGGCTATATCAGAGAAATCCTGATGTAAGAGGTGTATGCGATTCCCCGGTTTTTTTCACTTTTTTTTGCAGATAAAGATAAAAACCGGCCGACTCCACTTGTTACTCATTTTTCTTTCACCATGTCTTCTGTCCCAAGCGAAGAAAAGAAGTACGATCTTGATGAACTCGCCCTCTCTGACGGAGGAAGCACACCAGCACTTGCTCTTTCCGACTCCGAGAAAGACGAGGCCGTGAAACAGCTCGCAGAAGAATACAACGTTAACCAGAAAAGTTTGATGTGGAAGATTGACCTTTGCGTTGTTCCGCCATTTTGTTTACTCTACTTCCTTGCCTTCTTGGACAGAGTGAATATCTCGAATGCCAAAGTTTATGGAATGCAAACATCCCTTGGTCTGCATGGTGAACAGTTCAACACCGCCTTGACTGTTTTCTTTGTTCCATACGTTATTTTCGAAGTTGTTTCTAACTACTGTTTGAAAATCGTGAAACCACACTTGTGGATGAGTATGATGATTGTTCTTTTTGGTGTCGTGACTCTTGCGACCGGATTTGTGAAGAACTTTGGTGGTTTAGTTGCTACCAGAGTTATTCTTGGATTCTGCGAAGCTGGAAGTTTCCCTGGAATTTTCTACATCATGGCCAACTTCTACTCCAAATCTGAGGCCCAACGTCGGTTTAGTATTTTCTTCAGTTGTACCTCTGTTGCTGGTGGATGTGGTGGTGCTATCGCCTACAGAATTTACGATTTGAATGGCGTTCACGGACTCGAGGCCTGGCAATGGATTTATATCATTGAAGGTACCTTCAGTGCTGGTCTTGGATTCTTGCTTTACTTCCTTATCACCGATTTCCCAGAAGATGCCAAGTTCTTGAAGAGCAACGAAGTGAAGTTTTTGAAGAAGAAGTTGGAGATCTACTCCGGTAACTCTGGATTTGAGGTCAAGCAAACCGTCAAAGACGTTCTTGAGGTTTTCAAAGACCCAATGCTTTATCTTGGAGCCTTGATCTACTTCTGCTTGGTTATTCCTTCTTACTCTTACGCCTACTTTGCCCCAACCATCATCAAGCTTCTCGGATACACAGCAATGGACGCTCAAGCACACTCGATTTACCCATGGCTCTGCTCTTTGGGATTCTCCATCATTTTGGCCTTTGCCTCTGACTTTCACAAGTTTAGACTCCCATACGCAGTCGTTGCTGCCTGTGTCGCAATTGCAGGTTTGTCTATGATTCTTGCAGGTGGTGAGCACTATCACGTTAAATACGGAGGATGTTTCCTTGTTGCCTGTGGACTTTACTCAAGTATGCCTATTGTTGTGTGCTGGATCAGTCTTAATTTCTCTGGTCACATCAGAAAGGCCGTGGGAACGGCCTTTGTTGTCGGATTCGGAAACATTGGAGGTATCATTGCCTCTTTCATCTTCCCAGATAAAGAATCTCCAGACTACGTCAAAGGTTTGGGAATTTGCATTGGTTTTACTGGTCTAGCCATCGTGTTCATGTTCCTTTACTATGGACTTCTTGTGACGCGAAACCACAAGAAGCTTACCGCAACTTCTCTCGCCAAATGGGAATCTTACGATGAAAGAACGCGCATAATGAAGGGGGACCTCAATCCATATTTCAGATATTTGTACTAAAGAAATAGATAATTTATATTCAGGCTGTGGAATAAGAGAAATTCTCTTGTTAAAGAAATTCTTTGCTTGTTTTATGTTTTCCCCTGAACAGCTTCCGTATTTTGATCCGCACGTCGACCGTCGTGTGTGTTTCATTTCGGGTGGAAACAGTGGTATTGGCTATTACACCGTTCTTCATTTGTATCTTCATGGATATGTCGTTTACGTTGGGGGTCGCAACATGAATCGTGTCAGGACTGCTATTCAGTCTGTGAAACAGGAAGCTTTGGAACGTCAGAAATCGCCCTCTCATTCGTTTGGAGAACTTCATTACTTGGAATTGGACTTACTCAATCTCCAATCGGTTGAATCAGCCTTGCAGGATTTCAAAACTAGAGAAAAAACCCTTCATTTGCTCATCAATAATGCCGGTATCATGGCCGTTCCTTACTCTGTCACAAAAGATTCTTTCGAAATCCAATTGCAAACCAACTACATATCACATTTTCTCATCACTAGCAGATTGCTCCCGTTGATGCAAGATCCAGATCTTGTGAAAGATCCGCGAATTGTGTATGTGAGTTCTGTGGGTCATTGGCTGGCACCGTTCCCTTTCAAATTGAGCTACAAATTTAATTACCGCCCAAACATCCTCTTCACGTGGTTCAGATACGGAATGGCCAAAACAGCGGGTATTCAATACATGTCCAGACTTGCTAAAATCAATCCCCAGATTTTGTGTGTGTCTGTTCACCCAGGATTCGTGATGAACACCAACTTGTTTAGCCACTTCACAAGACTCCCCTTTATCGGGTTGATATTCTGGGTGTTTTTCCAGATATTTGGCTACTTTTTCGGTGTATCAAACGAAGAAGGCTCATATGCTACCCTCAAGTGCGCACTAAGCAATGAACTTACAACCGAAAAAGATAACGGTAAATTTTACGTTTCTTACGGCGTCGAACACGAACCAAGCTACATAGCCCGCAACGCCAACTATGCCGACCAAAACTGGGCATGGACAGTCAAGGAACTCGCTAAAAGGGGCTATGACATATAGATCTCGCTATTAACATTATTTCGCTTGCAGTATATTTATTTATCACTTTACTCAACATTCTTGATAGAAATGGCTGGCTGTCCTGGAACGGAGCTTTCCAAGATCTTGCTGTTTGGAACTTCGATAGTGACACCGGTGAAAACGTCTTGTCCAGAAGTGCTGTCGCTGCTAATTGGGACAGCCTTAACGTCAACAACATTACAGATAGCAGCAGCCTTCTTAATCACGTTCTTGGCCAATTCCACAACCTCGATCTCATTAAACGACAACTCTCTGTTGAAAACAGACTCTGGAGTCTCAGTAGCCAATCTCTTCTTCAAGGTAGAAACAAAAGGCATAGCCTTCTTCATATCCTTTCCATCAATGCTGGACTTGATTGCGTTGTTGTCATCGAGCTTGTGCTCCTCGAAAAGCTTTCTGACGAGCTCGACGTAGTTCTTCTGCCACTCTGGGAAGCTCTTGGAGATGAACAAGGTCAAAACACATGGCTTGTCCTTGTTCAAGTCGGCAGGCTTACCCTTCTTCTTCTTGAGCAATTGACCTTCGGTCTCTCTGATAGATCTGGACAAGGTTCTGATGTATGTCAAAGCGTCGGTCAACGAAACAGAGAGTGGCTCCTTTGGAGTTGGCCATTTGGCGTGCAGAATGGTCTCCTTGTGTCCCAGAACTTCTTTATAAATGAACTCGGCAAAGTGTGGGGCAATTGGAGACACCAAAATGGCCTGGGTCTCAAGGTACTTGATAACCAAGTCTTTGTGCATGCCATCACCAATGTTGCTAACTTCTCTGTAGTAATCTCTGGCAGTTTGGTAGTCAAAGAGAGCAAACTTAAGACCTGCTTTGAAGTTAGTAGCATCGTACTGCTGATAAGTCTCGTTGATCAAAGAGTTCATCTCGTTGTCAAATGCTTTGTCAAAGAAGTTGTACTCTCCGGTTCTGAAAGTGTCGATGTTCTTGACAACGTCCTCGGCCCAGTCTTTCAAAGTGTACATTCTGAGAATGGCGGCGTTTGCGTTACTCTCGTCAAAGTTGGCATCTTCAACACTGTCACCAGAGTCAGCAAGAGCAATTCTGGTAGCATCAGCACCGAACTTCTCCACCATCTGGGTCAAAGTCAAGAAGTTTCCTGTAGACTTGGACATCTTGGCGTTGTTCAACATCAGGTGACCATTACATCTGATACCCTTTGGCCAGAACTGCTTCTTGAACAGGGCAACGTGACAGTAGATGAAGAAAGTCAAGTGGTTTGGAATCAAATCTTTTCCAGAAACAGACATGTCTGTTGGATAGAAGTATTCAAACTCTCTTCTCATGATGTCAAGTTGTTCTTGAGGAATGTCACTCTCAACCTTGTCGATGTTACAGAAGATATAATCCCAAACGTCATCGGTCATTTGTTCAACCTTGATTCCAAATGGTCCAGGAACTTTTCCGTAGATGTCCTTGTGGAGAAGATGAGACACAGTGTAGTAGGAGTGGTAGATAGTAGAGTCGGAAAGAGATTCAACAAGGTACTTTGGATCCCATGGGATTCTGGTTCCCAGACCGTAACTTCTAGAAACAGCCCAGTTCTTCAACCAGTTGAGAACACCTTCAAAAGCGTTTCTGCTCTCAGCGCTGTATGTGTTCAGGTTGGAGAGACATTCCAAAGCTTGCTGCTTCCAGGATTCTTCACCGTAGTCCAAGTACCATTGATCCTCAAGAGAAACAATACACTCATCTCCAGATCTCGAAATGACTTGAGATTCTGGCTCACTGTAAGCAAAAGCTTCACCAGATGCAATTAAATCCTTCTTTGCCTTTTCCTTGGCAATAGAAACCTTCTCACCCTTGTACTTTCCAACGAGCATGACACCATTGTAGAAACCCTCCTTGTAGGCAAGCTCTTTAGCGGTTGCAAGAGGAACGGTATCCTTAGAAGAGTTGATCTTCAACTCCTTCACAAGATACTCGGCACAAAGATCACCATACTTTTCAGTCTTGATGATAGGAACTGGGTCCTTGACAACCCACTCCTGTTTAATGCCGTAGTACTCAGACTTGTTGTAAAGATCTCTGGTGGTGGCATAGTCATCAGGAGAGTCAGATGGGACACAAGTAACAACACCAGTACCCTTAGATTCCAAAATGGTTTCCATCGGAAGCACTCTGAGCTCTTCCAGTGGAGTCAAAGGAGCGTGAATCTTCGAACCAATCAAAGTAGATCCAGAAATCTTCAGAATGTAATTGTAGTCACCTCTAACTGGGGAAATCTTTTGGTAACTCATGTTCTTGAAAGATTTCTCGGTACAGATGTAGTATTCTCCATTTCCAGCGTCGAACAATCCGTAATTAATCTTTGGAGACACAAAACAACACGTTTGACCGTACATGGTTTCTGGTCTCAAGGTTGCTGCAACAAGGTACACCTTCTTACCAGCCAAGTCGAACTTCTCATTCTTCAAGACCTCCTGAGCCTTTTCAGCAAACTCGGTAATTTCAATCTTGATACCAGTGTACTCTTGAGGGAGAACAGCCTCTCCGGACTGTCTGTCGTGGTCCATACATGGCTGACCATCCTTCACGGAGTAAATCGTGTATCTCTCACCGAATCTGATCTTGTTTTGTTGCTTCAACTTGTTCATTTGCCATCTAACAAACGAATCATAGAATCCGTTGTAGTCAGTAGTGACGGTAGATCTTCTCCAGTCAACCTTTCCACCAAAAGAACGAACCTGCTCTTCAACAAGCGGAGGAAAGTACGTAACCCAGTAGTATGGGTCGGAGAAGTTCTTGATCTCAGAGGTTGGAATACCCAACTGTTGCATAATCTCAAACTGGTACTTGGCACGGCCTTGTTTGGCTTGGGCCTTTGATTTCTTGGCAGAGAACTTGGTGACATCCTCTCTCTTTGCAGCAGCCTTTGGCTTTTCTTCTTCTTGATCTTCTTGTTCGGGAAGTTTGGAGAAATCCTCACCAAACAGCTCGATCTCTCTCTTCAACTTGTCAGCAGCGGCGGAAATGGCAATACCAGTACAGTGGAATCCAAGAGGGAACAAAACTCTGGCACCCTTCAGTCTCTCGAAAGATGCAGTGAACTCACTCTTAGAGAGCGTAAAACTGTGTCCAGCATGCAAAATACCGTTCATGTATGGATAGGCCATGGTGGTGAGGAATTTGGGGTTCTTGGCGTGGAGCTCCTCATAAGAAGTTCCGTAAGGAATTTCCTTGTCGGTAGGAGCACTCACCTCAAACACTTTGTCCTCTTCCCAGATCTTTCTGTACTTCTTTTCGATTTCAATCAGAGCATCACGACGGTTGGTGTTCTCGAGAACGATCGGTTTAACCTCCATGTTGGGAATAAAGAGTGAATATTTTTCGACGAAAATTAAATAAGTCATTGTTACGTGCACGACAAACTTTTTGTAACATACGATCGATTTATTACTCTATATTAATGCAACTCTTCCGGTTTTCTTGGTCTGCCGGAGAACGTCTCTGCGACGACGTCTGAAGTATCTGTTCATTTCACCGCGGTTTTCCCAGAACCACTTGTCGTAGTCTTCTCCAAGCTGGACAGTTGGCAGGGAAGCTATTTGTGTTTGGGCACTCAAGAATGGAGAGTCTGAGTGCGAGAAGAACAAGGCAAACTTTCTTGAGACAGACGGAGGTGCCGCAACAGGAACAGGCTCTTCAACCACCGGCGCTTGTTCTGTTTCTGTGGAATTCAACAATGTACGCAACGTCTCTGTAGTGTTTTTCGAGTCTGTTTGTTCCTCAACCGGTTCAGTTGGTTTCTTCAGGAACGATGGCAAAAACTCCGTATCAATATCCTCATCCTCTTCTTCACTCACCTGTGGTTCTTCTGCAGGTTCCTCAACAGGTTCAGATTTCTCAATCTCGAAATCACCATTAATCTCTCCTCCAACAACATCAGGCTGCTCGAAAACCTCTTCGTCATCCAATTCCATGGGCTTTTCGAAATCAAAAGAATCCATCCATGATTCCAACATTTTATTAGTGCGCTCCTTTTCATCGTTAATTTCAAGCTCAGTCTCTCCCATATTGATATCTGTTTTCACTTTCTCGACAGTATGATCGTTACCATCTCTCCATTCTCCGTCAATATATCTCCAAACGAGATCCACAGGATGCTTGTTTTTGTTGTAACCCCAGACCTTGGTTTTCCGTCCTCTCACTATCTTTAAAACTCCTTTGACATTGGTTCTCATAGTGATTTTTGCAGGATTTATCTTTCTCGGGTCCTTTCTTTCTCTTCCCTTGATAACCTGAGAGAGTTCAAAAGGGTTAACATCTTTTTTAGCAATTCTTTCAAGCCGGCACTTTGCTATCCGGTCTCTCAATTGTCTGTCTTTGATCTTGGTATCCTGTCTCCGACTATCTTTCTCCCAACGGGTTCGATAATCAGGCCGAGCCTCTTGGATAACCAACTTTGAACCTTTGTAATTCACACCGTTCAATGAACGTATAAGTTTAGCTAATTGATCATCGGCAATATGCATCATGATGTATCCGTAATGGTAGCCCAAAATTTCTTTAGTATGAAGTGAGAAACCTTTCTCGATCTTACCAAACTTCTCAAACCTTTTCTCCAAATCTCCAATATTATCGACAAGAGAAGGAGCAATAGCTCCCACATATATTCGACGCACCCTGGAGCCCATCCTGATAACTGTCTAGCTTAAAGATTTAAAATAATTTTTTAGCACTGGCCCGGGTAATAACCAGTGTTTTCGAAAAACTTGAAAAACTAATTGTTTCTTGTTATTCTCAGAATGCCGGTCCAGGAAGATTCATTCTTGGCTGTTGAGGAAACTATTCCTTTGAATGCCGACTGCTATTTGAGTACCCTGGATGAGAAGCAAAGAGAATCGTTTGTTTCGAAAAATATCACCATTCCTTTGAAGGAGGAAGGCGAGGAAGTCGTCATTGATACCGTCAGCGACCTTCCCGAGGATTCAAGTGAACTTTGCGCCTTGCTTACAAACGAGGAGTCAGCAGCCGAGCATTGGCTTGTTGTCGCCAAGGCATATGCCAGCCAAGGTAAAATCGACGAGTCTTTGAACGTTATCAGAAACGCATTGGATTCACCAACTATCATGGACGCTACCGGAGACGTCCAATCTACCTTGCACGGATTTTTGGCTTGGTTGTACCTGGCAAGAGAAGGGAAGGCAAGTGGCTCTATTACATATGAAATGGCTTCCAAGGAAACCGAGACCGCACTTTCCCTGGATTCTACTAACGAGTTAACTCTTCTCTCACAAGCTTTGTTGTCTCTATCCTCAGGAAAACAGAAGAACAAGCAAACCAATTTTGAGAAAGAGTCAAGATCTCTTGATAACATTCTGAAGAAGAACCCAAAGAATTGTTTTGCTTTGGTTGCCAAAGCCAAGATATTCTTTTACAAGGAAAACTACACGGCCGCTCTTAAAGTCTTCCAAAGGGTTTTGATGTTGAACCCATTGCTTAGACCAGATCCAAGAATCGGTATTGGAATGTGCTACTGGATGCTAGACAGAAAAAAGCTTGCCAACCAGGCCTGGCAAAACTCGATCCAGGTGAACCCAGAAAAGAACTTGGAAGCCAAGATTTTAATCTCGATTGCCAAATTTGATGATGCATTCACTGGTGCTGTCTCCGATGAGGATTTCAAAGAGAAATACACTCTCGCATTGGAATTCACGAAAGCTTCGTATATCGATGCTCCTACTAATGGCGTTATCCTGTTAATTTTGGCCTCTTTTTACTTTTCCAAAGGAGATTACGCATTGGTCGAAAAGGTTGGTGAAAAGTTGTCCAAGAGCACAACAGTCTCCAGTGCTGTTAAGAGTGATGCTTTCTTCTGGCTTGCCAGATGCAAGTTCGTTCAAAACGATGCTCTTCAAGCTCAGAAATACTTTAGCAGCTCAATCAAATTGAATGAGAACAACTTGCTGGCAAGATTCGGATATGGACAATGTCTTGTTCTAAGAAATGACATCAACGATGCCATCAGATCGTTCGAGAAATTACAGGCATCTCATCCACGTATACTTGAAGTCACATTTGCTTTGGGAATGCTTTACAGCAAGAACCCTAAGCAAGCTGACAAGGCCATTTCGTTCTTGGAGAAATACGTTTCTCTTGCAAAGGAACATGGAGAGTCATTGAACACTTCTGCCCTTATTACTCTGGCCACTCTTTACGAAACTAGAGACATCTCACAATCACTCAAATTTTTGACTCTGTTGAAAGAGAAAGAAGTTTCGCTAGGTAAGTCAGATACCGAGCTTTCGTTTGCTTTGCTCAATAATATCGGAGTGTTGTCATTGCTGAAGAATGAAAATGATCCACTTTCCTATTTTGAGAATAGTTTACAAGCCCTTGAGTCACAAGAAGACGAGAGCACCAAGAAAGATGCTATCAAACTCATTTTGAATTACAACGTCGCTCGGTGTAAGGAATCCCAGAATGATATTGAGAGTGCGAAGTTGAAGTACCAACAAATCATTGAGCAATGTCCAGGTTACCACAGCGCCAGATTAAGGTGGTTGCTCCTCACATGTCTTTCTGATAAAGAAGATATCCATGAGGAACTTACACAGCTTTTGGATGAGGCCTCAGATGATTTGGAAGTGAGATCTTTCTATGGATGGTACGTCAAGAAGTTCGGGAAGAAATACATGGATACAAAAGGTAAAGACTTGGAAAGTGAACACCACAGAGAGACTCTGGTCAAGCACACATCTCACGACTGTTATGCCTTGGTTTCATTAGGAAACGTTTATGCTACTCTTGCCAGGGAAGCCAAGGACCAGCAAAAGAAAGAGCAGTACTACACTCGTGGTGCTCAACTTTATCAAAAGGTTCTTTCCATCGATCCAAAGGACGCTTATGCTGCACAAGGAATCGCCATCATATTTGCTGACAAGAAGCAGATCGGTTTGGCCCTTGAAATTTTCAGAAAAGTGAGAGAATCGTTACAGGACATTTCTGTTTACATGAATCTTGGACACTGTTTTCTGGAAGCCAAACAATATGCCAAAAGTATTGAGAGTTATCAGCTAGCCTTGACTCGTTTCACTAATGGCCAAGATGCTAACATTCTAAATTTCATCAGCAGAGCATGGCTTTATAGAGCAATGTCGGAAAAGAATCTCGAGTACTTCAAAACGTCTCTTGAAATTGCCGAGAAGTCTTTTAAGTTCAGCAGCATTCCATCGTTGAGATTCAACATTGCGTTTGTTCATTTCCAGATTGCCGAATTTTTGAGAAAACAACCAAGTTCCAAGAGAACTATCAGCGATTTGGAAGAGTGTGTCGTTGGACTAGGTAAGGCTATTGAGACCCTGAACGATCTGGCTGCCAATGAAAGCCACCTTCCTTTCCCTGCCGAGGAGCTCAAGTTGAGAGCCAACATGGGTAACACGTTGACCAAGCAGTTGGAGAAGGCTATTGCCGAACAGAAGGATTACGAAGGAGGTTTGGAGAGCAAGCTTCGTGAAGCCAAGAAGCTCAAGACTCTGGAGGAACAGAGAAAGCTGGAGCAAAAGAAGAAGGAAGAGGAGGAGAGAAAGAAGCTTGAGGAGAAGCTTGCCGAGGAGAGAAAACAGCTTGAAGAGACCACCAAGGCGTGGAATCAACAGCGGTTGGAAGAGGACAAGGACAACAGGGACGAGCTCGACGTCACTTCTGAGGACAAACCCAAGAAGAAGAAGGGAGGACGCAAGAAGAAGAAGGAGTTCGTTGTTGAGAGCGAAGATGAAGATGAGGAGGAAGTGAAGAAAGACGAGAGCGAGGACGATAAGAGTGATGTTGGCGACCTTTTCGACGAAGAGAGTGACGACGAGAAGAAACGTAAAGCAGAAGACGACGAAGACGGGGAAACAGAAGGAGAGAGAAAGAAGTCCAAGCCGGACGAAGGAGGGCTGGAGAATTTATTTGAAGAGTGATGTAAAATAGAACGTACAAACACAATTATCTTTCGAATTTCTTGGACCGTTTATCACGCACTGCGTCTTTGACTTTGCGGATATCCTCATCTTTGGCATTGAAGCTGACGTTGGTTTCTTTGTTCATTGGGTTTTCGTCACTCTTTTGGAACTCCTTGTAGATGAGCTGTTCCAGCTGTTGTTTTCTGAGGCCTGGGTTTTCTTTTTTGAACTCAGGAAGTCTTCTTTCTGTGTATGCTGCCAAAGCCGCCTTGAACCGTCTTTCTGGGTGTCTGTCGATTTCCTTGGCACCCACGGCGTCATTTTTCAACAGCGACAAAGCGGCAATGGAATCTTCGATTCCGTGGGCGTCGATGGAGCCTTTTGAGCCAAACGAGTTCAATGCATCATCCAGGTCAGAGTTACCTCCCTTTTTACCCTTGCCCTTGCCTTTACCCTTTGCCTTGGCCGGCAACGACTCTTCTTCCATTGCCAACAGAGCCTCTCTTTCCTTCTTTTTGTCGGCGTCGGCCTGCTTCTTGGCCTGCTTTTCCAGCTGCTTCTTGTTCACCTTCTTTCCACCTTCATCCCAATCGCTATCGCTGTCGGGAGCTTGCTCGACTTCTTGCTTCTTGCCTTTCTTCGCCATGGAGATATCGAAAAAAAATTACGAAATAATATTTACACTAAATTTCTATGTACAATTCACAGACTTTGACTATTCAGCAAAACAAGTCCGTCGGCAAGGTCGATGTCCACAATCACCGCGTCCTGAACAACGTCTCCCACCTCGATCCTACTAAGACGTTTCTGGCTCTCTTCCGTTGGCGCAGTCTCCAGAGTTCCATAGACTCCATATTCTGGCAGCAGAACGTCCAAAAGTCCATCCTCGGACGCTTTCTTGCAAACAATGCATTTCACAAGAGGAGCAGTACCAGACCGTGTTTGTAGGTACTTGAGGTACTTGAAGATGTAGAAAGTCATCACCTTGGACGAGACCCGTCTGTCAATCTCGTTGCGCATCATCAAATGAGAAGCAATCGCGCTAATGTGCCGAGGCCCAAATATCGGCTCGCCTTTGCTCAAAAATGAGCTCAGTTGCCAATGGTTCACAAAGTCAGAAAAACGTCTCAGTGGAGACGTCACCGTGGCATACGAACTAACACCAAGCGAGCTGTGCAGTCCGGGAACCGGAGAAACGTAAGATTTGCTTGAGAATTCCCGGAGCGTCAGGAAATCTCTCACTGTAGTCTGTGGGTTCTGCTTCAAGACGTCCAGTTCTCTTCTCACTTCGCTGGTTATTGGAAGAGGGTTCTGGATCTTGAACAGTGCAGGAATATTGTTTTTGCTGAAAAACTCACCAACAAGCTTGTTGCTGTTCACCATAAGCTCCGAGACCAGAACCTCAGACTTGAGCTGCTGGTTTCTTTGGACGTCCTTGAAGTCGATGATGATATTCTGCTCCTCGTCTTCCGTAATCTTGCTGATTCTGCGCTCGTTAGTGACGTTATTATAAGTTCCTCTGCCTGCCTTTTCCGCCTGTTGCTTCAAAGTGCTCGAAACTTTGTACAACATTTCTAGCTCAGAAGAAATAATGTCTGGTTGCACTCCGGTCTTCGAGGAGATGCCAGCGATAACCTCACTCGAGTCGGCAGACTTATCCAACACCTTGTGAACAGAGTCGTAATCAACGCTAATGAACTTATCAGCAGTACCAAACTCGATCCCGTTTTCAGCTAGTGATGTGCTTCCAGTCTTGACGTTGACTTCGAAGCTCACTTTGAAAACTCGTTTCGAAGCACCAAATTCTCCAAGCTGGATCCGTTTGGTGAATGCTTCAGGAAGCATGGCCACTCCAGTGTTCGATGAGCCAACATCCGGCAGGTACAAAGTGGAGCCCCGATCGTAAGCAATCTCCGAAACAACACTTGTCGGTTCCATGTACGACGATGGATCAGCCACAAACACACCAACAAGATACCGATCATCGTCCAGCTTCTTGACACTGACACCATCATCGATCTCTTGCGCATCAGGCGAATCAATACAGTACACATGGTCTGAGTAATGTGGCCGCTTGTCGTCGGAAGACTTGAAATCAAAGAACAAATCGACGGTGTCGTCTGTAATCGTCGAAAAATACTCGTTTTCGGCATCAGCTTTTGAAGATATGCCAGTTCCAGAAGTTGGAGACATATACCACCATTTGATCGGGTTCTCGCTTGGAGAGATCTGCTTCAGATTCAATAAGAGTTCGTAGATCATATCTTTGGTGATATCAGCTTGTGAATGGGTTGGCAGTTTTCTCACACATTTCACCAAAAAGGACTCCGTGTGTGGACCACTTGAGGATCCTGCTATGTATAAGCGATACATCTCCATAATAGTATCGTAATAGGCTGGTTTTGTGATGTTGTGGACAGGTTCACCCTCAAGCTGTCTAGATATGTAGTTCGACAACGACGAGTAATGGTCCTCACTTTCCTCATAAAAGTCAACAACCTTGGAGTGCTCTATGAGTTTGTGAATTGGAACAGCAACCACATACTTTGGAAATATGCTCAAAGTATCGTGGAGGAACGTTTCATTGTTTTTGCGCAACCCAACAATGTAAGCATACAGCAACTGCGGCGGCACTTGTGCCATAGAGTCAAATTCTCCGAAGATAGCCTTTCCCATACTAAGCCAGCTATATTGGTCCTTCAGGTTAAGAATATCAGAGATCTTGGAATGGACGGTTGATAGTTTTGTTTTCACAGGTATATCTTCCCTGACTTTCAAAAGCTTGAAGAAATGGTCTAGGTTGATGCTTTCACAAGCACGTAAAATGTCTGAGAATGTATAAAGTTGAGGACCATTCGCACTTTGTAAAACATTGTGAGCCAACTCAAGCTTTAAATTGACATCCGGGAGACGACCACGAGATCCTCGAGCAAGAGTTGTCAATTCGGTACTGATTATTCCCGACAGAATAGACGGAACAATGTATGTGGTTAACTCTGTGGTATCGAGCTCGCGAGCCTTGACTCCGTCAAACAATTTTGCTCTCTCGGGACTGTCCTCTAATTTATATTTCACTTTTCCAATAGGTTGAATGCTGGACTTCATTTCTTCTAAAAGGCCCACCTCATTCAAGACTATTTCCCCCGTGAACCATTCTTTTGGAAATATCCGAGGGATTCTGCACTTGAACCGTTTTCTGGTAAAAAATTCGAGGTCTCCGTACTTGTTCAGTAAAGTGTATCTCGGATCACTTGCGCTCTTAGGCAGTTCCACGATGACGGCCAGGTCATCACCACCAAATGATGTAGACAGATCAACCACATCTCCCACATCTATCTCTGTATGGTAAAGATCGTTGAAAGTGACCCTGTTTCTGATATTTCCATGCTCTTTGACCAACAGTTTACGAACTATTGTTCTGTTCTTTAAAGAATCCATATAGTCGAAACCATCCGGCAACTTGGCCGAACCAAACTTCTTGTCCAACCAAACTTGGTTGGGTTTCTTGAAACGGACATTATCGAAATATTCCAGGTCAGAAGTGAGAGATTTGACGTAATCGTTGTTATTAACTTTCAATAGTTCACTAGGGGATCTGAAAACTTTTTGAAGTTCAAGCTGTGGTTTTTTCTTCGACTTGGACTTAAGCCTCAAAGTCCCAGAGAAAAAAGATCTCCATCCGGTTCCTCTGAGTATGACCAAATTCGATCTGGCCTGCTTTGCCAAGGTATATCGTAACATTGTACTATACCTTGAACAAGAAAAATATATCAAGAAAAAAAAATTACTTAAATCTATTATTATGGTAGCTAGAAAATATTGTCCAACACATTTTTCAGCTTTTTGCTTTCTGTGTTTTTGTGATCTTTCTGAGATGCATCGGCGGTGGCACGGTTAGTGGTAACAGACCGTTGTTCAAAGACACGCTGGACGGTTGGCTCTGTGTTCTGCTTACGGCGTTTGATGTTCTCAATCATCTTGGACGTTTCCACATTCTTGATATAGTTCTTGTTCATCTTATGGGCTTGCGATAGTTCGGACTGCATCTTGCTTTCTCTGATTTCAATCTCGCGACTCATGGCCTCGGTCAGATCGTGCCATTTGAATCCCTTCAGATACTTGACGTTCATTATATCGTCGTAGTAGAAATTTCCTTTCTTACCTCCTAATTTGTTACCGTTCAAGGTCTGCGCAGCAAGCTTGGCATCGCTCTTATTTTCAAACTCGCACCATCCTTCGTCAAACTTCTTTTTCTTGTTTCCTCCGGTCTTCACTCTGGTCTTGTAAATTTTTGAATCCTCAGGCTTCAAGTACAAACGGCCCACTTTGCCGAATCTTGATAAAACATGTCTCAGCTTGGCAGGCTTCATGTATGGTGGGATAGATGACAAATATATGACTCCACTGCGTTTGATTTTCTTCTGTTCCTTAGCCAGCTGCTCTGGGGTCAACTTTTTCAGTTTCTGCGAGCTCTCGGCCATTTCTTGCTGGGCGTCCCGAACATGTTTCTCAAACTCAGCTTCATAATCGTCTAGTCCTTCTCCATCTTCTAAATCGCCTTGACTGGCTGGATCGTCGTCCTGATCCTCATCTTCACTGTCACTTTCTTCAAAACGATCCTTCACGGTTTTCTTACGGCTGGTCACGTCATTTCCTTCGTCGCTTTCATCCGCACTAGCCTGATCAAAATCGCTTTCCTCGTCCTCAGAGCGAATCTTCCAGTCGTCCTCGCTCTCGTTGTCAGAAAGCCCTCGTTTACCCATATCTCTATTAAAAAAAATATTTTTTCACTATTTATTTCCAGAAATTTTGGTAAGGTGTGGAGAATACTTGGTAACCATCTCAACAGCGGCTGCTCCCCAATCTTCTCCGTGGTTATGCATTTTACCAGGAATTAAACCAGCACGGGCTTCGGCTTGCTCTTCAGTCAAACAAGTAAGAACACCGAAAATTACCGGCTTGTAAATCTTGAACTGTAGATCCATCAGAGCATTGGTGACTGAATCACAAATGTACTCAAAGTGCATGGTGGAACCCTTGATCAGACATCCAATTGGAATCACAACATCAACGTCATGTTTCTCAAACATAGCAGCAGAAGCTAATGGAAGCTCGTAAGAACCAGGAACAGATTCAATGATAATATTGTCCTCCTTAACGTTGAGCTCCAATAACCGCTTCTTAGCACCTTGCACCAGGTTGTCAATGATAACCTTGTTCCATCTAGCATGAACAATTCCCACACGGACCTTGCTTCCGTCCAATTCCTGATCTAATTCGCCCAATCCTTTAACTGCCATCTTTTGATATTCAATATAGTCAAGAAATTTCAACTAACCGTTGCCATCATTAAATATTCCGATATATGCATACAATGAAAATAATCTTTGCACCTTCTGCCTGCGTGCAAACACAGCCGTAAATTTACATTACGCGTAACGGAAAACATTTTTGACATCTTGTCTTGCCCTCCATGTCTACCAGTGTTTCGTTAATTCGCAAAAGAAAGCTTTCGGACCTTTCGTCTTCACCCGACGGCAAGAAGTCCTCGGCCGTTGTTGTCGCTGCTTTATATAACCTTGATCCGGCCTCAGACTCCCCCCATCAGATTCAGCTACACCGCAAGATGTGTCTCAAGATTGGCCGTTCCAAAAAGAATGACGTTGTTGTCACTCCGCCGGATTGTTCAACGTACCATTGTGAGATCGGAGTTAGCCACCTTAATGGTAAGGACATTATTTACTTGAAAGATCTGAGCTCAAACGGAACCTTCATAAACGGTCTTTTGGTGGGAAAGGATAACACCTGTTTGATTCGCTCGGGCGACAAGGTCTCTTTTGCTGCAGATTGCCATTATGTGCTAAAATATCAGGCAAGCTTTGTCTTCAAGAGCACAAAGGCCCCTGGATCCGGATCTTTCTACGACACTTATGTAATCGGGGATCTTTTAGGCTGCGGGCATTACGCACAAGTGAAAGACGCCATAAGAAGAACTACAGGAGAGGTATGTGCAGTGAAGATCTTCAATCCTACACGCAAGGACGCCAATTGGGCCACGTCTCTCAATAGAGAACTCGACATTCTAATGAAGATCGACCACCCAAACATTGTTCGATCGTATGAAACATTTGTTGAGCCGTATGACGCAAATACAATGACCACCTATTTGGTTCTCGAGAAAGTGAATGGAGGCGAATTGTTCAATCGAATAGTTTCAAAGGGTAAATTAGGCCAAAAGGAAACTAAAGCACTTATCGGACAACTGATCGATGGCTTAAGATATTTGCATTCATTGGACATAGCACACCGTGACCTGAAACCCGAGAATATTCTTCTGGATATCAAATTACGCAGTGATGAGTCCGAGAAACAGACGGGCCCTTGGGACAAGCATGAGCTCGACGTGAAGGTGAAGATCGCAGATTTCGGACTAGCGAAATTCATCGGACGAACAAAATTCACAGATACATTGTGCGGCACCCCTGCATATGTCGCTCCGGAGGTGCTTGTAAACTCCACCGAGCGAAAATATACCAAAGCCGTTGACATGTGGTCTGTGGGGGTGTTAATTTACGTTTGTCTATGCGGCTTCCCTCCATTTAGCGAAGAACTTGGTCCACCATCAATGAGACAACAGATCATCGAAGGACGCTATTTCTTTTTCTCTCCTTACTGGGATGGAATAGAGGATTCTGCGCTGGATTTGATTGCTCGGCTGTTGGTGGTTGATGCAACCAAACGGTTACCGGTTGCCGATGCTGCCAAGCATGCTTGGCTCAAAGAAGTGCAACCAGAAAAGCCAGTTGCTGAAATTGAATTCAAAGGAACACGAGTTCCAGCCAACCGCGGCTATTCGAGCCCTATCACATTGGCCGAGCGTGTGAAGAGCTCATTGGGCGACGATACGCTCGCTCGGGCCTATAGCGTGGACGTTGATATGGCATGATCCAAGGCTGTGCAAGGTTAAACTTTAGTGCGATGTGATACGAGAAAAAAAAAAACAGTGGCATTTGATGATCAGACAGTGGAAGTCGATACGCCAATTCCACCAAACGGTTGCCAGGTCTGCCGACTTTACTCATGTTGTAGTCGGTGCGGGTGCTGTGGGACTAGCAATTGGTGCGGAGCTCGCGAAAAGAGAGTCCAACAACGTTCTAGTGATTGAGAAGCACGCTCATCACGGACAGGAGACTTCGTCTAGAAACTCCGAAGTTATTCATGCGGGGCTGTATTTTCCGCCGAAATCCTTGCGGACGCAACTGTGTTTACGGGGGAAAGAATTGATCTACGAAGCAGCCAAGGCCGGTGTGGAGTTGAGCCAGTGTGGAAAATGGGTTGTGGCACAAGACGAGGTTGAGGAGCAGTATCTTGAGAAATTGCACGAGAACACCAAAGTCATTGGTGTTCCTACAGAGTTTGTGCCGTTGGAGAAGGCCAAACAGCAAGAACCGTTGATCAGAGCCAACAAGGGCGTTTTGAACTCACCAACAACGGGAATTGTTTCTGCACATTCGTTGATGAACTATCTATCTGCAGAACTAGATAACAGGGAGGGAATGCTCATGACGTCGACGGAATTGACTGGTGTCGAGAAGAACGGCGACGAGTACACGCTTCGAACGATTTCTGGAGGAGAAGAGTTCATTTTAACCAGTAACGTTGTCATTAATAGTGCGGGACATTATGCACCGGGAATTGCCAATATGCTGCTTCCTCCAGAGAAACAGTATAAGGCATATTATGCCAAAGGGAATTATTTTGCGTACTCTGGAAACCCGGGGATCCAGAGGCTGATATATCCATGCCCAAACCCAGGAATTGCTTCTTTGGGCACCCACTTGACACTTGATCTGGGCGGACAGATCCGGTTTGGGCCAGATTTAGAGTGGGTCGACAGTCCTGACGACTTCCAGCCCAACTCGAAGAATCTTGTCTCTGCGTTTGAGTCTGTTGCTCGGTTTTTCCCCGGAGTCAAGCTCGAAAATATGAGCGCCAGTTATACCGGGATCAGACCGAAACTGCATGGGCCAGAGTTCAAGGAGTTTCAAGACTTCATCATAGAGGAAACTCTGCCTGGGTTTGTTAACCTTTTGAGCATCGAGAGTCCCGGTTTGACTTCTTGCATGGGCATAGGAAAATATGTATATGAAATGGTCGGATAGATTATGATTTTTGAGGAAGCTTTTCTGGTTCTGTAGGTTCAGGAGACTCTGTGAAATATGGATGAAGCAAACAGGCCTTTGTGTCTAGTCTATTATTTGGATTCAGAGAGAGCATTCCACACATCAGATCCAGAGCCAATTCGGTAGCTGCTGGGAATCTGTTTCGAAGTTCTTGGCGAGAAGGTTCTGGGAAGACGGTCAGGTTGTTGTAATGAGGCAGGTGTGAAACTCCGGGCCATTTTTCCTCGGTTGGCGTTCCGAGAGCCTGGAATGTGACCACCAGTTGGTCAGAGTCGTCTTTTCCAGGGAGATACGGGGTTCTCAGCATCAGCTCTGCAAAAATGATACCCACTGCCCAGACATCGATGGCTGGAGAGTAATGCTGAGCTCCAAACAAAAGCTCTGGGCTTCTGTACCATCGGGTGACGACGTTGGATGTCAGTTTTTCGTTTGGATGGCCAAGAGATCTGGCCAGACCGAAATCCGCCAGTTTCAGGTAGCCTTCTGGCGAGATCAGCAAGTTATTTGGTTTCAAATCGCGATGAAGAATCCCGTTTCTATGGCAATGGTGCAGTCCTCTCAAAGTCATCAGCATCCACGACTTGATATCTGCTGGAATGATCATGATCTTCTTGTCGTTTATGATCATTTCAAGGTCCGAAGGTAAGAATTCCAGAATCAGATTGAGGTTCTTGTCCTTATCAGCGAAAACGTCAACCAGTTCAATCACATTTTCATGTTTGAGTTCTTGGAGATACTTCATTTCTCTTATGGCAGACATATCAAGACCGTCTTTGAACGTTCCTGTTTTAATCTCCTTGATGGCAATGTCCCGGCCAGTAACTACCTGTTTTCCCAGATAAACAACGGCATAGGTACCTTCACCGACTTTTTTCTCTTTGGTGTAACCTGAAGACATTTGAACCGGTTCTATATTAAATAATCAAAAAAAAACAAGGTTAAAAAAACATAAAAATTATATTTAGCTTGTGTTTCCCAACTAGCCGCTTTGTCTATTAATTTGATTGAAAAGTCGCCACCAGCTTTCCATTTTGAACTCCCATCGCTTCCGCATATAAAATGAAATGTTGGCAGTTTTCTTTGGGTTTACTGTCCCTATTCCCTAGAAAGATATTCGGTTTGCCGATAGGGGCTCAGGATGCTTTAAACTCGGCTTCCATTGGGTACATGATTGTGATAGGGATAATCATTGGCTCGAGCATAGTTATCGTGATAGCTTTGATTATCTATCTTTTCCACGAGCTTCTAAGAAAAGGAATCCGTCTTACTAACGAGTTCCCTGGTTCTATAGATGATGCTGCATTGGAGGCGGAAGAAGATAGACGTGCATTGGACGAGCTGCCTCCAAACGAACAAGAGCTGTATTTTCAGGCCAAGGACTTTCTCAAGCTCAACCCCATGAATAACCAGGATCTGACGTTGTCCCAAAACCTCATCATCCAGGAAAAAGGAGTTGCTGCTTGGGAATTTCGTCCCCATGTTGAATGTCAAGATTTGATATCCGTGGCGAATAAAACCGAGATCGAGTTCAAAAACTCAGGACAAGAACTATCCATCCAGACCAACTTTCCTATACCCAAATTGAACGAGGTCTACTACTTTGAAACAAAAGTTTACGAGCTTCCCAACCCGCAAGATACCATATTCTCCGTTGGACTATCTACATCGCCATACCCATTTTTCCGCCTTCCTGGCCGCAACAGGATCTCCGCCGCTTACGACTCAAACGGATACCGTCGCTTCAACCAGCCGTTCCCGCTTCAACCAAGCACCTTCCCAGTTCTCGAGCACGGCGACGTGATTGGATGTGGTTTGAGAACCACCACCAGGACTCTTTTCTGGACCAGAAACGGCAAGAAGATCTCTGAGTCCAAAATAGGGGGGCACATCAAGGTGCCAAAGAACCTGCAACTGTATCCGACGATTGGCGCAAACAACAAGTGCGAATTGCACGTGAATATGGGACAGGCTGGATATGTTTTCATTGAAGGAAACGTCAAAAAATGGGGCTTTGGACCGTTGGAAGGAAACGAGATGCCTCCACCGCTATACACCAAGTTCAACAAAGATGTGTTATTAGAGAGCAGCGACCTGGATCCGTCAGACCTGAGTCTTCGAAACGGTGACTTTCCACCAGACTTCTGGGACACCCTCGACACACCTGCTGAGTTCAGCGAGGTGGAAGAAAACATCACCCTTCACAGTTTGAAAGAGATACAGGATCAGGAATTGGAACAGGAGCTGGAGCAAGAGCTACAACAAGGACCAGAAAGCCCGCCAGGCTACGAAGTTTAGCTTTATTTCACTCGAGATGTGAACATAAAGAGTCTATAATAATTAATGATACATATTAGGAACACTTCCATTCGGCATAGACGTGCAAGGAGTCTTTTTTCTGCACCACCAGTCTCCAGAGGCCGGGCTCTTTGAGACGTTTGACCAGCTCGTATGCGCCGTTCTTGTACTGCAAAAGGTGGAACGAGCCGGACGGAGAAACAAGGTTGCACTTGAGATCTCTGTTGGAGCATGTCAGCTGGAAGTTGTACGGCACGGTCTGGATCAGGTCGAAGATCTGGGGCTGTTTGATGTAGAGGTCGATGTTCAGTTGGTGATTATTATCGTTGAGCTTGACCCACTCGATAGGCTTGTACTTTCCTTTATGGGAGCACGGCAGAGATATCACCATCGAGAAATTGGAAGACACAGACAGCGTTGATCTGGCGTATACGCAGACGAACCCAAGAGAGCATCTTGGTGGCAGAACAGCCTTGATCTTGGCGAGTCTTTTCTCCTTTCTGGTGTAGGTCTGAACAAACGCTTCTGTTTGGGAGTCTCCGTCGAAAGAACGCACCAGAGCACGCAGATCGAGGTTTTCAGGGACCTCGAGGTCGAACTCGATCAGTTCGTAGTCCGTGAGACGGAACAACGAGTGGCTGAACTTGTAGAGACTGAGTCTGTGGTTGATGAATGCAAAATAAAGAGGAGGTAGTGCCAGCTGGACAAGTGGATCGAGGGGAGGAACAACGTGCTGTTGGTCCTGATGCATAGGAACGTGTGTGTAGAGCAGCTCTAGGGGTTTGGTCAGAAAGTAGAAGTTGGAGTTACTCTGTATAGAGTTTGCGTCCACGAGGTTGAGGTCGTTGTTGTTAGGATGGGTGTGGTTTCCTAGTCCAACGTCGACAAACCGGTACTCTCCATCAACCAGCACCGAGATCCACGAATGATTAAGGTTGAGATTGGAGTCAAGCAGCTCGAACGGTGTTTTGAACCGTCCTAGCACGATTTCCATCTCCAAGTCGAGATGCGAGGCCATGATGTAAAACAGCCAGGTCAGTTGGTGAGAAGTGCATCGCTTGCGGTGCATGATATCAGACAATACCGATTCTGACGGAGATATTTTGGCACTGAGCTTTTCAAGCGGTTTCTTCACGATTTCAAATCTAGTTGTCAAATAAAAGTAGATTGCACGGAGTTGCTCGACGGGGGTGGAGAACCTCGGCAGAATGCGGTTGTTCATAATCTCGTTTGGACCCACAAACCGGTCGTCTGGCAGGTCATTCACATACCGGTCGACGAAACCGAGGCTTGAAACAGAAAGAACAGAAGGAGCCGTGTAGGACGTTTTTTCGTCGAGATTGAGCTCCGAAATGGCCTTGTGCGGCTGCAAGATCAGCTCAGGGTCCTGCTGGACCACTCTGGACTTTCTGTTTGCGCGGTCGCGGCCATTCAGAGTCCGTGTACGCGACAGTTGAGTATCGACGGGAGCCGGAGATTCCACAATGGTTGCCTCTTCCAGTTTGTCCAAATTTGTGCTAAAGATCCTGTCGTCTAATGTTGGCTCGTAGTCGGCCTTTTTGCCAAGGAACTTTCTAAAGAACTTTGGGTGTTTGGCATTGGGGCCTTTCTCGAGCATAGAACTAAACAGGTCCGACTTGTTGCCGTCGGTCATGCTTGATTGGAACTTAGACTCCTTGTGGCGCATGAAAGAGCCAGCCGACGTGGCCGAGAAGTCGGAATGGCCAAAATACGACGATCGCTCAGTATCTGTTGAAAGAGCGGAAGAATCAAGGATTCTTTGGGAAAAAGAGTTGGTAAACAGCTTATCGTAGGTGGAGTATTGGTGTTTTGGAGGCGGAGGTGGACTCTCATTGAAATTAGTAATGTCTGTAGGGGTGGAAACCGAGGACTCGCGGTGGAAACTGGCCGTTGAGGCGGAAGGAGTCAGCCTCAAGCTTCTAGAAGACTTGGATTCTCTCAATTCCAACAAACTCTTTCTGGAATCCGATTTGGTGATCTGCAAAACACGAACATACTTGATAGGAAACCGTCCTTTCAATTTGCTTCTGAGCGAAAGACCATAGCACCACTGGCCATCAGGGGTAATTTTAGAAACATCTATAATGTCTCCCTCAATGAACCCTAGATCCTTCTCCTTGTTATTACCACCCCAGCTCCAGGTGGCTTGGACTTTGAATGGAGGAGAAGGAACGGACATGCTTAGCAATACAAAAGGAGTATCCTGGATTTAAAAGATGAGTTTGTGCAAAACCAGCCTCCAGATCATTAATTATCCATTTCGGGCAAAAAAAAAATACAATTTGATCTTCGCTGTGGGTGTGGAACGGGGAGTGGTATGCAAAGATTGGTTTGAGTAGGGGCTTTGGGAGTGGCAGAACTGGTGTCTACACATTAAAATTGGTGGGTACGCACATTTTAAACCTGGTGAAGGCACCATTTTTGCTCATGTTACACCACCAAAGTGCGGTTTCTGTCTTCGCGCGCAAGGACGCGGAAAATCCGCCTTTTCTGCCAAAACTTCAAATTTTCTTACAACTGTCCCACGAGTATGTCTTCCCTTGATAAGCTCACCGATTCACTGTATGTATACATCTTTTCTATCTAACTCCAGTCTCATAGCACGGGAGTATGACTCACTCGCTCCAGAGGAGATCGTAAGCCACAAAACCACCGGAATGCGCTCCAGGCTCAAGTTCTCTGACGATTCCCATCGCGAGAAGGTGTGGTCTAACGAAATGCTCTTCTTCTACATGAACTTGTTGCTGGACGAATACAACACAGGAATGAAGTTTGGGCTGTTTAGAAACAAGGACAGCTACGGCCCAAAGAGTGGCGTGGTCGAGATCATGTTCCATCCCTTTCTTTGGGCTGGCGACTGGCATTTGGCTGTTGGATTCCACAAACTGCACAAGATCGCGGTGATCAATTGTTCCAAGCTGGATCCAAAGGAAAACGCCGGGTTCCCTATTCGCAGTGTTTTGAAGCTCGAGGAGTTCGTGTTCTTTTTTGGGCACAAGATCAACAAGTCGTCTTTGAAACATCCGTATAAGGCTGCCAGTTTTATCGAGCCTGTGAGTTCGATCAACGCAATCAATTTGCTGGCTCTTGTTTTCACCTTCTGTGTGACGCCCACGCATTTGACCGACATGTTCTCGCAAGTCGGAGCGGAACCCAGAACGTACGACGTTTCGGAGTTTTACGAGGAGATCGTCCGTTTCGACCGGTTCGGATACGCTCGCGCAGTTCTTGGGAACCAGGTTATGGACAAATTGGTGGAGAAAAGTCTTCCTGAACAGCAGGTATCGGAAACGTCGTATCCATTTGAGTTGGAAAATACAGACTTTGACGCGATTTTCCCTAAGAAGACCGCTGAGCATTTCCTCAAGGCAATGAAGGAAGGAGACGACGGGTTCATTCAAGATGCGGACGTGTTCGACGAGGTGGTGGAGATGATCGAAGGCTGGTGCCATGTTGGCCAGAAAGATGAGTTCGAGTCTTGGAGCATGCTTTTCAGAGAAAGCATTGTTGCATTCTACTCGGTTGGAAGCAAGATGGAGTTTGACGAGGAGGAGTTTGGCGAGGTTCTACAGAGCGCAGACCACAAAAGCCAGGTTTTCCCGTTGATACTCGAAAACGGTAACCTGCTTCTGATCAACTTGGAACGTCAAGAAACAGAACTCATCTCCAACATCGTGGAGCTTTCTTCCAAGAACCTGAAAGGCTCGACGGTGGTCCGGACGTTTGCTGTTCGTCGACTCATCGAGATGTACGGTTGGCACAATCGTTTATTAGTGTCCAAAGTCAACTTCCATCGCTACTCCGTGCGCACACAGGATCTGACCAAAAACATCACCACGTTCTTCTTTTTTATTCACCATTTCATCCACCATGGCAAATTCGACACCCAACTTGCTCCTGACCAAATAGATACCGATTACTATGGGGTTGCATTTCAGTCTCTGATGCACAGGATAGTGGCTGGAAACAGGTCCGGGATCCTCAGCGACTACCGCAAGCTAGTCAAATGTATAAGCTAATCATAACCAATCATTACAACTACATGTTGAGCGAACGAGCAGCATGGAGACATGTTGTGCACTTGCTTAATATAAATGTATCACCTCATTGTTTTATTTTCAAATGATCAGACAGTATGGCCGAGTGGTTAAGGCGTTTGACTCGAATCCTTTTCGTGCCATCAAATGGACTTTGTCCGCACAGGTTCAAATCCTGTTGCTGTCGAATTTTTTTTTGCATCATATTTTTTTATGACGCGTGGGACGTTAATTGCCATAGAAGGTCTTGATCGGACCGGGAAGACCACACAAACGACAAAACTGATCAACAGACTTGCTCAAGATGGCAAAGACGTCGAGCTGATCAAGTTCCCAGAGAGAACAACCGCAATTGGCAAGATCATTAATACATATCTAACAGATAAGACTTTTCAGCTGAGTGACGAATCTGCACACCTGCTGTTCAGTGCCAACCGTTGGGAGTTGTCTCAGAAGATTTATGATCTGCTGGATCAGGGGAAAACGGTTGTTTTGGATAGATACGTTTATTCTGGAGTGGCCTACTCGTCGGCCAAAGGATTATTGTTTGATTGGTGCTACAGTCCCGACATTGGGCTTCCACGGCCGGACGTGGTGATTTTTCTCAAGTTCAAGGAAGAGGAGAACTTCGAAAGAGAAGGGTTTGGCGATGAGCGGTACGAGGTGGCCGAGTTCCAGCAAAAAGTGAAGATCCAGTTTGAAAAGTTCAGCGGCCAGGATAATTGGAAACCTGTGTTTGTGGATGGCAAGAATATTGAGGAAGTTGGGGAACTCGTATGGAAATGCTACACGGATGCCACGAAACAGGCTTTGGGTCCTGTTCAGAAGTTTACGAGCCTGACTTAAAAATTATAATCAATCTTAGAAACGCAAAAGTCTGTCAAATAATACACAATAAAAAACACATCAGGAACAGATCTGCTAGTAGCCTCTTTATATGAAGGACAGGTTGGCGTAGAGAGCAACGAGAGTGGTGAAGAAACCACCAATCAGAGTCCAGTTTCCGTAGTAGGCTCTAAGCAAAAGAGCACTGGTGACCAAGTAGTGCTCGGCGATCTTGGAAGCATAGTCAAAACTCAAGGATTTGAAAGAAAGCTGGTAAGCAAGCTCGTCCTTGATGATGTGGCCGGTAACCTCGGTCTTGAACAGGATCAGGCCGAACAGCAACTTGGAAAGCGAGAAGATGAATGGGTCGTACTCAAAATTGTAGGTGAAGTTGACGTAGTACGAGGTCAATTTTGGAGCAACGTACGACACAAACAGCCACAAAGAAACAGTGGACCAGAAAGTTGGGTCCAAAAGGTGGGTCACGTCAGCAATTGGCGCCTTCAAAAGAGCAGCTGGCAGCTTCTCCTTCAAGACAGTTGGGACAAAATAGCTGTCTCCAAGAGCAATGGTCTTGATGAAGTGTCCGTAAAGGAACAGAAATTCACCAACAACAGTGAATTCATTAATGGTGAATGGATCACTCAGGTAGTCTCTAAGCTCGTAATTCTTTTCGGCAATGTAGTCTGCAACTTCGTACAAGGTGTCGTTGTCGATGTAATCGAGGACCTTGTCCAAAACAGAAGGTTCAAGGTCAAACTCGTCGTCGGAGTCGGTCTCTAACTCGTCGTACTCGTCAATCTCAAACGATTCAGCATCCTCCTCATCGTCTTCTTCCTCCTCGTCTCCAGTTGCCTTAGCAGCAGCAACATACTCGTAGTACTCGTGATTTTTGTCAAACTTGTCGGCGTTTTCCGCGAAATACTCATTGAGCTTGTCAACAATAGCTTGTTTCACTTTGGAGCCCTTGATATTCACATCAAGGTCCTTGGCGATCTCCTCAAGTTGCGCTTTAGTCTTTCTGTTTAACGAAGTCATAATAGTAAATTCAAATCGAAATGTTCTCTCTCAAGTCGTCACTTTTAACCAATTAATGAGTAATTATCCAATTGCAACGCTGTATCGCAAAAGCTGTTATCAACCGGTTTTTTATAAAATGGAAACAACAACTGTGGAAAGGTCTGTTTACTCTTTTTATTTGATTTTTTTTTGTTTTTAATTCGACGCTACATTTATTGAAACCACAGACGGCGACTCTTATGTTTATGTATTTCCCAAATAGGCAATATTAGGGATGAGATTTTCCAACGGTGTACGGATTAGGATGAGTCCTAGCGTCGTTTGAGCTTCTGCTTGCAGTCGTCGCAGTACCATTCGCCACGCGGCAGTTCCTTCAGACCCGTACAAGGGAGATGGAACCATTCGCGCTCACAACTGTCCCCGTCACACCCAACCATCTCGCCGTACGAAACTTGCTGACAGTAACAATAAACGGGCTCTGTATCGTATGGTGAGGTGCCTGCAGACTCGGATTTCGAGCCGGCTGCAGAAATGGACGCGGGACCAGACGTTGGCGCAGACCCGTTTGTTGCGTGCGGGAACTCGTCCTTGAGTCGTCTTTCCTTTTTTGGCTTGCTGGCCGACTTGACTCTTCGAATGTCCTCCACTTGGGTAGGCAAAGGCTTGCGCTTCTTTGAGTTGAAAGAGGCCGGCACGGTAAGAAGATCGGGCTGTTCGCGCTCGCGTTTGTCTTTCTTGACCTTTTTCCCGTTTGAAGAAAACGACGGAGTGCCATTGGACGGGACAGGGGTATTTCTTGCACTTTCGTCCTCGACCTCGGTTTCGGTACGCGAAGCCTTCTTTGCCGCTAGAGCCTCTCTCCTGCTCTCGCTTCTTTGAGATTGCGCGCTCTTGTGTTCGGTCACCTTCATGCAAGGGTGGATTAAAGGTCCTATTCTGACTCTTTCTGGGATCTCGTTTTCTATCACGATATCGTAGTTCTGGTTGATTCTATTGATGTGTTTGGTGACTGTATCCGATGCTATTGTGGAAACGTGCATTTTTTCTTCCAGGCACGGCATAAGGTCTTTGATGAGTTCCTTGATTCTTGCCAGCAACAGTTCCCGTTTGGGGTGAGTCCGCTTCATTTGCAGAAACCGGGTGATATATGCCTTAAGATATGGAATGGTATTAACACACTTGGCGTCTATCTCCCTCAGTAGAGTGAAATATCGTATCAGGTCAAACGGGAACGCTTGCAAGGCGTCGGTTATCTCATTTAGACCAGGACAGATATCTGACACTCCTGGGGCTTCGATTGGCTGTTGTTGCTGAAATTCAAGCAACTGCTGTTCCCGAATGTCTCGGTTAGCACGATCAACCAATCGTTGCGATTTTATCCGTGGAGTCAACTCGTAGGATGTCATGAACAAGAACAGAGAAATTTAACAAGGAGAAATTTATTTACGATAAATAACTTACCCTCCCGTTTTAATTTTGCTTATCCCAATGAGTACCAGGGCACCGAATTGGAACGAGTTTCGCAGTGATACGTTCACCACGCCGACCGCAGAGATGCTCAATAGCGTCGCGTCGGCGACCGTGGGGGATTCCGTCTATTTAGAGGACGAGGACACTCTTGCCCTAGAAAAACAAGTTCGTGAACTTACTGGCCATGAGGCCGGACTTTATTGCGTGTCAGGCACACTGTCCAATCAGATCGCCTTGAGATCCCATTTGAACAAACCGCCACACTCGGTTTTGTGCGATTACCGCTCGCACGTGTATCGATATGAAGCAGCTGGACTGGCTACACTTTCACAGGCACTGGTGACCCCAGTGATTCCGAAGAACGGTGTGCACTTGACGTTGGATGACATCCAGCGGAATTTGATCCCTGACGAGGGAAACATCCATTACGCTCCAACAAGGGTGGTTTCCTTGGAAAACACATTGAACGGGATCCTGTTCCCGATCGAGGAACTCCGAAAAATCAGCCAATGGTGTCGTTCGAAGGGAATTGCTCTTCATTGCGACGGGGCTCGGATTTGGAACGCCAGCATTGCCACTGGAATCAGTTTGAAAGAGTACGGCAGCCTGTTCGACTCGATTTCACTGTGTTTGTCCAAAGGTCTGGGAGCTCCAATTGGAAGCGTTCTTGTTGGGTCCAAGGACCTGATCCGCGTGGCCAACCATTTCAAGAAACAGAACGGTGGTGGAATTAGACAGGCCGGAATAATTGCACGGATGGGGTCTTTGGCAATCACTCAGAACTGGCCGAAACTAGAGCAGAGCCACAAGTTTGCCAAAGAGGTGGCTGAGCACGCCCAGAGCCTGGGGCTGGAGCTCGAGTCACCGTGCGACACCAGCTTTGTGTTCTTGCACCCGGAAACAAACCACATCGATCCAAAAATCATTGGACCTATTTGCAAAAAGCACAATGTTAAGGCTGGATCTTTCCGGTTCGCGTTCAGTTTCCAAAACACGCAGGAAGCCATAGACTCTCTGAAAGCGGCTATTACAGAAATCAAGCAGTACGCCGACTCAAACCCATTCGACAATGCCGGCGGAGCCAGTATCTACTAGTCCAAATCTTATCTGTGCCCAATTACCCTTTTGGGAACACCGAGTGCAGAGTCGGAAAATTTTTATATAAATTAATTAGCTTCTGTTCAAGACCTGTCACCGAAATAATGACTGCTGAAGTTGAACAAGTGAGCGAGGTTTTCAACACGATTCTCGTGTTGGATTTCGGATCTCAGTACTCGCATTTGATTATCAGAAGACTGAGAGAATTCAACGTCTATGCTGAGATGCTTCCATGCACCCAAAAGATTAGTGAGCTTCCTTTCAAGCCGGTGGGAGTGATTCTGTCTGGCGGTCCATTCTCCGTTTACGAGGAGGGTGCTCCGCACGTGGATCACGACGTTTTCAAGCTAGGAGTTCCAATCCTGGGTATTTGTTACGGTATGCAGGAATTGGCCTGGATTAACGGTAAAGGTGTTGGACGTGGAGAAAAAAGAGAATACGGTCCAGCTACTTTGACTGTTGAGGACTCGACTTGTCCGCTGTTTGAGGGAGTCGACCACTCGCAGGTTTGGATGTCTCACCATGACAAATTGCATGCTCTTCCTACCGGTTTCAAAACAGTGGCTATTTCTGGTAACTCTCCGTTTGCCGGTATTGCACACACCGAGAAGGACATCTTTGGTATCCAATTCCATCCTGAGGTGACACACTCGCTTCAAGGAAAGACTCTGTTGAAGAACTTTGCTGTCAAGATCTGTAAGGCCACCCAGAACTGGACCATGGAGAATTTCATCGACACCGAGATCAAGAGAATTAGAGCCCTTGTTGGACCTTCTGCCGAGGTGATCGGTGCTGTTTCCGGAGGTGTTGACTCCACTGTTGGTGCCAAGATCATGAAGGAGGCCATCGGCGACCGGTTCCATGCTATCTACGTCGATAACGGACTCATGAGAAAGAACGAGACCGTCCAGGTGAAACAGACCTTGGACGAAGGTTTGGGAATCAACCTGACCGTTGTGGATGCTTCCAAACAGTTCCTCGACAACCTCAAGGGAATCACCGACCCAGAGAAAAAGAGAAAGATCATCGGTAACACTTTTATCCACGTTTTTGAAAAGGTTGCAACCGAGATCAAGCCAAAGGACGGCTCTGAAATCGAGTACTTGCTCCAAGGTACTTTGTATCCAGACGTGATCGAGTCGATTTCGTTTAAGGGACCTTCCCAGACCATCAAGACCCACCACAACGTTGGTGGTTTGTTGGAGGACATGAAACTCAAATTAATCGAACCACTCAGAGAACTGTTCAAGGACGAAGTTAGACACCTTGGCCAGATCATGGGCATCCCAGAAGACCTCGTTTGGAGACACCCATTCCCAGGCCCAGGTATTGGTATCCGTGTTTTGGGAGAAGTGACTCCAGAACAGGTGAAAATTGCTAGAGAGGCAGACTACATCTTTATCGAAGAGATTAAGAAAGCTGGATTATACAGAAGCATTTCCCAGGCGTTTGCTGCTTTGTTGCCAGTCAAGTCTGTTGGTGTGATGGGAGACCAAAGAACATACGAGCAGGTGATTGCTTTGCGTGCGATCGAGACCACCGATTTCATGACTGCGGACTGGTTTGTGTTTGAAGCCAAGTTCCTCAAGAACGTTGCTTCCAGAATCGTCAACGAGGTGGATGGCGTTGCGCGCGTTACGTACGACATCACCTCCAAACCGCCTGCCACCGTCGAGTGGGAGTAAGCTTGTTCATTCAATTAGTCAGTAATTTGCGTAACACTGTGCTGGTAACGTAATCTCCGTCGTGGCTTATTGACAGCAGAAATTCCTCGTTTTTGTTGTAGTTATCGCTTTGAACGCCTGGACGTCCGTTTGGATAGCTGAACTTGTACCAATCGCGCATGGCAAAGTTTGTTTGGTCGGCTGTGTCTAACGTTTTGTAAACGGCTTCTTTAACGCACCACGAATGCGCAAGAGTCCGCACACAAAGGTCCAGCTGATTGGACTGTCTTGCGGCCTCGAACTGCGGAAGTTCCTTCTCCAAATGCAGAACTTTGCGCGCCAATCGCCCAACGTGCGGCGAATACAGCCCGTGTCGCGAAAGAATCAGCCCAAACCTCCCGACTCGGTGGAGATCTGTTCCTATAGAAATAATTGACATGGAAAATTTTATATTTTATACATGGTCTCAGATACTGGTGCTGTTGTTTCCAGACTTGCAGTTACGGTACTTATCCACGTTCTTTTGAACGCCGCGTTTCCTTCGAGTCGTGTTGTTTCGTTTGTCACTGCATTGCTGGTTGCTGCAGTGATCTCCCAATCCCCGATGTTTTTACGATGGAGACAGCGACTGGCCTCAATGGCCGCCGACCCGGGAACCAGCTCGCAATTGAGCTCTCGGCTGCAGTTGACGTCTGCGTTGAACGAAATGAGACAGTACTTGGCGCGGGCAAAGGCGTCCAACGACAAGAAACGTCAGCTCTTCAAAACCATGTCCTGGAGACAGCAGAAGATCGTGGCCGAGACAGGCTACTCGGCCAAGATCAAAACGGCCGACGCGTTGGTAGCAGAGAACTACAAGGTGTTACAGAAGACCATTGCCCAGGCGGTGGATAAATACGACGTGTCGAGGTTCGAACTCAACTCAGCGGTAGCCAACGCCCGCCACCACCCCAACTCGAGCCATCACCGAGTCGTCGAGGCATTGTGCCATTTTGCCCGCGACTGGTCGCCTGCGTACGATAAGGAGGTCCAGCCGATTCTACAATACATAACCAGCCAGCTGAAGACACTTGATCTGAAACAAACAACCGTGGTGGTGCCCGGATCTGGTCTTGGTCGCGTGGCCCATGAACTGGCTCTGCTGGGCCCACAACATGTTGTTGCCGTGGAATACTCTTGGTACATGCTGCTACTCAACGAGTTTGTCTACTCAGACAACAAAGATAGCTACAAAATCTATCCGTACTTGCATAACTACTCGAACCACCAGTCAACAAACAACATGTTCCGCGCGGTTCACCTCCAACACCGCAAACGCCCCCAGAACCTCGACATTGTGCAGACCGACTTTTGCAGCTACACCCCGGCCAATCTGCCCGCTAGCCCGCATCACATGGCCATAGTCACGTGCTTCTTCATTGACACGGCAGAGAACCTGATGGACTACTTTGACGCGATTGGGCGGCTCGCGGACGCGGCCACGGGCGACGTGCTGTGGATCAACGTGGGCCCGCTCAAGTACGGCACGGCAGCCAAAGCAGAGCTCAACTACGAAGAGATCAAAAAGCTCCGGGACCTGTGCGGCTGGCAGCTCGTAAACGAACGGCCCGAGCCTGAGATTTTAGGTTATCTCACTGACACTCTGGGTCTGTGGCAAGGATACTACGGCGTCACCATGTGGACTTGCAAACGCAGACGCGAAGAGTGAATATATTTGTGAGTCGTATCTAATTAGTAAGCTTTGCGCCCTGTGCGTTGAGCTCGTTAATCTGAAGCTTTTTGTCGGTACCACCAGAAAGCAGTCCGATTTCCGAGTTCCAGTCCACAGCCAGAACCTTCGAGCCTGGCCCGGATTCCCTTTCGATCGTGTAGATGCTCTTGTTGGCCCGCACGTCCCAGATCTTGGCTGTGCCGTCGTGGGAGCCGGAAACCAAGGTGTACTCGTTGTCTGTGGTGGCCAGGGAGACCACGAAGTTGGTGTGGCCCACCAGCTGTGTGCTTGTGACTTTGTCTGCGCGCGGGTCGTGCAGGTTGATGTGTCTGGCTGCCGAGCCGGTGGCTAACAGTCCAATCCTGGACAGCACAGCCAGAGAGAGCAGCGCAAAGTTGGTCTGTCTCGTGTCGACGCTACGGGCCGTAACCAGGTCCCATGTCCGCACGGTATGATCCTGTGATGCAGAGTAGGCGACCGTGTCATCTTTGTCGAACTGGACGGCCTCCACGGGGCCGGAATGCCCGTCCAAGATGGCCAGCGGCGATTTACGCTTGATCGTCGCGTCGCCGACCGCGAGCTTCATCCGCTTACGAGAGGCAGAAGACAGGTTGTTCTGCGCAGTTTGTTCCAATGGCTGTGTGGTTTGCATTTCCTTGGCGACGGTCGACCAGTAGGCGACGGTGTGGTCGTACGAGGCAGACAAAATGCGCGTTTTGTTGACCGCCAGCGCAGCCACCACGTCCTTGTGGTATTCCAAAATGGCGTTTGTTCTTCCGTTCTGTGTTTCTTTGTCCAAATCGGCGTTTCCAACAACACCGGCTTTCCACAACCGCAACGACCGGTCCATACCTGCGGTGACGAATCTCGAAGGACTGATGAACTTGACGTCCTTGATGGCAGCAGAATGGCCCGACAACTGGGTCTCGACCTTGCCCGAGGCGTTGTACACACGAACAACACCGTCGTACGAACCAGTCAGAATCTTTGGAGCCGTCTGCACCTCTCCATCCGGTCCTGCTAGCGACATGGATCCAACACTGTCGATTGCAGAAATCCAGTCGTCGTTGTTGAAACTGGCCAGAAATTGCGGAGGCAAAACCGCACGCGTGTACTCGATGTCCAACGAGTGCTCGCTGGACAGCCCGTTGGCAACCAGATACTCCTCGACGCTGCCCTTGAGCAAAGTTCCGTCAATCAGGAAATCAAACGGAACAGGCTTCTCCAAACCAACCAGATGGTTCACGATCTCAGACAACCCGTATCTTTTGAGCGAAACAGGAACAAACACCGGATTCCCCGGACAATGTAGTTCCCGGTCTTCATCTCTGGTGAAGAACCGAACTTTAACCTGCGATGCCATCTGTAATTGTCTAATATTTTTTTTTCACATTTTTTTTAATTTTTCACCTTGAGCCGCACAAGAGCTCCCAGGACGTGCGCGACACACACTTTTTTCCATCTAAAACCAGTGGGAAACAAGTACGACAACTTGTTGAAGGCTCAAAACATGGTTTCTATTCCGTTCATCACGTCTGCTCCGGGCAAAGTGATCATTTTCGGTGAGCATTCAGCAGTGTATCACAAGGTAAGTGCATTACGTCAACCATACGCTAACAGAATAGCCTGCCATTGCAGCAGCTCTCTCGCTCCGTTCGTATCTTCTCGCGTCAAGAGACCACCAGGACTCGGATTTTTTGTATTTGGAGTTCCCCGACGTGAACTTCTCGTACAAATGGCCCACCAGAGACCTTCCGTGGCATCTGTTTGAAAACGAGGCGCGCAAAAGACAGCCTGCCGTGGACGACGAGTTGAACCCAGAACTGGTTAACTCGCTCAACTCGCTTCTTTCGAAAATCGACTCGTCAATTCAGTTCAGTTCCGCGTTCATGTTTCTGTATTTGCTGGTTTCGCTGTGTGAGGAGAAAGACGTTGCCGGTCTCACGTTCACGATCCGGTCCACTCTGCCAGTGGGAGCCGGATTGGGCTCGTCGGCCTCGGTGTCCGTGTGTCTGGCCAGCGCGTTCTGCTATCTGGGAGGCCACATCGACGAACCAACGCTGAAGATGGACGACGTCACCGTCAAAGACTCGGAACAGTGTCTATTGGTGGACTCGTGGGCCTTTATGGGAGAAAAATGCTGCCATGGCAACCCTAGCGGAATAGACAACGCCGTGGCCACCCACGGAGGTGCAGTCATGTTCCAGCGCATGGAGTCGTCCATGCCAAGCATCAGAACGTCCATGAGGAACCTGCCTCCGCTCAATTTACTGCTTACAAATACGAAAACTCCTCGAAGCACCGCAGCATTGGTCGCTAACGTGTCCAAGATCGTGAGCGAGTTCCCTAAGCCTTCTGGCCTCATCCTGGAAACCATGGACTCGGTCGCCAGAGAAGCGTACTCGCTGATGCTCAGACCGTTCTTGGATAGACCGTCCAAACTCAAATTGTTGGAGCTTATCAGACTCAACCACGGTCTACTGGTCTCGCTTGGTGTGTCGCATCCAAACCTCGAGAGAATCAAACTCTGGAGTGACGAGCTTCAAATCGGCCAGACCAAGCTCACCGGAGCCGGTGGTGGAGGTTGTGCTATTACCCTGATAGATGATGAAAGTGCTACCCCTGAAAACCTGGAGAAGCTTACAGCCAAGTTTGACGAGGCTGGATTCGAAACCTATAAAACAACACTTGGAGGAAAAGGTGTTGGACTGCTCACCAGTAACACTACCATGGCCTCCGAAACGTTCAGAAACCTGCCTGACCGGAAATCCATCGAACAGGCCATCGGGTGTTCCGAAGTCGAGCACTGGCGTTTCTGGTGAAGACGCCAAATCATGTGACCAAAGATTTCATCTGCATCTTGCATAAAAACTCCGCTCTCTGCACAGCCTTGCTAGCTAATTTTCCTGGCTAAAAAAATCGTATAAAAGCACCAGTTTTCGTCTTTTAACGATTAATGTCGTCCGTTGTCGCAAAGCCAACTAAATGGTACCACTGGTTCGAGCCAGGAACCGATAGAAGGGAAAAAATCCTGATATGGAAGCTGGACTTCTTTATCCTCACCTATTCCATGGCAGCGTACTTTCTCAAGTACCTGGACCAAACAAACATCTCCAACACGTATGTTTCTGGAATGAAGAAGGATCTGGGCTTTACATCTAACGAGCTTTCGTGGTTCAACACTTACTACAACATTGGACTGTGTATTGGCTCCATTCCAGCTGTTTTGCTTGCCGGTTACTTTCGTCCGAGAATCTACCTGCCAACGTTGGACCTGTTGTGGTCTCTGTGTGTTTTGTTCATCTACTTGGCCAAGAATGCGCAAACGATCTTTGCGCTGAGATTTTTGATTGGACTGTTTGAATCCGCCTGTAACCCAGGAACACACTACATGATTGGGTGTTGGTACAAGAAACGTGAAATTATGAGACGAGGAAACTTCTTTGTGCTTGCCGGTATCATTGGACAAGCCACTTCCTCGTATATCCAGTCCGGTTTGCAAAATACCATGAATGGTAAGCGTGGACTGGCTGCGTGGCAGTGGATGTTCATCATCGATGCTTTGATTGGAGCCCCGGTGATCATCTACGGCTATCTGTTCTTGCCAGACTACCCTCACAACACCAGCGCTTTCTACCTGAACGAATGGGAGAGAAACCGTGCTAAGGAACGGTTGGTGGAAGACGGAAGAATTTCTACACAGATCACTTTCAGCCTCAAGAACATCAAGCCTGTTGTGTTCTCGTGGCAACTGTGGGCCTTCTGTATCGGCTACTGTTTCTGGACTCTTACCGCTGCCTCCTACATGCTCCAATTCTTTGAATTGTACTTGAAATCGCTCGGCAGATACTCCATCAGCTACATCAACAACTTTCCAACCATTCTTTCCGGAGTGAACCTGGTGACCATGCTGTCCACTGGATTTATCTGCGACCTGACCGGCCAAAGAGGCCTGACCTGTGTGGCTGTTGGTCTGGTGCTGCTCGCGGCCTTCATTATGACCGCCAAGGGCCCCATCGACAACATCCCGCTGCGTAAGGCGGGCTACATTATGAGCGGTGTGTACGGTTGCTACACTCCGATTTTGACAGGATGGTGCAACATTACGTGCGGAAAGAACCATATTCTGCGTGCAGTGACCATTCCTGCCATGATCGTTGTTGGACAGGCCGTGGTTACTCCGTTCCAACAGCACCTGTTCCCATCCGGAGAGGCTCCTCAGTATGGCCACACCAACGGGTTCTACTACTGTATCGGTTTCACTTGTGCTCTTATCGTCTGGACAGGAGCGGTTATCCCCGGTTTGGAAAAATGGAGTGCGTCTAGAGAGGCCAAGGAAGAGAAGAGCGTGGAGGAGGTGGAGTTCCCTGATAAGGAGTTCGAGTCAATTTAGTCTATATAGTTTTTATTTAATAGGAATTGCGTCACATGGTTAATAACTTGGTCGGTCTTCTCGAGATGAACACTGTGGTTGGCATCGGGCACCTCCACAAGTGTGGAGTTGCGCACTAATTGGGCTATTCTCCGACTTTGCGAGGGCGGGCATATCCAGTCTTTTTCTCCGACAATTATCAGTGTCGGAGTTTCCAACAATGCCAATTTGTTGGTATAGTCAAAATATTTCTCCGACTCTGCATATAAACTGTTGTGGCTTTCTGCACGATATTTTGTCTTGAGGCACCCGGCCAAACCCTCGTCCGAGTTATAAGACTCTGAGTACAGAGGTGCGAGCGCAAACATCACCAGTTGCATCTCCAAGTCGCTCTCAAACCGGCCAAACACTTTCCGGAGCATATTTAGCGAAATGCCCGGATAAAAAGGGATCTTTTGCTCTAGAACTTTGAAAGCGTCTTCCTCGTGATGGTGGGACGGAGCGGTTCCTCGTAAAATCAGGTGCGATATATTTGACGGGTATGTTGTAGCGTATTGTTGGGCTAGAAACCCTCCAAAACTGCCTCCTATCACGATCACTTTGCCGTCTTTGCCAGCAAAGTGCTCTCTGACGGCATCGATATCGTCGACGATCTGTGCAAATGTAAACGGAGGAGTGAACGAAGAGTTCCCGTGGCCTCGGAAATCAAAACTCACCACTTTGTATCCATGGTCGGCCAGACGCGAATATGCCTTGAAATCGCCGTTTTTGCTGCCGAAACCACGCCCTCCGTGTAAGGTAATAACCAGAGGCCCGTCCCCTAAGGTGAAATAGGCCAGCTGGGCCCCATTGATCTCCACAAACTGTTCAGTTACCATGGAATCAATAGTTTAATTCGGTAAACTTAATTCTGTAATTTCCTCAACAGGCTGCATATGAAATGTCCGACATGGCGGAAATCATATAAAATATTGATAAATTTCCAATATCGAAAAAGCCTTGCAAATGATAGCTGGAAAAGTTCAAATTGCAATAGGTAAGTAAAGTTGTGTCGGGCAACTAACCGGTAGACCGTGGTGGAACGTTTTGCGACGTTTGGGCTAACATCCCAAATCAGGGAGAGCTGGTGTTCAAGATTCTGTCGGAAGACCCGCAGAACTACCCAGACGCTCCAGCCGAAGGGATTCGGATAGTTCTTGAGAAGTTCACAGGAAAAAAGATCCCGCGAGGCGAAAAGCTCGACGGAAACCTCATTGAGTACGTTCGGATGGGAACGACCGTTGCAACGAATGCACTGCTTGAACGGAAAGGCGAGAAGTTTGTGTATCTGACCACCGAAGGATTCAAAGATGTTCTGAAGATCGGAACGCAAGCCAGACCGGAGCTTTTCAACTTGAAGGTACAGAAACCGGACATTTTGTACGATTCCGTCATTGAGGCCGAGGAGAGAATAACCGTGGAGACTTCTTCTGACGATCCAAACGAGGTCGTCATCGACGAGTCCGATTCGGCAGTGAAAGCCACTAGTTCAGGAACACATGTTCGTTTGATTAAGCCTCTGAACACCGTTGATCTTACAACCAAGCTGAAACAGGCTTATGACCAGGGATACCGTACTTTGGCCATCTGTTTTGCGCATTCCTATTTGTACGACAAGCACGAGCTAGAGGCTGCCAAGATTGCCCAGGAAGTTGGGTTCGAGTTTGTCAGTTTGTCGTCACAGGTGTCCAGAACAGTGAACTATCTTCAACGAGGTAATTCGACCTGTATCGATGCGTATCTGACGCCACACATCCAGAACTACATCCGCAAGTTTCTGAGTGCGTTCAGCACGGTTCCCAAGGTGGAGTTCATGCAGAGTGACGGAGGGTTGACCGATGCCAAATTGTTCCGTGGTATCAACGCTATTTTGTCTGGTCCTGCCGGAGGAGTCGTTGGAGTGGCAGAGACGTGCTACCAAAACACGCCGTTGGTTGGTTTCGACATGGGCGGTACCTCGACGGACGTTTCGAGAATCGACGGGTCTTCGTTTGACGTTTCTTTCAACAACAAGACTGCAGGATTGGAGATTTCCGTTGGCCAGCTCCAGATCCACACCGTTGCTGCTGGAGGAGGGTCTATTTTGAAATGGGAAAACGGTCTGTTCCACGTTGGTCCAGAGTCTGCTGGATCTGATCCAGGACCAGCATGTTATAGAAAAGGCGGTCCTCTCACAGTCACCGATGCTAATCTTTTCCTAGGAAGACTGGTTGTTTCTCAGTTCCCACATATTTTCGGTCCTTCTGCGAACGAACCGCTGGACTTGGAGGTCACCGCTCAGAAGTTCGTTGACTTGACAGCACAGATCCGCAAAGATACCGGGAAAACACACACTCCATACGAAGTGGCGCTTGGATTCTTGCAAATTGCCAACGTCAAGATGGCCAACTCCATTAGAGAAATCACCGAGTCTAGAGGATACGTTGCCAAGAGCCACGTTCTTGTGTCATTTGGAGGAGCTGGATCTCAGAACTGTTCTGCTGTGGCCAGGAACCTGGGGATTTCCCGGGTACTGATCCATAAATACTCTTCTGTTCTGTCTGCGTACGGAATTGCAAAAGCCAAGGTGTCCAGAGAGCTCAAATCGCCGTTTGTCAGACAGTTTTCCACCAGCACCAAGGAGGATGCTCGTGGATTGGTTGATGAGCTGAAACAGACGATCGTCGAGGAGCTTTTGGAGAGCCAGCAATTGAACAAGGACCAGATCGAGTTCAAAGTCACTTTTGGAATGAAGTACAAATCGTCAAACACTGTTTTCCAAATCGACTATGACAGCGACAATATCAAAGAGCAGTTCCTTAAGACCCATCGTCGCGAATTTGGTTTCGTTTTGCCAGAAAGCTCGCCAATCTTCACCTCCACTATTTCTGTGAAGGGAATCAGTATTGCACATGAATCATCGAATGTCGATATTGAGTCGCAACTGGACAGTTTTGGCACTTCGAGCGCCGTGGAACCCCAGCATGACAGAACACAGACTGTTCATTTCGAAGACGGCCCAGCAGAAACCAAGGTGTTCATGCTGACCAATCTGCAACCAGGAAACAGAATCAAGGGACCAGCCCTTCTGATCGACCCAACACAGACAATCTTGGTGGAGAAGGCATCGGTTGCAACTATTCTGGACTCTCACGTTGTGATCGACATTGAAAAGTCCAAACAGGAATTCATAGACGACAAAGATATCAACGAGAGCACACCACTCAGCAAAGCAGACCCTATTCTGTTGACCGTGTTTGGACATCGGTTCATGGGTATTGCAGAGACTATGGGTCGGACTCTTCAACGAACGTCTGTTTCGTCATCTATCAAGGAACGTTTGGACTTCTCGTGTGCTATTTTTGGGCCAGATGGTGAACTGGTTGCTAATGCTCCACATATTCCTGTTCATCTGGGTTCCATGCAATATGCCATTCAATATCAACACCATCTCTGGAAGGGCAAGCTCAAGCGTGGCGATGTTCTTGTTTCCAACCATCCCGAGGCTGGTGGAACGCACTTGCCCGATATCACTGTCATCACGCCGGTTTTCCACAACGGAGAAATCGTCTTCTACGTGGCTTCCAGAGGCCACCATGCCGATATCGGAGGAGCTGGAATCACGGCCATGTCTCCAAACTCCAAGGAACTGTGGCAGGAAGGTGTTTCTATCAAGAGCTTCAAGCTGGTGAGTGGAGGCGAGTTTGACGAGAAGGGAATCGTGGACCTGTTCAACAAAGCAGGGGAGTTCCCTGGCTGCTCTGCAACCAGAAAAATTAACGACAACTTGAGCGATCTGCGTGCACAAGTCAGTGCCAACCAAAACGGAATCCTGTTGATGGAAGCTCTGTTCGAGGAGTACGGCAAACAATTTGTGCAGTTTTACATGCGTGCAATCTGTTTCAACGCTGAACAGGCCGTTCGTCAATTCTTCAGACAAACTTATGAAAAGCATCAAGGAAAACCGTTGGAAGCCATTGACTATTTCGATGATGGAACTCCTGTCAAGTGTAAGATCACCATTGACGGTGAGAAGGGCGAGGGATACTTTGACTTCTCGGGAACCGGTCCAGAAACGTACGGACCAATGAACACACCGGCCTCGATCACCCATTCGTGTGTGATCTACGTTCTTCGTTGCTTAATCAACTTGAACATCCCGCTGAACCAAGGATGTCTTGCTCCGTGCCACATCGATATCCCTAAAAACACCATTTTGAACCCGAGCGACTTTGTGGCCATCTGCGGATCCACCATCTCAGGTCAAAGAATCACAGACGTGATTCTCAAGTGTTTTGGCATCTGCGCTGCTTCGCAAGGCTGTGCCAACTCGTTTGGATGGGGACGCGGCGGAAAAGACGTCTACACCGGCAAGGTTTCTCCTGGATTTGCAACCGGCGAGGCTCTTGGAGGCGGTGTGGGGGCAATGGAAGGCTATGAAGGGGCGTCTGCGTGTAACGTGCACTGCACCAACACAAAGACCACGGACATTGAAATTGTGGAAGCACGTACTCCTGTGATTGTTACCAAATGGTGTCTGCGTGCAGGATCGGGCGGTGCTGGTAAATGGAGAGGCGGAGAAGGCGCTGTGCGGGAGATCGAAGCTCGTGTGCCATTGAGAGTGTCCATTTTATCCGAGCGTCGGATTTATGCACCATACGGTGAAGCTGGTGGAGAAGAGGGAGCACGCGGAGAAAACTTTTGGTTCCGCAAGCAGGAGAACGGCGATTATGTGGTGACCAAGCTTGGAGGCAAGGAGATCATTCAAGTGAAGGCTGGAGATCGTGTGCAGATCAACACTCCTGGAGGAGGAGGGTACGGTAAGCCCGAGTGATTGAGGAAATGCGAGTTGCCCGATCCTCCACTAAAATTCATGTAATAGATAGATCCCAGATTGTGTAAGTTGCCCGAGATCTAATTTTTCTGTTCCGCCACAGTTCACCCGAATGTTCTGAGAATTTGATAAGATAAGCCCTAGTTATAAAAGTGGTTCAAGTTTCCATTCTGTTGAACAATGTCGACGACTGTGGTTGAGGCACCTGTCAAGGAGCTTGCAACTTTGAAGCTCGTTCCTGGCGAGACCGAGAAAGAGCAGAAGGACAAGATAATCAAGTCTGTTTTGGACCGTATTGCCAAACAAACTTATGGCGACTGGAGAGACGAGCTGTTGGAGAACGGATATGTTGTTGTGAAGAACGTCATTCCTCGTGAGAAGGCCCGAGAATACCAGAAACAGGCGTTCAAGTGGATGAACCGGTTCAGCGACAAGTTTGATCCCCAAAACCCAGAAACGTGGGTCCGCGAGAACCTGCCGCCATCTTCAAAGATCAACTCGTTTAGCACGCATTGTCTTCCGCACGAGAAGTTCATTTGGGACGTTCGGATGGAGCCCGGCGTTCTAAAGGCGTTTGAGGATCTGTGGGGCACAGAGAAGCTGGTTGTTTCGTTTGATGCCATGAACGTGACGTTTCCTAACCGGAAGGACAAGGAGCCATTGGCCGCGTGGCCGCACGTTGACCAGTCGCCATATCTGCGCGGGATGCAGTGTTCGCAGGGAATTGTCAGTTTGAGCGACAGTGGTCCGGAAGATGGCGGACTGGTGGTCTACCGGGGCACACATAAATTGGTGGACGAGTTCTTCGATACCGTCGTTCCCAAGGAGGAATGGAACGAGAAGAACTTCCACACTATGACCAAGGACCAGCTTCAATGGTTTCTGGACCGCGGGTGCGAGGAGGTCAAGGTGGAGTGCGAGGCAGGCGATCTGATCATCTGGGACTCCAGAACCATCCATTGGGGCAAAGAGCCGTCTGAGACCAGCAAAACCATCCGTACCGCGGTGTATGCTTGTTACACGCCGGTGGAGTTTGCGTCGCAGAAGTGTCTGGACGACAAAAAGGCCATTTTCGAGTCTTGGGAGGGAACTACCCACTGGTCCCACGGAGAGGTTCTACGTAGAAGTAGAAAGGCGTACCATCCTGACGGAACCGAGTTCGAAAACAACAGAGACGAGCCTTTTGAAAAGCCTGTTCTTTCCGACAGACTGTTACAGCTTGCTGGCGCTAAAAGTTATGACTAGTTGGTGTTTATCTGTGTAATTAAATCTGTTCCCCTTTTTTTTCGTTTCCCTCTTCAAAATTGTTTCCCTTTTTTTGTTAGGTGGTTGTTATGCGGAAAAGAGCCTGCGACCGGTGTCATGTCGCCAAACGCGTCTGTTCTGGTGTTCCCTGCACGCATTGTCAACGGATGCGCAAAGAGTGCACGCTCAACAGACCGTTAAAAAAGTATGGCCGTCCCCCTAAACTGCTTTCTCACGAGATGGTCGACGCAGACTCCTCCGACAGCAAGGACGACAGTTCAGCAAAAGGGTCGAGTGTTTCGGATACCTCGACGAACTCCTCGGTGGAGGAAGTCACAGAACCATGGAAACAGCCCCGCTCTCCGGAATTGCTGATCCAACAGCTCAGCTACACGTTCAGCCTCAACAACGACGAAAAGGGATACATGGAGAGATTCATCAGGTTTAAGGCCGCAATGCTGTTGGGAACAAACACAGAATTGTTTGTTCTGACAGTGGTCCCCTTGGCTTTCACTCTTCCCTGTGTCAAGTACACCATATTGGCCATCTCGCTGGCCTCAGAAGATCATCTGGAAGCGTACCGAGACTCGCAGAAATATAGATCGCTCGCAAAATTCGACCGCAGCGACTCGCCAAGTACAGAAATTAGGATCCTCGAGCTGCTCATGCTGGTGCTGATGGAAATCGTCATGGGGGATGGAATGGAATCGACCCTGTATTTGGAAAAACTGGAAATCATATTGAACCAGCTGCCAAACTGGCTACACGAGCGAAACTCCCAGCTTCATCAGATGCTTGTTCAGCTGTACAGTTACTTCCAACTCCTGATGCGGCTGAATTTCGGGTACTCCATTCGCGAGGTGCCCGAGAGCTCGTTTTGCTTTGCTTTTGGTCTCAGCCAACCGACTCTGCAAATTATCGCACAGATCCACACACTGCAAAAAATGAGAGACCAGGGGTCCATGACGGAGACGGATGCGTTGCAATTCTCAAGTCTGTTGGAAATCAAAATCCAGGCCCATTCCACCATATCGCAATTATCTGCGGCTCTCAATTGCTCATGCTATCTCCAGATGTACCAGCTTCGGTCCTCCGCTGCTTCCAGCCAACTACAGGAAAACTGTCTTGCAGTCTTGCTCGAAACTGTTCAGAAAATCCCGAAAACAGAGCCGCGGCTGTTGTATCCATTGATGGTAGCCGGTTCGGTTGCAACCAAAAGAGACCACCAGGAGTACATTCTGCGCCGCATCAAAGATCTCCAGAGTTTCCTCAAGTATCCCTTTGTTTCCCGCTACCAAGACCTCTTGCTGTACATGTGGCAGAGCAAAACACCACTGAGTGCTACACAAAAGTACCAATATCCCGGATTATTTATATTATAAAATTAACTACGCCTTAGGAGACTTCTTATCGACAATGACGATACCATTCTTTTCGCTCGCTTGCTTCTCCTGTCTCTTATAAAAGTACAGGACAACGAAGGTCCACAAGACCAAGCAAAAAGCGCTGCAAGCGGTGAAGGTGAAACCTTTCAAGAAACGAGGAGCTTCCACGGTTTTCCACACAAGGACGGAGATCCAGGCCGTGGAAGTTTGGGCCATGATGTTGATAGTCACGAGAACAACAGCTCTATATTGAGGATCGCCTCTGCAAATGTCATTGACCCATCCATATAAAACGGGAGCCATAGCCCAACCGGTGTATTGAAGCATGAATGCAAACCATTTGGCACCTTCAGGAACGTCCCAGACTGCCAGAATGACATTGCCGATTATATTCAGCACTTGGGACAGAAGAATGGCCTGCCAACGCGAATGGAAGAAGTCAGCATAACATCCTGTCAGAATCAACCAAAGAATACCAATAGCTGGAGTGATTGCGCCCAATTGGTTAACCTTTCCGGTGCTGTATCTTTTAAGCGACTTGATCCAAAGCAAATAAGCACCAGAGGTTCCGTTATTATTGTTCCAGCAGAAAATATCCCAAAGACTGAGGACATAGATGTGCCACGAGGTAAGCAGTTTTTTCCAGATAGCGCGGTCGAAAAAGTGTCTTTCAGGAGGAACGTTGTATCCTGTTTTGTTGTCCTTCAATCTCTTTCTAGCAAGCAGGATCTCTTTGTCGGTCAAGAAGATAGAATAGCACTGTCTTGGAGTACCTGGGATGGAATAGAATCCGATGATTCCAACCGCTATGGAAATGATAGCATCGATGATGAACATCCATCTCCAACCTTCAAGGCCATTCTTCATGTTAAGCGAGTTATAAATGGCACCTTGCAAAAGACCAGAGGTCAAAACGCCAAGATATTGACCAATATAATACACCATAGAACGACGAACAATCTCATCAACTTTGTACCAACTTCCGAAAAGGTACATGTAAGCGAGATAGCCAGGAGCCTCAAACAGACCAATGAAGAATCTCATGGCCTCCAAATGACTAACGTTGGTTGCACGGTAAGCTCCCAGAGTGAACAAACTCCAACAGATGTCCAATGTTGGCAGAACATAGCTCAAAGGAACTTTGTACAAGATGTACATGAAAGGAATCTGGAAAACAATGGTTCCGACGGTGAACACAGCTTGGGTGTGGACCAGATCGTTACCTTTCATTCCGATGGATTCTTTCATTCCACTGACATAAGCGTTGTTCAAGTTGGTTTGATCGAGGTATTTGACCCAATAGGCCATCAGGGAGTAGAAACAGAGCAAGATGTCAAGCTTGATCACCAGTTTTCTCTCCTCGGGGGTATCGTCCTGGTTGAACCAATGGTACCATTTATGAGCACTTCTTTGCTTTGAGTTCTGACGGTACTCGTATTCATCGAAGAATTTCCACCATTTTCTGTTGGACTCATCTCTGAACTCGACAGAAGACTTGTCATCGACAATGTGCTCATAAACAGGCGATTCCTTCACACTGTCCTGGTCATCATCGGAATCTTCCTTGAGATCAGGAACGTCTCTTTCGACCGGGAGAAATCCCCACTTCAATCTACTGATCGGATCTTTGAACGCAGAGCCAATGGCAGAAACACTGAATCCGCCAGTCATGTTGAATAATTCTTCAACAGGAAATTTACCTCTACATATATATGAGGTTACACAATCATTGTCTATAACTGTGGCTTCTAAAATTTTTTTAGGGGTCCCGGTGAACAATGAAATTTTTCTCCGATGTGCAATAAGCATGTGACCTAACGGAGCGGGAAATCCAGCTGGATGGGGCTTAGACGAAAAGACATCAAACCGGCATACTGAAACTCAAACAGGGTGGTGATGGACTCGAGAACTGGTTGTTGGATTTTGAAAACCAAGTTTTGGAGAGTAAGCGAGCCACCGCAAGAAAAATTCAATTTAAATGCAGGAGATATCTACTGAGGCTCCATGTGATAAGAAATCATACCACAGACAAGAAATATGATTGGATGTTGCATTGAAAGACTCGGATATCATCGCTTAAGATTAATTGTGGAGACAGCTGTATTGAAAATGCCAAGACCCGGTTAAACCCTAAACAATAGATCGATCGAGTCTAGAGTGCCCCATTCAGCAGGTCAACCATACACTTTCCGATCCTCACACCGTCATTGGACAACTTGGAATTGCGGCCCATCGCGTCATCATAGGTTTCCTTGGTGATTTTGCCGGCATCAAGTCTGGAATCCACCAGGATGTTACCGCAATCAGTCGTGAATTCAGGATGGCCTTGGAACGTCAACAGTTTGTTCTTTTTGTATATTCCCTGGTATTTGCATCCATCGGTCGATCCAACATTGGCGTATCCTTCGGGAAGCTCTCCAACAACGATGTCCTGATGCATTTCCATCACAGTGACGGTGTTTTTCGAGTCGTTGGAAGCCAAAGACCCGATCTGAATCTCTGGGTTCAGCTTGATCTCCATAAGTCCCATTTCCCATCCTTCTGGACTGCGAGTCACTTGCATGTCCAGAGCAGTTGCAATGATCTGGTGTCCAAAACAGGACGCGGTGATAGGGAACTCGTACTCATTCAAACACAGTCTCAGAAAGTCGCGAAGCTTGACAATCCAAGGTAAACTGTCAAACGAGTCGGATCTAGAACCAGTCAGATAAATCCCTTTGCAACCTGCCAGCTCCTCGGCAGTCGGGTATTCCATCTTCTCGATCACATCATACTTTCTAAACTCGCAGTCCGTCAGTCCTGCCGAACGGAACAGCGTGATTGCCTGGTCGCCAAAGTCGCCAAACTTCTTAAGAGTCTCTATCTGGGTGTCGCAAACCAGAATCGCCACAAATGGAGGAATAAAGGTCATTACAATTGTCCCAGCAGAGGAAGATCTTATCTTATTTATTTGATATTTTTTTCGGACCAGGTTTCCGCCTGCCTGTTTGGGAAGATAAACTTTGTTCACGTGACCGGTCACTTGAGCAGCTCGATTTCCTGGTTCCAGAGCTCACTGTTGGGACCTGAGAGTGCAACCAGAATGTCAAAGTCGGAAAGCATGTCTTTTAATGAGGCCTGTTCTGCGGCCGTGTCTGGCTGTTTGCGCGACTCCTTTTCAGTTGAAGCGGTCTCCGTGCTGCCATATCTTTCAAGAAGCTCGCGTTCGTCCTGGTCGAGTCGTTGGAGCAGCTCCAGAGTCTGGTTCAGGAAGAAACTGCCCAACTGGTTATTTTGTTCCGCTAGTGTTCGGAATATGTGCAGAGCATGGTCGATGTGGAACCGCGTTGTGTCGTGAACTCCAAAATTCACATTGAAAAGAACCAGGGTTGCAATCGCAGTATACAGATACTCCATGTCGGAACGGGTGCCTGTCATCAGCTGGTCTTTTTCCCAAAGATTCCAGAGCGATCTCACAGTATTCATGGACGCCTGGAACGAAGCGTTCAGAAGAGAAAGCATAATGGTAGAACAGTCTTGCAGATTCATGTAATCCCGTCCGTGTTGCAACCTAGAAAAATGCAAAAGCAACGGTCTGACGGCCAAATTGAGGCCCTGGAAATACTCAATCATCATATTGGCGGTGGATCGCGAGTTGTTCACGTCTCCAGAACCATAGTCGCAGTTGATGGAGTCAGGGAGCGACCGTTTCCATCTCAGCAACTGGACAACCATTTCCCGCACGATGTTCAACATGCTTTTTCCTGGCTGTTTGTTGTACAAGCTCCGCAGAACTTGCAGGTTGATTTTGGTGATGGCTACTGTTTCCTGTAACATCTCGGGCTCGGGAAACACATAGTGTCTGCAAGAGTATATTTGAAGAGACTCGGGGAGATCGCATGATATTTCGGAGTCAACCAGATGAACCGGATAGCCATACGAAATAGCCATCATACGCTCGACAATGTATATTGTCCAGAACAGCCGCCTGCGATGTTCAAGTTCGGCCCGTTGGATTTTGTCTGCTCCCAGATCGAAATGGTATCCCAAACTGAGCGACCAATGTGCAGCGAGTGATATGATCGAATTTGCACTGAAATGGTCCGTTTGTTGAAGATGGTGGCCATACAACAGCATTGTCTCAACTCCTCCGCGGTCGGCAAGACTTTGCAGTATTTTGGACGAGAAAAGAACGTCAAACAGCGGGAACGACGACGTGTAATGGTTTCCTTGGAATAGTTTGGCCGTTTTGAAGATTATTTCGAGTTTGCAAACCATAAGAGCCGTCTTGGCATGGTTGTCTGTTTCAGAAAACACCAAAATCGGCAGATTTTGCGTTTTCTCGTACAATCTGTTCATATCTTCTCGGAGAATCCCTTCGTTGAAGAAATAGAAACATCCTTCGGTATATGCAACAAATGTGTCGATCAAACGAACAGCTTCGGTGTATACCGGTAAAGAGATCTGAACAGAAGACTGTCCAATGATTATCGAGAAGTCCATATTGTTTCGTTGGACCAGAATACTGGGAATTGTCAAAAGAGTCTTCAAAAGTGGCTCCTGATTAGAAAAGGTTCGATGGATCTCGGTGTCGATCAGATTGTGCACCGTATAATTGGCTGAATGGAAGCTCACAAGATTTCCACGGTTATCCAGAAACGGACTGATTGGTTTGGTCAAAAGATCGTCGAAATCGTCTTCATCCTGTATCAAATCCGAAGACGTATCTTGTGCTAACTCTTGCGGAACAGAAGAGTCATTAAGTTTCTGCAAGCACTGGTCCAACAACGTTTTAACGTCAGTGTTTTCACTGGTCAACTTGCTGATTTCCTGGTGAAGCTTGTTCAGATAACTCACCGCAACAACCACCTTGCGTTCTCCCTCGATATACTCGCACTGTTTCTTGGCCAACGAACATTGGGAACACGGAGACCCATTCCCATCACATCGGATATGTCTTTGACGACAGCGGAAACACGATGGCTGTGTCTTACGTTTCACCGGGATATCCTTCTGTGTTCGCACGGAAAACTTGATCTGTTTGGTTTCACTGTTGCGCGGCATGATAATTTTAAAAAATGGCCTATCTTATCAGGTTATCTTTTTGAAATCAAATAATTTTATTTTTCAGAGGTTCATACTTAGATCCATCGCGTTTGCAATGTTGAGATACTGATCGGCCAAATAATTGCCTCCCCAAGCAGTTCCGCCGTGGTCGTGCTTCTCACTTAGGGAGGGTCCTTGGATGTCTCGCAAATAGCCAGCCATTCCCTCCTCCTTGAACATCTTGGCAAACTTATAAACAAACATGTTTGTTCCCTGCAACGCAAAGATCGGTTGTGTTTGGAACACAATGCCGAGTTTGGCCAGGTTGTGCGGCAGCTCAGCAACGTCCTTCTCGGAGTATCCGGCTCCAGCATAGTTGAATGCTCCGGTAAAGCCAAATCCAAAACATCTGGCTGGATCCACTTCCCGCAGAGCAGTGTGGATCTCCACAATGTCTTTCCAGATCGGAGTGTCCATACGGGCCCACGTGGTGTCTGTGAGAGGCATGGCGGCAATGGCTCTTTCAATCACGTTCTGGGGACACGATTTGTACAGGTACTGTCCGACGCTGCTGCGCGAGATCTCCCAGTCGAAATTGACCGGCGCTGCTACCGTTTTCGAGGCATAGCTTTTCATTTCCGCAAGGCTTGGGAACTGTTTGGCCTGCATCAATTTGGAAAACTCCTGGTACTCCTGTTCGGTTGCAGCCGCCTGGACTGCCTCTGGGAAGGTCATCACTTTGGCCTCGGCGAGCCATTTGAAACGTGCTTCTTGAACATCCTCCCCAGCCTCAATGGCCTTGTTCACCGCATGGATCAACGTGCCAACCTCCAGGTTGGTGGCTCCCTTGACGTACTTGTGGTCACGGTAGTCCACCACAGACGTGATGAACTCGGCATGGTAGCTGTCGATCCGCGACATCAACAACATCTCGGAACCCATAACGTCCATCTGGAAACGAGCAGCAGTAAGTCTACGCAAGTACTCGGAGAACGGAACAACGGTTCTTCCAACCTTCTCGGTGAACTTCTTGAGTCCAATGGCCAGGTCATCAAAATGAACCATGGCAGTGCCCGCCTCCACAAACATCTTGGTCTCCTTCATGATCGCAGTGACGCTTCCAAAACCCATATCGCCGTCTGCAACCATTGGCAGCAGATAGTCGTTGATCTGGAACTTCTGCTGCTCTTCTTTGGAAAGCCCCAGAAAGTACGACTTCTGTCTTCTGTCATGGAAACACTGGGACTTGAACAGGTGTGAGACAACTCTCGGGACGGTGTCACTAGGATAATCAGCGTGATCACGGCCAATTTCTGGAGCTATTTGCAGTCCAGAAACTCCTCCAGAAACATAAACCAGCTCCATTCCAGCACGCGACATCTGCGAGGCCGTTCCCGGGTCAACGCATCCAAACGTCATGATCGGTGTTTGTTCCTCTCTGTGCTTGTTTAACAGTTTCCATAGCTTGTTACCCTGAATCGACGATGGATACTCCAATGGAATGGTGTTTCTCATGGAAGCCACCTTTGCACTGGAATACGGTCTTTGCAAATGTTTTTGCCGATCAGAGGCCCACCAGGCCTCGATCCTGGCAATGTCGTTTTCATACTGGGAGATAAGCTCGGTCATAATGGGGATACTGTTTGGTTCCTATTCTGCTGTTTTAAATGTGCTTTGATAGCAGTTCCCAGATAGGCAGGCGGGAACTTTTCTCCGCCGCGGACATGAGAAAACCTTTCAATACTGGAAACTCTGTTATCTCAAACTACTTAATATGGCAAGGTCACATCCAACGAGTCGGCCATGAACATCTGGGTATCCGACAGCTTGGCTCCACACCACGCGGTCTCAAACCCGTCGGTCTCGTTTTCCTTGCATGGCACAACAATATCTCTGTTGTAGCCATAAATACCTTCCTTCTTGAACATTTTGCCAAACTCTAAACTCACCATGTTCAGACCTTGGCAAGCATAGATCGGCTGGGTCTGGAACACAATGCCCATTTCCGCAAGGTCAAACTGCAAGTTCTTGAGCTGCTCGTCGCTGAAGCCAGCCGCCTTGTAGTCGTATCTCCCGGTGTACCCAAATCCATACGCCCGTTTGCTGTCGATCTTGCGCAGCACCTCGTGGAACCGAACAATCTCGTCCCACTTCGGAGAATCCATCCGTGCCCAGGTGGTGTCGGTGATTGGCAGCGACGCAATTGCTCTGTCGATCACGTGATCCAAAGTGTGTTTGAGGAAGTACTGGCCATCTGTGGATCTTGCTGCGTCCCAGTCGAAGAAGACTTGTTTGGCAACAACCTGAGAAGCGTGTTGTCTTCTCTGGTTGATGCTCTTGAATTTTGAGTCCTTGAAAAGGGTCAAGTATTCCTGGTACTCTTCCTTGGTAGCCACCTTCTCAACGGCCTCGTCAAAGGTCAAAAGACACGCTTTTTCCATCCACAGTTTGCGGGCAGTCTTGTAGTCCTCGCCATTGCGCTGGGCCTTGACCATTGCCTCGATCAGTGGCTCGCAGTCTGGGTTCGTGACTCCCTGGACGTAGCCGTGGTCGCGCGGGTCGATCACAGAGCTGATGTACTCGGCGTGCATGGAGTCTGCTCTGCCCATCAACAAGGTTTCTGCTCCCATGAGGTCGAGCTGGAACCGGGCAGCAGTGAGTCTTTTCAGGTACTCGCAAGTTGGAACAACAGTTCTTCCTTCGCCGATGGTGAACCGTTTCATTCCAATAGCCAGGTCGTCCAGATGGAACATGGCCACGCCGGCCTCGACAAACTTCTTGGTGAACTTCATGATTCCCGTGGTGCTGCCGAATCCCATGTCTCCGTCTGCAATCAAGGGAACCAAGTAGTCCACTTTTGGAGTGGCAGCACGTTGTTCAGGGGTCATCAGCGACCGCAAATGGTTCTGCCGTCTGTCGTGCCAGAGCTGCGAATTGACCAGTTTCTGGACGGTGTTTGGAACGGTGTCCCACGGATAGTCTGCCGTGTCCATTGAAGGCTCTGCAACGTTGGACAGACCGCACACTGCTCCACTAACATAGCCGATCTCAAGACCCGACTTGGACAGCTGCGAGAGCAAGATTGGATCGACCGCGCCGTACGTGAGCAACGGCTCCTTTTTGGCGATCTTCTCCTCAAACAAGTTCCACAGCTTGACGGCCTGCTGCGACGAGACCTGGTGGTTGAGCTCGATGGAGTTGCGCATCACGGCCACGTCTCTGGCACTGTATGGCCTTTTCAGCCTGGCCTGTTTTTCGGACGCCCACCATTTTTCGATGCTGGCGATCTCTGATTGGATTCTTTCCTCTTCTTGGTCTCTGATAGTCATGATTGTGCACCGATAAGGCAGCAGGCTTCGTTATATATGGGACTCTGGTTTGGAGCCATTGCCTAAACAGGCAATTTAGGACTCGAACCTCCGTTCTCTTATCGCGATAATCCTCGAGATCCCGATACCACAGGTGCGATAACTTCCCGTGCAAGATAACAACCGAAAATATAAGACCGCGCTGGTGTCGGGTTGACAACGAAACCAATGACCGAAAAGAAGAACGAGACAGTGAGTCTCAGAGAGGCAAGCATGGCTTCATTCGAGGAGACAAAAGTCGAACTTATCGACGAGGACACGGACGATATTGGAGCCAAATACATCCATCTGATTAAGGACGGGTACACCAAGAAGGAGCTCAAATGGGCCAAACTTAAGGTCGACTTAAACCTGGTGCCATTCTTGTGGCTAAATGTTTCAATTGCTGCTATGGATAAGGTCACTTCCTCGACGGCTGCGTTGTACGGTCTTAAAACTGACCTCCACCTAAAAGGTGACGAGTACAGCTGGATTGGATCCTCGTTCTACTTTGGGTACCTGATCTTCTGCTTTCCAGCGGGCTGGTTATTGCAGAGATTCCCGCTCATCACTGTTGGTTCTGTTGCGTTTGTTATTTGGGGCTGTATTCTTATTGGTTCAGGGTTCTGTAAGTCGTTTGTTCCGATGATTGTGACCCGTGTTTTGCTCGGGATGTTTGAGTCGCCCGTGGTTGCCATGACGTTGCTGGTGATTTCTGGGTTCTACACAAGAGAAGAGCAGCCGCTCAGAACAGGACTCATGTACACGGGACTCTCCACGATCTTCACGGGTCCTATTGGGTATGCTGTTGGAGGCTACAAGGAGCACTGGTTCCAGCCATGGCGGTCTTTCTACTGGATTACCGGCGGAATGTCCATCGCTTGGGGAATAATTATCTATTTCCTGCTTCCAAGCAGTCCAGTCAACTGTTTCTGGCTTTCTGAGAAGGAAAAGGCCATCATTATCCATCAGGTGAAAAAGAACCAAACAGGTATCAAGTCGGAGCACTGGAAATGGAGCCAGTTCAGAGAAGCGTTGCTGGACCCAAAGGTGTGGGCCATGTTCTGGTTCCAGATCTTTATTTCCATTCCTAACGGTGGTCTTACCAACTTCTCGCCGCTTATCGTGAAAGGACTGGGTTGGTCGTCCAGATACTCTGCTTTGCTCGGAACCGTCAACGGAGTGATGCAGACGGCTTCTTCTTGGATGACCACGTTCATGATCTACTTCATCGAGAGAAAATGGCCCAACTCCAAGGCCAGAGGTCTGGTCATGATCGGAAACCTGATTCCGGCCCTGGTTGCAACCATCTTGCTGTACACGCTTCCGTTCTCCAACGCCAAAGGCCGGCTGATCTCCATGTACTTCGCGTTCTTCTACCTCGGCCCGTACATTGCTTCGCTGACTCTGATCCAAGCAAACACGGCCGGCTACACGAAGAAAGTCACGTGCAACGCCATCTACTTTGTTGCGTACTCGGTGTCCAACATCATTGGCCCGCAGTTCTTCAAAGAGAGCCAGGCTCCGCAGTATCCGCTAGGAATTGGCTCTATTTTCGGAGCCTACGCACTCAGTGTGATCTCGCTAGTCATATATATGTTGCTGTGCTACTGGGACAACCGCAGAAGAGAGGCCAAGGATCCGGGCGGACTCAAGGCCGAGGATCACCAGGATACCGACTTCAAGGACCTCACCGACCTGCAAAACGTCCATTTCCGGTACAAGTGGTGAGGTTCTGGAGCAGCACCCTTGCTATCTGGACACTCTCCAACCGTTATCAGGGCTTTGTCCCAATGGGGAAATGTGCCAGTCTGTTCCCGCTTTCCTTATTTGATTTATCGATAAATATTTATAGCTAGTTTTCCCAATCTTTACTACACTCAGAAATGCCTCCCAAGTACAACTTCTTCCGCGGCCACCCATCTGCGGAGCTGCTCCCCGCCAAGCAGGTGCTCGATGCCACCCATACCGTTTATGAGCGGGTGATTCTGGACGAAAACCACTACGATGACGTGCTCAACAGGCACCCACTGCAGTACGGCTGTGATCTGGGCAATCTCGAGGTCCGTACGGCCATTGCCGATTGGAACACCCGCCAGTTCGGGCTCAAAGTGCCCAGTGACCCCCGCTGCATCAACATGACCAACGGGGCCAGCTACGGAATCATGAACATCCTTGCACAAACAACTTCCCCCCACAACGGACTCACCAGAAGAGCGTTCTTGGTGACCCCTACGTACTTCCTGATCAATACCACGTTCATCGACGCCGGGTTCGGGGGTAAGCTATCGGGGATCGAGGAGCTCGAGGACGGCCAGATCGACCTGGACGAGTTTGCCCGGCAATTGGAATACTACGACTCGTTGGAGGAGATAAGATCCCCCACCGAGGAAGATCTGAAGGCCATCCAGCACCCAAAAAAGCTCCCCAAAAAGATCTATAGATACGTTTTGTACGTGACACCAACGTTCTCCAACCCAAGAGGCGGCACATTGACTGCGGAAACCCGGTACAAGCTCGTGGAGCTGGCAAGAAAGCACGATATGCTGATTATCTGTGATGATGTCTACGACTTGCTGGACTACACAGTTCCAAGCACAGAGACCCCTAAGCTTGTTCCGCGGATCGTGTACTGCGACAAGGAGACACTGACGGACCCCAACAGCCCCGGCAACACCGTTTCGAATGCCACTTTCTCCAAGCTTGTGGGGCCCGGTTTGCGTGTGGGGTGGCAGGAAACTGTTTCCCCCACACTGACAAAACTGATCGACCAAGGTGGAGCACATATCTCTGGAGGGTCCCCGGCACATACCAACAGCGTGATAATCGGCGAGCTGATTGTTTCTGGCGAGATGGACAAGATTGTGACTGGGCTGAGGGAAGCGTACACCGAACGGTCCAAGGCTCTTCATGAAGCTGTTGAAAAGTACATGCCAAAGGGCACCGTTGTGAGTGGGGGTGACGGAGGGTATTTCGTGTGGGTGACGTTGCCCGAGGAGTACGACTGTCGACTGAGTTGCGAAAAGGCGGCGGAACAGGGGCTTCTTCTGGCAAACGGCGACCATTTCGAGGTGGTGGGCGACAGCCGCGGATGGGGGTCCCGTGCTGCACGGCTGTCTCTCAGTTTCCTGTCCCAGGAGGCCATCGTTGAAGGAATTAAATTGTGGGGGCAGATTTGCAACCAGTGCAGAAAATAGATATAATTATAATGGCAGCAGATCTATTCCCGCCTGTAACCATGTTTTCCCCGCCAGGATCTCCTCGAGCGGCGTGTTTGTGGTCCATACGGCGTCTGCGAGCGAGGTGATCATCGAGAAGCTCGGCGACTTGAACGTTTTCTCGGCCTTTTCGAGCTCCGGCCTAAAGTCGCGGAAATTGGTGGCTATCTGCATCACGGGCCACACCATATGGGCCACGACACGCAGCGACTTGTCGAGCGACACGTACACGTCAACGAACTCGAGCGCCAGCTGCTGAATGATCTGTTTGTACTCTGTGTGGGGCTTGACGGTGTCGAGGAGCAGCGTGAGAATGGCCAGCGACCAGCACTGGGCCACTTTGAGCCGGACAACAAAGTACGAGTTTTGCGTGTAGGCGCCGGATTTCGGGGGATCCACATTGAAACTCACGTACATGCGGTAATTGGCTAGCTCTGTGCGCAGCTCCGCAAACAGCCGCTTGATTTCTGCGCCCGTGAGACGGTTGTATCTGATGCCGTTTCGGAGGTGGCACAATTTGGACATGCACACGAAAAGCTCTCCTGGACAGCCACTCTGTTGCTCGATCAGGTGGTCGACGTCGTACCAGTGTGGGTTACAGTAGGGAGTGCGACAGTCCGGTGATACGAGCGACGAAACGGTGTCCCACCAGGCCATGGTGGTGCACAGAGACTCGCTGGCCTGGAAAGAGTCCAGAGTGCTTCTTAGCGACCCGTTTTCGAGCAAACTGGCGAAAAGCTTGAAAAACACCCTGCACAGCGCCGACCTTCCGTTCTCCAGAATCCCGTATAGCACCTGGACAAAGATCATGAAGGACAGAAAAAAGATCGGGGTGTCTGTTTGAAGAATGTTATCCACAGAGATGATTTTGTTGATACCGCTTTCCACGTCGTTATAGACGAGCGAGTCCAATAGATCGTGGTTCTGGATGAAGTTCAGTAGATAGTCCATAGTTCTGTTGATGTTAAGCGCGCCTGTTTCGAGCAGCTTGTGTTTGAGTGCCTGGTCGTCCACTGCCGCAGCCATATGCAAACAGCCCAGCGAGACAAAGCAGCTTTTCACCACGTCTTTGTCGCCGTACTTGACGGCCAGACTGGGCCATTTCTGGTTGGACTGCGCGGATATCGCCGGCAGCAGTTTCGTGAAGAAGTGCCGCACAATGTCCACCTCCTCGCCGTCTGCGAGGTCGAGCCGGCTAAAGATCTCTTCCAGATGGTACTCTCCGTTCTTGTCCATGTAGGGGCTGAGGGATTGCGGTTCAAGGGGCTCGAGCAGGTCGAGGTTGATGGCGGCGGTGTTCTGCTGGGAGGACGACTCAACAAGCTGTTTCCATGTGTTTCTGAGGACGGAGTAGAAGCCGGACTCGTCGTCAACAGAGCGTCTTTTCGCGGATCTTGGGTGGGGGTCTTTGCTGCCGCGCTTTGCGCGCGACAGGTGGGGGGTCACGTCGCTGCCGCCGTCTGGTTTTTGGAACAGTTCCGTTTCCGGGATCATGTTGGCCAGCATGCGAGGTTTGGGCACGGCCACGGCCGCGGGCAGTCTTTCTGGGCCCGACTGCGGGCTGGAGCGCTCGCAGACCCGTCCTGAGGTGAGGCAGTTGAGGCATTCGGGCACGCTGCCGTCGCAGTGGAGGGTGAGGTCCCTGCAAGTGCGGCACGAGTTCATTGTGGGTGAAAATCAGGTGAAAAATATCGGGGTGGGCGGTGTTGAGTAGCAGCATGTGGGGGGAACCAGCACAGTTAGGCATTGAGAAGCGCCAATCCCAGCAGGAAAGAGCTGAATGGAACAGTCAGCTCTCGACCAATTCCAGGAAGAGCCCGTGTGGCGCGTCCGTGCAAGTTTGTCACCACCCGCCGGTGTTTGTATCCTATCGTGAAAAATATACTCGATTCGGCAAATCTGTGCATAAATTTCTGATAAGAAAATCAACACTGGCACTCCAGCGACGAATGGGCAAGGTGAGGAGAGCGTGCACGAGCTGCAAGCGGCGGCGGGTGAAGTGCAACTTCGAGATTCCATGCAGCCGATGCATTGACCGCGACCGCGCGAGTCTGTGCACGCGGGACCCCGTGGAGTCGGACGTTCTACTTGCCAAGGGCCAGGAGGACGAGCTATTTTTTGCCCGGGAGAACAAGGTGTTGAAGCGGCGGATCCGCGAGCTCGAGGAGACGATATTTCAGGAGGCCAAGGCGCGCGGGGCGGCCAGCCGTGCAACCTTTACGAGTCGGAACTCGAGTCCCGTTGCCGTGGATCACGATAGGGCCTGGAAAACGTACGCACAGACGGTGGGGGCTTTGAAACAGGCGCTTGTGGAGCGGTTCACAGACGTCGACAGTCTCTACGCGCAAGATATCGAGGAATGGGCGCTTTTCAAGAGCACCACCCCGACCTCGGCGAAAACAGAGATCTGGAACCAGCAGCTACGGATGGTCAATTCCATCGACAAGTCGCAGTCCGATATCATTCTCCAGGCCGCCGTGGATGTCTCGTTTCTGCACAATGTCCTGGACACAGACGAGTTCCTGCTACAGTACAACAATTACTGGCAAACAGAGCAGGAGAAACACGTTACTCCGTTTTACTCGAAAAACGAGAAAACGTACTTGTTCATGTCGCAATACTACGCCATGATGTGCATTGGCTCGTACTACTCGGACGACGCGCTGCAAAAACGTCTCGGGTACTCGGATGCAGACTGGGACTCGCTGTCGCGGGCGTTTTTCTCGTGTGCGTACCACTGTCTCTCACGGGGCCGTTTTTTAACGTACCCTGATCTGCGAGCGATCCAGTCGTTTGGACTCATGCGGATCTGCTGTCAGGTGGTTGGCGGGGTGGACTTGCAGTACTCACTGCTGGGAAACTTCTGCTACCATGCACGCAATCTCGACCTGGACAAACTCACCGAAAACGATGACCAGCTTAAAATCCGGTGCTGGTGGTCGCTGGTGATCACAGACTGGTACGACAGCGACTTCCGCACGTCGATGATCATGGTGGACAGTTTCACGACGCCGTTGCCGAACCGCTGGATCGCTCCCAAGCTCATCAACGAGCAAAACATGTACCAGATCATGGGGTGTCGGGTGTCCACCATCAAGAAACGGTACTATTTTGCTCCCAGACTGTCGGCGCAACACCTGCGAATTGCCGAGTCTGAGCTGCTCGACCTGGAGAAACAGACCATAGCAGACCTCAGCTACGCCAGCTCCTCGTTCACGGCCACCTACTCCAGGTTTCTCGCAGAGTATCTCTTTCTGTACGAACGGCTCACCATTTACTGTCGAATGTGCGAGTTTTGCCCCAAACACGAGTGGCTGGCCAGTTACTATGCGAAATGCGTCTCGTGTGCAACAGACATCCTGCTGACTTACACCAGCGATGAAACACCAGCAATGTACCGCAAGCCGTGGTTCATGCCGGACGTGGCAGTGTCTGCTGCGCTGTTTCTTCTGGTGGACTTGGCTTCCAACAAGGACACCCAGCTCAACAAACCACAGGTCCTTGGTCTTGCGGAGAAACTGCTTGTCGTGCTGCGCTCGTATCGCCAAACCATCCGGCCAGCTTTGCGGGGTGCGTACATTGTTGAGAAACTGATGCACGTTTCGTTTGGAAGACCAAAGTCTGCGACTCCAATGGCCAATCCCTGGACCGAAGACCGAGGATGGCGCGAGTTCGTGAGCTCATTGGACGAGTTCACCATGAAAACAGACTTCATGTGGTGACAGCATCGGAGATGGCTACAATTTAAGTCTTCTCCGGCTATTTGTTTATCTCCGTGCATATCTAAACTTTATTTCCGGTAAACCATTATTGATGAACAAACAGTATAAAACCCAGTGCCTTGGCCCATAGCCGTATTAGCAGTCAAAATGTCCACTTACAAAGCGCTAGTTTGCCACAAGTACGGCGAGCCGCTGAAAATCGAACAGGTGCCGCTTCCAGAACCCGTTTCTGGCTGTGCAGTCGTCAAGGTGATCTCGAGTGCCGTTTTCAAAAGAGTCAAGGAACTGATCACGTTCGAACACCCGGTGTTCAGTACGCCGCTGCCATTTGTGCCTGGCGGCTACGGCGTGGGCCGCGTCGTGTCAGTGGGCCCGGGCGGCCACCTGAAAACAGGCCAGCTGGTTTATCTGGACTCGCTTGTCACGTCACGTGAGAGTCCGCAGGAGATGATCATCAAGGGCGGGTTTGGCGGTATTTCCGCCGAGTCCAAGGAGCTCTCCAAGCTCAGATACAAAAGAGACGGGTATTTGCAGGAGTACGCCCTTGTCGACATCGACGATTGCTACCCGATCGACGAGTCGGCTCTCGGGGAGCACAGCGTGCACTACGTGAACAATATTGGGCCGTTTCTGGTTCCGTACGCCGGATTCCGTGCAGCCAACCTCAAAGCAGGCGAGACTGTGATCATCTCGCCAGCCACAGGTAAGTTCAGCGGCGCGGCAGTTGCCGTTGCCTCGGCGCTGGGAGCAAAAGTCGTTGCTGTTGGTAGAAACAAGGCTGTGCTCGAACGGTACACAAAGACGCTTCCCAACGTCTCTGCTGTGACTCTTACCGGAGACAAAGCTGCAGATTCAGCCGCATTGGCACACTTTGGTCCTGCAGATGTTTTTCTGGACCTGAACCCTGTTGGTGTGCCAAAGAACCCGAACTTCGACGTTTGTTTCCAAGCTCTTGGCTACGGCGGCCGGGCTCTATTGCAAGGATTCTCCACGGAGCCGCTATCGATTGACTACAGCTCTATGGCGTTCAAAAACATTTCCATTGTGTCCAAGGCGATGTATACTCGCGCGGAGGCCCAGGATCTGGTGAAGCTGTTCAACTCGAAAAGTCTGCGGTATTGGGAGATATTCCGCACACAGGTGTTTGGAATCGACGAGTTCGAGGCCGCGTTTGCAGCAGCAGACACGGCCACCAGCTGGGACGATCTCGTGGTGATTGAGTTTAATAAAGAGTAATATTACTAACATGAACAAATATATATTCTCAAGCGAGGAAGAACCAGATCTTCTCAAGCCAATTGCGCGGAACAGGCTCGACGTACTCGGCAGCCTCCTTTTCGACCTGTTCAAGGCCGGTGATACAGTCGATTTCTTCAGGCGGACCAAACAGCTTGAAGTTTCTGTACCACAGAGTGTGGCCGACGTAAAGCACGAAGATGATAGGGATGGTGATGTAGGCAGCAAAGAAGTCGCTGACGTTGAAGTCGAAGAAAACGCCGTATCCGTTGGTGAGGGTAATGAGCGTGAAGAAGATCAGACTGGCCCATGCTCCAATCATTTGAAGCGGTGGTCTGAAGGTGACTCTGTCGTCAAGACCATGGTAGGTGATGGCCTTTCTGAAACGGATATAGGTGATCGACACAAGGATCCAAGAGATGAATCCAGACACGGTGGAGATGTTGGACAGCCAGGTGAACACGATCGACGAGGAGTCGGAGCAGTTCAAGTAGACCACCAAGGAAATGACACCGGTCAGAATGACAGCCACGTACGGCACACCGTTCTTGGAGCAACGAGCAAAGATAGACGGCACCTCGCCTTGGAGAGCCATGGAGTGCAGAGTTCTGGTGGCGGAGTAAAAGAGCGAGTTTCCACAGGAGTAGGCGGACGTGAGGATACAGGCGTTGACAATATGGTTCAACACCTTGATTCCGGCGTTCTGGATTCCAATAACGTATGGAGATCCAGCAGCTCCGGAAGCACCCTCATTGACGGCATTCATCAAACGGTCGCTATTGGAAGGCACCATGATTCCAATAACGAGAACACCAAGAACGTAGAAGATGGCCAATCTGAAAACGAAACGTCTGCAGGCTTTTGGCAAGTTATGTCTTGGGGCCTCGGACTCAGCAGAACAACTGGTGACCAGTTCTGGCGACAAAACAAAGGCGAAAGCACTTTTCACAATAGCTGTCCAGCAGGCTAAGAATTTTCCGGTGTTTCCTGGGGCCAAATGCTCAACAAAGGCACCAGGGTGGTTCCAGTAATGGAAACCTAAAACACCGTTGGAAGCAGGAGCTCCACCAAAGAAAATCACCACTCCGACAATGATCAGACCGGTGATGGTAAAAACCTTAATACTAGAGATCCAGAACTCGACCTCACCGAAGTACTTGACGGCACAGCAGTTTAATGCGACGGTGGAAACCCAGAAAATCGAGATAAATATAGCAACGTTGGCGTCGGTCCAGTATTCGATGACAAAAGCGGAAGCAGACATTTCTGCCGGGGCAATCAGTGCCTGAGCATAGTAGAGATTGAGTCCGGCAGCAAAAGCGATGGACTTGTTACCAGTGTACCGCTCACAAAGGGCGTACATGGTGGATTTTCCAGAAATCGGAAGATATGAAACCATCTCACCAAGTTGGTTCATTATGGCCCAAACAAAATAGGACAAGATCAGGTATCCGACAAGTAGACCCGCAGGACCACACGCAGTCAAGGTGCCACCTGTACCGACGAAAAGTCCGGTTCCAATAGCACCCCCGAGGGCAATAAGCTGAACGTGTCTGCTCTTCAGACCTCTGTGAACCTCGGTGTTGTAACCCTTGGCTGAACTCACCTCCTCGGTGTCAACCAAGTAATTGGACTTACTGTGCATCGATATGCTACCAACTGGTTGTTGTTTCTCCATTTTTGGTGCAAATATTCGTCCGTCTTGATCCATATATATATGCTCAAACTAGCGACTCGGAAAATCCCTGCAAAAATGCAACTTTGTTTGCAGATAGATAACACCTGCAGCTTATCTTTCGACACCACGAGAAAAAACCCTATGATCACGGCATTGTACTAATTGGGAAACTGCGGCTGTGTGTCAAGCAGCGCTTAATGGTTTCGCTCTGGTCCAATCTTTCACGCCATACATGCATCAATAGACGGTGGACCTTCTGTTTGTTGGGGCACAGCTGCCGGGAACTGGCTGACGTGATCAAAATTTCTGCCCTCGCGCTATTTCCTCTAAGCGGGACGGTTGCTGACATAAGCATCCAGGCGTACGGGAGGCTGATAAGGTTTCGTAGGAAGCAGTTAGCGACTGAAATACGATAACGACATGATAGCGAAAAACGCTCGGCGAATGCTCTCCGCACGTTCAAGGTGTACCAACGTACCAAATCCGTCGAGTTCCATCACTCTGCAGCTTCGTGTTGGCGCGCCATCGTGGCCTTGCTTATCTCTGGAAAAGTTTTCACACCTTGCACCGTTTTGCAGCTAATGCCACAGGGTAGGTTTGGACGATCTTAGCGAGCGGTCGAGCAAATCAGGTCTTCGCAAGAAAGTGTGTGCGAGGTGTGTCCTGCGCAAAAGCAATCTCCGTGGGAGCTCGCCTAGATTTCCCCGTACCGCCCGTTACAGCAAATTCAAACCTTATTCTCGCTAATAGTAGCTAAACACATCTCTCTCACAAATGGCCTTGCATATGCTTGAGCTCATCTGTGTCGTAGTCGTACACACACTTTCCTTCGAAATATGTCTTTTTCACAATCGTGTCTGCCACAGACTCGCATTCCACCATGTTACGGTCCAGAACAATGAAATTAGCCAGCTTTCCGGCCTCGATAGAGCCTTCCGTGGACTCTCTGCCCACCGCTTTGGCTCCGTCCAGAGTCACGATCCGTAGAATGTCCTCTCGTTTCATGTCCCAGCCGTGTTTCTTTTCCATCAGGGCCTGCAGACCTGGGAAAATGTTTGGGGTGTCTGGAGCAAACACCCAGTCGGAACCGATGGTCAACAACGCTCCAGCGTCCTGCAGAGTGTTGAATGGATAAACACTCTTTGGGTTCACTTCTGGCTGGAAGTCTGGGTCGTGCCAAATAGCTGGCGACATCTCCGCAGTGATGTTTAGCGGTTTGTACCGTTGACAGTCTGCCGCGGTAACGTCCATGTTATGGGCCAGTTCGTGGCGGGGACCGTTCGGATTGGCCTTGCGCAGCTCCTCGAAACAGTCCAGCGCAAACTTGGCCGATCCCTGGCCGCAAACGTGCACTTTGCAAGTACGTCCTTCGGCGTCGAACCTTTCGATGGCCTTTTTGAACGTTTCAGGAGGAATCAACAATCTCGAATAGTCAACCTCGCCGTCGTCTGTCAACGGACAGTGAGTCTCGTGAGGATGCCAAGGAACTCCGTCAATCCAGCACTTGGTGAACATCGGGTTGAAATGCTTGGACTTATAGTTTTTAGCATTCCACAAAGCATGGTGCAATGAACCAACAGATTCCTGTGGGAATGCTCCAACACCATAGAACACCACGTGTGCGTCGAGGTTGATGGTCAGAGTGCCTTTTTCCTCGAGCTTCTTGGCCGCCTCCAAATACACCGTGTTGGCCGAAGCTTCCTGAACGGTGGTGAAGCCAAACCGGTTGGCCATCTTGACACCGTACTCCAAGGCAACAACGTTGTCCTCGGGACGGCCCTTTGGCAACGAAGCAAACATCCGCGTGGCAGCTCCTTCGACAAGCTCTCCCGTGATTGTGCCATCTTCTCTGCGAACATAGTATCCGTCCCAAGGGTCGACGGGATTTTCTTCGTATCCAGCAGCACGAAGGGCAGCAGTGTTGGCAAAGATGTTGTGGGTGGTGTACTCACGAATGACCACGGGCTGGTCGCCGAAAGCATCGTCCAAAAATTGCCGGTCGGGTTTTTCGTCTTTGAAACTGGCATAGTGGTAGAAATTACCAACGAGCCAATTCGAAACCGTTCCCAAATGCGCACACGCACCAGATGCATACTCCTTGAACTTATGGACGATCTCCTCCTGGGATCCTGAGGTTCCAAGCTTGGCTTCGAACAACTTTTCCTCGGAAGCCATCAAAAGGTGGCAATGAGCGTCATGCATTCCTGGCATGACGAATTGGCCCTCCAGGTCGACGACCTTGGCTGGGTCAGTGGCCATGACCTCCTTCGAGGTGCCAACAAGGCCGAAAGTTCCATCAGCTTGAACCAAAAATGCTTCTGCCCATTTTTGAGCAGAAATGGTATAGATTTTTCCGTTAATGTATGCGGTTGACATTGCTGGATAAGTGGAAAAACGGTGTGCTTCTTATAAGCAGAACGACGCTCATATTGAGGAACTTTTCGCCCAAAGAAGCAAAGCCAAAGACATCAATTTTGGTAAATCTTCAATAGACGAAAGCTTTTCCCAATTTGGATACGATGGCTACTGAAACGGCCAAGGGGATATCAAATCTGCTCGACGATGGCATATTATGTCCAAGAAAAGTATAATTGTTGCACTTTCTGATAAGACACCTGTCCCTGATAGTCCAACCTGTCATAAAATAGCCCTATGGAGACCAAAACTCCAGTCAAGACCGTTATCTCTTATCAAACTTTGTTCACATGCAGAGCAACACTGCCGTGGCTCAAATTCTATTGTCTTTTAAGGGACTTAAGTCGATGTATTGTCGTGGACGACCTATTTCAACAATGTCTCGATCGTCATCCAACAGTTTTCTCGTCGATTGGGCAACGGAGTTCAGCTCTTCATTACCTGTTTGGGGACAGATAAAAGTGGAACTTCTTAAATGGATTTCAATTGGTGCACCAATTTGGGTCTAGCCACTTATCGTCTGATGCTGATCATCTCTATTCAGTCATTTTCTCCCTTGGCTGTTATCTGGGGGCTCCAATTTCGGATCGTATGACCTGTTCTGTCTCGGGGAGACAAATGTATAAAATGGTGTTTGAGTGTTTGGACATTTCTAGCCACATCACTATGACAGAAACTCGCATTCCAGGCACTATTCACCTTATTGACCTTGACGGCAACCTCGACGTCAGACACGAGGGTAACAAGGACATTGTTCTTGTTCCCCAGCCAACAGATGACCCCGAGGACCCGCTCAACTGGTCCAAGTCTCGTAAAAGACTTCTCGCCATGTGCTTGATTATTGCCGTTTTCTCGGCAGACATCTTGAGTACTTCGCTTTCGGCGGCCTTATTATCGGTCGAAGAGAGCACAGGAATTCCCCTGGCAAATCTCAACACTGGTGTTGGTATTCAATACTTGTTCTTTGGCTGGTCCAATTTGCTATGGCAACCATTTGGCCTGAACTATGGTCGCAGACCTGCTATTTTGCTTGGAGGACTTGGCTGTTTATTGTGCACCATCTGGTCGGCCTATGTTAAAAGTACTGGTGAATGGTACATCAACAGAATTTTGGTTGGCTCTTTCTATGGCCCAATTGAAACGCTGATTGAAGTTTGCATTTCCGACGTTTTCTTCGCTCATGAACGTGGAGGATGGATCGCCTGGTACTGCTGGACCCTGTTCAACATTCCTTTCCTGTGTGGTATCCCTGCTGGATACATTGTGGACAGACTGGGATGGAAATGGATTCCATACATTTGGTCCATCATTGCTGCCGGTTGCTGGGTGTTCATCTTCTTTTTCCTCGAGGAAACCATGTACCATCGCAACCCTGCGCTAGAGATGGACGGAGTTCAGGGTGCTGTTTCCGTGAACAACACCAACTCCCCGGATAACGAGAAGGAAAAGAACCAGATTGTTGTGGACGAGGTTGCTTCTTCTGGCTACCCGAGAAAAACGTTCATGGAGAAGCTCAAGTTCTGGGGAGCACGCAATCCCGACCAGAAGAACACGTTCTTCCAATCGATGTGGATTCCGTTCTATTTGGTCAGATACCCGGCCATTGCGTTCGGAGGACTTGTTGTTGGAGCTGTTCTTTCCTGGTTCAATGTTGTCAACGCTACATTGGCAGATATCCTCGCATCTCCTCCATACAACATGTCTGGAGAAATGATTGGAGTGTTCTTTGCTTCTCCTTTTGTTGGCATTTCTGTCGGATCCTACTTCTCCGGAAAGATCGTTGATACCTGGTCCACAATGCGTGCCAGAAAGGCCCATGGATACAGAGAACCAGAGGAAAGACTGTGGGTTTCTGTGATCCCAATGATCATCCATCCATTTGGCTGTTTCCTGTTTGGAATTGGTGCTCACCACGAGGTCCATTGGGTTGGTTTAGCTTTTGGACTAGCAATGATCTGTTCCACGTTTCCGATGGGATCTGCGGTCGCAATCAATTACATCATTGACTGCTACAAAGAAGTTTCCGGTGACGGATTGGTGACGATGATTCTGATTCGGAACTCTATGGGATTCGGGTTCTCGTATGCGGTGACTCCGTGGCTGGATGCCGTGGGGGTTCAGAACCTGTACATTGCCATTGGATGCATTGGTATGTTTTTCTGGGCAATTTCGTTTGTGATGATTGCTTTAGGAAAGAAGTTCAGAAGAATGTCTGCGTCGTCGTACTGGCGCTTAATCGATAAATATGAGCTTCACGCCCATTAATCACGTTAAATAGGGATCAATGCTTTTTTTACAGAAATTTCCATGAAAAATAAATTCAGGCAGCAGCATATAAAATTTAGGCGGACTTCTCAGCGTCCAATTTTTCCACCTGAGTGGCCTGCAAAACTTCCTCATTCTCGGAATCGGCCGGGTTGAAGTGCAACTCGCCGTCAAATTTCACGTCGATCTCCTCCAGCGTCATTCCCTTGACCTCAACAAAAGTCCACCAGATAAGAGCAGCTTGCGCGAAATTATAAGCACCGTTAATCATGTAGAACTTCCACGAAATGTGATCCAACGCGATTGGAATCACGTACTGGTTGAAGAACCCAAATCCAAAAGTAACCACTTGCGAAAAAGCCATGCCCTTGGTCCGGATACTGTAATTGACAATCTCGACAGGATAAGAAACACATAATGGAGTGAAACTGAACGCATAAGTTCCACTGAACAAGAACACCAGGAAAATTAATGCGTTCGTTCCGTTGATGTTGTCTCCTGATCCGTACACTTTCTGAAGACCGCCCATGATGAACAGACAAATACCCATCACCACGGTGGAGTAGAACAGGATAGGCACTCTACCCAAACCTTCGGTCAAGTACGACCCAGCGCAAGCGAAAAACAAGTTGGAGATCTGCAGACCCAGATTCAGCACGATCTGGCGTCTGGTGGAAGTGTATCCTGCGTTCTCCAAAAATAGTCCCAAATACGTTCCAACAATGTTGCTACCGGTCAGTTGGGAAGCAACACCCATCCAGAAAATGATCCACAGTCTCCAGCGGTTTCCGCGGGTGCGCAGCATGTCAAGCCAGCCGATCTTGGCCTCCTTCTCGTACTGAAGCACCTGTTTGATCTCGGCAAACTCGTGGGCCACCAGGGCGGTTTCCTCGCCGTTTCCGTGGTAGTCTTTTAACACCTGCAAAGCTTCTTCCTCTCTGTTGGTGTACACCAAAAATCTCGGTGTTTCCGGGATGAAAAACAGAACTGGCAAACAAAGCACCGAAGGAGCGATCTGCCAGAGCGAGATTCCACGCCAAGCCCATGATGAAGCGTTCTGGTAGGTGCCGAGAGAAATACCGGTGGTGATAATTGCTGCCAAATACCAGCTGGCCATATACACACCGGCGAAAAAGCCACGTTGTTCGGCCTTGACCATCTCGGCAACATACGTTGGGGCACTAACGGCATTGATAGTGACGGCAACACCGATGATAATCCGGGCAACACAGAACATTGCTCTATTTCTGGCTCCGGTCTGGAGACCGACACCCAAAAAGGTTAAAATAGCGGAGATGAGGATACCTCCCTTCCGGCCGACTTTGGGGATATCGATAATCTGGGCGGCGAAAAAGCCACCAAAAACAGACCCGATGTTGATGGAAGCGGAGAAAAGTCCCTCCAAATTGGAGTCCAAATTGAAATACGTCAAATATTGGTCAATCATGTTCAGATTGGTCATCATACTCTGGTCAACACCCATAGTACATCCATTGATAATAGCACAAAACAGTGCGGTGGCCATTAGGCGACCGCTGTTCTTGGTAGCAGAGCTCATATCTTGCAAATTCCGGTAAAAAAGATGCGGCTAAAGGCTGAAGATATAACAATAAAAATTATCACGTCAAAAACCAAAAAAGCCCTAATCAAGGAAATGGAAAAAAAAATTAACCGTCGGATTTACCTACGGTGAAAAAGTCTTGGTACCGAAAATATATTTAATGCGCAGGATTTCCCAAATAAACTCAAATGCGTAAGGTTCTTATTGATTGTGACCCAGGAATCGACGACGCCAGTGCGTTGTTGTTGGCCCTTGCGCCTGGAAACTTGGACGTCAAGGCCATCACCACTGTTTCGGGAAATCTGCGTGCAAGCGATTGTACTAACAACCTCAAGAAAATCCTGTCCATGATTGATAGAACAGACATTCCCGTCGGCCAAGGGCCCGAAAAGCCGCTCGTTCGCAAATATCCGCGAGATCCTTTCTCTCATGGTTCCGACGGCCTAGGCGACCTGGACATGCCCGAACTTAACAGTACCAAATGGGACGAGTCGGGAGCCTCCGTTGCCGTGGCCAGCGACCTGATCGTCGACACCGTCAATAAGTACCCCGGACAGATTTCGATGGTCTGTCTCGGTCCGCTCACAAATCTGGCACTGGCCCTAATTAAAGACCCTCAGCTACCATCCAAGCTGGAAAAAGTTATCATCATTGGTGGCTCGTTTGGCTTCTCTCCCTCTGAGGCCCTACATGCCACGGGAGACAACCCTGTCAGTGAGTGGAACATCTACGTTGACCCAGAAGCAGCCGAGCTTGTCTGGGGCGCAAAATTCAACCTGACAGCCATTGGAATGGACATTTTCTGTCAGCCCTGCATCGCCATGACACAGAAATACCAAGACAAACTGGCGCTTTCGAGCTCTGTTGCAGCCAAATTCATCTTAAGTGTGCTTGCATGGCTCAGAAGGCGCAACTTTGGTGACTACTGCGCGCTGATCGACTCGCTTGCCGTCGCCTATGCTATCGACGAGTCGATCATGGAAACAGAGAAAGTCGACTGTCTGGTCGAGACCAAGTCGGAGATCGCGCTTGGCCAGGTCGTTGTCGACCGTAGAAAGAACTTCAAGTGGGATAATTTGCCGCAAATCGACGCAGTTTGCACCGTAAACGGTGAAAAGTATCTGTCCATCTTGACAGACGGCTTCACCAAATATTAGTTAATCATTTTTATAAAGGTAATGAAAAACACGCCTGTTGCTAAACCACCAAAATTCAAGGTGCGACGCGCTGCTTTGGCATGCTCGCAGTGCCGCCGCGCGAAAACCCGCTGCCATTATCTAAACAACGGCCAAACGTGTTTTCGATGCACAAATCTGGGCATGCGATGCTCATTGGCAGATGTCAACTTGACAGAATCATTGCTGTCGCAGAACGCCACGCCACCGCCGCTCCCAATCGCCACACAGGACTCGTCCGATGCATCGCTGTCCCAGAAACTGGATCAGGTCCTCGACAAGGTCGACTTGCTGCTCGGAGTTCGAAAAGCCGTCGACATGGTGGAGTCGGAAATAGACTCGGGCCAAGACACTCCTGGTTTGCTGGACAAGCTATATTTCGACGTGACACCCTATAGAGATGTCCGTCGTGCGGCCAGTTTGTGCCAGATGCCGTTCAGCAAGGAGCTCGCCCACGGAATATGGACTCCTCCGCCCGTCAGATCGCCCGAGGAAGATATCGTTGGCTCTGGCTTGATCCCGGAACCTCTGGCCAACCAGCTGGTTTCCATCTGTGTGGAGTACTACGGCCACTGGATCGCAATGTACGAACTTCCTCCTGGATTCGTCAACGACCTGAGAGTCAAGTGTCCGATGTTGCTCGCGGTTATGTGTCTTTTGGGCCTGAGGTATTATAAGGGCCCACTTTTGAAGAATGGCAACCATCTGGCGCGGTCGTTGTTGCAAATCATGCAACGACTGTTATCAGCATCGATTCTAGTTGTGCCGCAGATCAAGTACCAGATCCAATCGTTGTTGTTGATCTCGCTGTTTGCTGTTTCTCTGTCACACCAATCATTTTACTTTGACGGCTGGTTTTTATCAGGATACGGACTTCTGCACTACATCACCCGCGAAATGGACCTCAACCTCCTCTCCGATAGACTCAGGCTCCACCCGGACAGAAACGAGAGTTTTCGGTTGTGGAACCAGATGGTCTTGGGCCATCTGGTCTACTGCATTTTGTCAGGAAGACCGTGTCTGATCGATACGCTACGTTTGGACCAGTGCCGCAATATTTTGGAAATCCCGTCTGCTTCGAGCTTCGACGGCCGTGTCGTGGCCCAATTGTCGATCCTACTTACGCTATACAACTCGCTCCAGTTCAAAGAACCGCTCGACGTGTCGCTCAAAGACCTCAAGTCGTCGTTCAACGACTGGAAACACCTGCTGGAACAACACTCGGTCGGCCGACCAATCTCGATCACATACCGGTTTGCCAAGGTGATGCTGTATCGACGCGACTTCCTCACCACTGGCGACCCCAAGTCTGCAGCCGAGCTTGACGGTGAGTGCGAAAAACTGCTCGGACTCATCAAAGACTCCGACCCAATCTTGCTACTCAAAAGTAGCGACCACATCAAGTTCGTCACCATGTTTGCCGCGCTGACGCTGATCCAGCACGGCAAAGCTGCCACCGCACGGCCTGCAGTCGACCTGTTTGCCGCCTGGGAAAAGACAACCGTCTACTACAACGACTTTGCCGGGGTCTATCGACGCTTACTCGAAACCTTGTCAAGCACCACGTCTGCACAGCCTTGATATATATATTTTTTCCTCAAGGCTGAAAAAGCATGATTTATAATAAATCAAAAATATATCGGACTTGATATCATGGTGACTCGGCTTTCATGTTATAATTGCAAGAGTCGCAAAGTGAAGTGCGATCGGACCCATCCGATCTGTGCCAACTGTTCCAAGCGCAAGCTGGACTGCAAATACCCCACCACTTTCCGAAGTATACCCATAGTGACACCGGGGTTGGCCTTTACCCAGAACTCACAGAACTCCCACAATTTCCATCGAAGTCCCCTGGAAGGGCGATATTTCGGGCTCAACTCGGTCAAGGACGTGTTGTCCGCGACGGGAACGGTGTACACCAGCTCTGACGAGCTGGTGAAGGAGCAAATGGTGGAGTTTAGTTTGTTGTTCGGACCAGACAGTGGAGATCAAACTCGCCAATTTATTAGGGAAGGTTTAGAGCTGTTTTCAGAGGTTTCGAGCTTCGGTGCTCACGAACCGTTCATTGATTATCTGGAATTGTCGCACAACGTGAGTCAGTTCATGGAAACGCTCGTGTTTCCATGCAGGACTCTGGTGCAGTTATACGGAGTTCTGATTTCGGTTGCAAGATACCATCCGAAGGCAGACGAGGAAATAATTGCCCAGATGCTGCGTGGGTTTGGACGAGCTGGCTTATTTTCGGAAGACAGCGTCGAACTTCTGCAGGCACGGCTGCTATTGCTTGAATTCTACTCGTACTCCATGAAGATCGAGGCTGCTTGGACTTTGTTGTTCAACATTGTTTGTTCCGCGTACGGTCTGGGTTGCCATGTTGTTCGGCCAGGAAAACACTGTTTGCACCGGCTGGATATCATCTGGCGGACGACCGCTTACTACGACTGTTTGATTGGTTCGACGATCGGCCGTCCGAATGCGATCTCGTGTACCCGCGTCCCGGCTAGGTATATTCTCTGCGAGCTTGTGGAGATCTTCCAAGACACAAATCTTGCATTCCAGGAGTTCGGAAAGAACGAGACGCTGTACCAGGACCACATTTTGCGGCTGGACAGTTATATTACCAGGGTCTTGGACAGAGAGGAGAAAGATCCGACGATATTATACAGAAACTACCGGCTGCTACTGCTTAGTAACCAGATTAAGCTCCATTACGCGTTTGTCCGCACGCACCGTTTCTCGCAGTTCCAAATTAACAATGTTCTGTCACGGTTCTTCGAAGAGCTAGTGGAATTTATCGACTCTGCTTCCAAATCTGCTCCTCGGCCCTTCATCAAATTTAGAGAATCTTTCCCCTTTGTTTCATGCTACTCTTTCCAGACTCTGGCCATAGTTCTTGCATGTATCAAGAAGAACATGCACGTTTTGGAACCGAAGGTTCTGGAGGGCTTGCGCGAGTTTAATGAGAGACTTAAGCCGTATGCCAATTTTTTGGCTACCGACCATTGCCTCAACGAAACTCTCGATGTCGTGATCGATCTAATCAAGTCGGACGGCGATCTACATCCTCCGACACTTCCCATCGAGTCGGACCTCTCGTATATCCGTGATGACCCATTTTTCTACCAGATGTACTACAATCACCAGCAATGACATATTATAGTTTAATATATTTATTTTTCTGCCACCACTTCTTCCTCAGACTGAATTTTTGTCTTTTTGGACCAGATGACCACACCCAGACATCCTAACCAGCCAAGGGCTCCCAGGGAGACCAGGACATAGCCCGTAATACGGAACTTGTGGTCGGTTTTCTCGCCATTTCCCAGCACAGAAGTCACCACCGCAAAGCAGACACTCACACCGAGCTGGCCAAACGTCTGCAAAACTCCCGAAGCCAGGCCTTTCACCTCAGGCTCGGCAGCTCCGATCAGCACGTTCAGACAGTGCGGGAAGAAGAAACTGCTTCCCGCGGAGGAGATGATTTGCAGCGGAACAACCCATCTCCAGAAAAAATTGTCCACGGTACGATCCCAGACACAAATCATAGCCAGGGAAGCAACCATCAGAGAGTAGCCGAGCATCATAGCCTTGTTCTGAGACAATATATCGTGCTTGATGGCCAATAGCAGCGTCACACACGTCATGGTGATCACGTTGGGGATGAGCCGAAGTGCGCTGATCAGCGCGGTATTATTTTCGGCATACTGATAAAACTGTGAAACCAGCGTGATCATACCGAAAAGCGACGCGTAGTTGGCAAAGTTGCAAAAATTCATCACCACTGGCACGAATGATGTCAGCATCGATTTGGGAATTAGCGGAATAACCTCTCTGAAGGCATGGATGTTAGTCCTGGCCATGTCCAGAAAATGAGTGCTCCAGAAAAAGAACACCACGTACAGAACCACTCCCACGGGCAACGGCACATACGCGCGTGGAGAGTTCCAGTTGTCTCCGGCCTCAGTGAATCCAACCACAATTAGAGCTGTGGCCGTAATCAATAGCAAAGATCCAACAGCATCCAGATTTTCGATTCGTTCCCCTGTCCTTGGTAGCTTTTTGATAAGGAAGAACGATGCGATGGCATTCAGAAACATCACTCCGCAACTCAAATAATAGATCCCCTTGTATCCCACAGAAGTTATGTCCAGGGCTCCGCCAACAATGTACCCAACTCCAAAAGAAACACTAAACCCTGCAGCAAGAATGGAAAACCTTGATCCCATCTTGTGTTCTGGGAAAGAGCTCGAAACGATGGCGTAACCGGTGGGAACCAGCGCAGCAGCAGCAACTCCCTGAAGCGCACGAAATGCAATTAAACCGTTCAAGTTATCAACCACCGCACAAAGAAGTGAAAATAGCGAAAACAGCAAAGAGCTGCAAATAAAAAGCGTATCGTGACCGACAATGTCGCCAATCCGACCGCAAAATGCAATGAGTCCTGAAAATGTCACCGCGTAGGAAGATAATGCCCACGAAGCAACGGAATCTGTGGTATTAAAATGATCTCTAATGTTGGCAATACTGGAAATGGTAGCTGTCACATTGATAAGGTCGAAAGTCACTCCTATCAGCACCACAACCAACACAAGATCGGCATTCTGAGTCTCGCGGTTTCTATATTTGGTTATGAACTTGGTGGTCTGCTCCCAAACACTCATACGGCTGAGGGAAGCATGATAGTGACCGAACCCCTTATGTATTCCAGTGAAATAATTTGCTAGAAAGTCCTAACCTCAACCCCGAACCCCGAATTTCGGTGTTCGGACTATCCCAGGTGTAAAATTACGTTATCAATAGAAAGGAACAGAAGCTCCGTCCCCGCGAGGATCGCTGCCGCCAGAGTACACCAGGTGGTGCGGATCTGGCTCACGGCGAATAATCTGGCCGCGTCCAAAGAGCGAACGCTGTTGATTGCTTAAAATGCGGACCTCATGGCCCAAAGAACGCAGCCCTGCCACCACCTCGGGAGCAACCCCGTCCTCGATGTTCACCAGGGAAACTTGTGTGCTCACGGGGCCATCCGATCCCAGTCCATTGTCGGTGTGGTGGAAGTCGGGGTGCGGCACCAGGCACAACCGGGGCGCGTCCAGGGCCTCTTGGGGTTTCATTCCAAAAAGTAGCATGTTCAGGTAAACCTGAACATGAGCCTGTGGCTGATTGAAACCGCCCATGATACCATAACTTGCATACAGCAATTCCTTATCATCAACCTGTTTGGTAATCATACCGGGGATTATTGTATGGTAGGCCCTTTTTCCTCCAGCGAGACAATTTTTGGAGGCAGGATTCAAATTGAAGTTATCACCCCGGTTCTGCAAAATAAAGCCGTGCTTGGGAACCACTATACCGCTTCCAAAATGGTGGTACAACGAATTGATGAACGAGAACGCGTTCCCGTCACTATCTGAAACCGTCAGGTACACCGTGTCTGATCTCATTGACGGGTCAGGAACCTCGCGTGGGATCTGATTATTGTCCAAAACCTTGCTTTTCGAGAAATGTTTGGTTCTTTTGGAAAAGTAGGACGAATGGAGCAGTTTTTTCAGGTCGGGTTCAAGATCAATTCCCGTGGACTCCTTGTAATGCCGGTAATCGTGGACATGGTCGTCTGAGTCTCTAAAGGCCAGTTTCAAGCACTCGATGATGACATGGAGATACTCTGTTGAGTTATGTTTGAGCGACTGCAAATCAATAACTCCGTCTGCGTCCAGCTGGTTGATATAACCCAGAGCCAGAAGAGCGATGATACCAGACCCGTTTGGCGGGATTTCCCAAAGTTTGTGGCCCAACACAGAAACACAGATGGGCTCAACAAACTGGGACTCGTGGGATGCAAGGTCCTCCAATGTCATGACATGGCCGCGAGACTGGAGTTCCGCAACAATGTCACGTGCCACGTCTCCTTTGTAAAAACCCGCTTTTCCTTGCTGTGCGACTTTCCTCAGTGTCTCTGCGAACTGTGCGTTCTGCAGGAACTGGCCCTCCACTGGCGCGCTGAAGCCTTGATTGGGCAGAAAAACGGCCAGATCTGCAGAAATCTTGTTGACTCTCTTCAGCTTGGCTTCCTGTCCTTTCCACAGCAGTGCCGTCTGCTGCGAGATCACGTACCCATTCTCGGCCAGGTCGATTGCAGGAGCGAGAATCTCTGCCAGCGACACCTTCCCACTCCCCCACCGGTCAACAGCGTCGCACCAGCCGGCGATAATTCCGGGGACCTGGATAGCGAACACGGAATCGTCCTTGAGCCGCAGTGTGGCTTTGATATGGTCGGGATGGTTCTCCTTAAGCCAGTCGAGACTCAACGCTGCCGCGGATTTGCCTGCTGCGTTGATCCCAAACACTTTGTTGGCGGTGTTATCGTAAAAGAGTCCAAAAGCACACCCTCCAATGCCCGTGGACATTGGCTCGGTCAAACACAACACAGCGGCCACGGCAACGCACGCATCGACGCAATTGCCCCCAGCACGCAGAACCTTGAGGCCGGCCTCGTTGGCAAGCGGCTGAGTCGACGAGACGATCCCGCGAGTTGAGTACACCGTAGATCTACGCGAGTTGAAATTCATACCGATAAGATAGTAAGATAAAAATTATTAGATTGAGTTGGCTTACATAACGTGACCCTTGTTTCTCTTCTGGTCCACGTTGAAGTTCTTCCAAACAGCAATAGATGGGATGGAAAGAGCCAAAATAGCAGTTGCAGCGACAGAACTGTACTTTTGACTGTAGTTCCAGGCGTAGATAATGGCGTCTCTGGTGGTGGAGCCGACTGGGTACGAGCTCTGGGCGGTGACACCTCCAAGGTAGATCGAAGAGGCCTCGGAAGCAGACAGTTTCTTGGACAAAGCATCGTAGAAGGTGTTGTCGTAGACGGCAGCGGAAATGGCGTAACCGATGGAGCTACCAACGGAAGAGAACAGAGACACCAAAGAAAGCATCATAGGAATACCTTCCTTGTCGGAAGCAGCCATAACGGCCATCTCCTCGCCAATAACAAGCATTCCTCCGGCAAAGGCAATGAAGATCTGACACATGATGATGTAACCGATGTTAGAGGTGTACTCACCACGGAAGTGGATCAACAAACCACATCCCAAGATTTGCAATGGAAGAGCAAAGAACAGACAAGCGTACTTGAAGTGCTTGGTGATACGCACGTAAAGACCAAAGATTGGAGACCAGAAACAAGAACCAACATTGAAAATCTCCAACATGTAACCGGCGTCTCTGACACTCAAGTTGTAAACGATAAGAACGAAGTTGTAGTAGTACAAATCCCAGCAGTAGAAACTGATGTTGTTGACGGCAGCCAAAATACAAGCTCCAATGACGGTAGGATCTCTGAACAACTCGTATTTGATGAAGTGAACCTTGGCTCCCCATTTCTCCCAAGCAGCAAAGACTGGGAACAGGCAGCCACCAATGATGATCATGGCAATGAACTTAGCGGAGTGGTAAGTGGCTCTTCCGTAAGTCTGCAGAGAGAATGGAAGCAAGAGCAGAACGAAGGCAGCCATGAGGATGAAAGCACCAACGATATCAAACTCGTGGAAGTAGTGCTGGATGGATTGCCAGTAAGTTCTGCCAGAGTTGCGTGGTTTGACCACACCGAGCTTGACAGCCTTGATGTGGTAGTATTTGAACACACCAGCAAGAGGAAGAAAGACAAACGGCATCACAATGGTGAAAATACCGAAACCCCATCTCCAAGTAGCTGTTTTCAGGATGGATTCTGCAGCGAGAGAACCAGTGAAAGCGGTACAGATGAATGGGGTACTGGCGAAAGCGAAAGCGAAAGCCCGGTTTCTAAGACCGCAGGTATCAGCGATGAAAATGTTGAGGATGAGGTAGATGGCATCGTATCCAATCCAGTAAAGAACGTAACCCGCAGCGTAAGCGTGCTGGTTGTTGCAGGCGGCTAAGATGATCAATCCGAGCAAGTAGACACCAACGAAGACAACGAATCCCTCGGCACGTCCCCAGATGTTGAGCATTTTACCAATTGGAAGCTTCAAAACACCACCAATGATAGTTGCCAAAATGTTAGCAGTACTAACGGCAGGGGCAGCAATGAAACTGGCATAAGCGTAAGGCATCATGGTAGTTCCGATGGTTTGTTGCAGAGCAAGCATGAAGTAACACACCCAAATCCAGGCGTAGGTGGTGTAGACAGCCCATTTAGGCCAGACCATCAAAGCACCTTCAATGGCTTGGACACCCTCTGGAGCGTCGGAGCTAACCTCGCTAATGGAATCGTCAAGAGCAGCCTCCTTGCCTTCTGGGTCGGAGACGACCACCTTCTCCTCCTCAGGAGCAATAACGGCCGACGAAATGTCGTCTAATCTTCTGTTTCTGAGCTTCTGGAAAACACTCATGATGAAAAAGATAAAATTTTGGATGCAGACAGCCAGTTTATAAAATATTTGGGCCTCATGCATGAATTTATTTTTTTTTTTTTCATCCCGTACTGGCTTCCTCTATGAAGAGATGCATTGTTATTCATGGAGAGTTAATATTTATTGCATGCAGAAAGAAAAGTTTTCACTCGAGGCGACTAACCTGTAGGGGGAATGATGGTGATCGAGGTTATCAACCTGTGATTCGATAAATAATCAATTGCAATTGCGGACTTCAACGCAACAAATCGGGGGCTGAACGCCAAATTTTTCGCTATAACCGGTATAACCGACTCGTAATTTATTTTTGTCCCCTATAGTGTAGGAGGGCTGGTAACAAAAGGCATTGTACAAAATTCGCTAACGGGTTTTTCCAGCGTCTCGAATTCGTAATTGCTGGGCTTTGATCACGGCGATTCCAACCAATAATTATCGTAATGATCGCAAAACAAACATCCGGAAATAGACTACGGGCTTTGAAGCTTCTATTGTTTCCAAACCCTATGTACAGCGAAATATGCAGCGAACACTTTTTTTTGTGGATCGTTTTATAAAATGCTCAACTTTTCAACGTCTGCTATTGTCAGGTTTTCACCGGTCTTCTCGAAGTGGTCTAGGCATACCTTCTTAAGAAGCTTAGTGTTTTTCCGGAGACTCAATTCGCGCTCCGTCCATTCTTTTGGCACTAAACCGTTCTCATAACCTATGCATGACTTGATATCCCGAAGAAGTGCTCCTGTATATTCAACGTCGTCGGGGAACGTTAGGTCGTGGAACGCCGGAGTGTCCCCCCGTAGTCTAAGTAATTGTTTTTCTTCTTCTTGCATCTGCTCATAGCTCGGAAGCGATAATTTTTGCCGCAGAATTTTGGCCAGCCAGGAGCCTTGTATTTCTGCGGCATGGAACGGAAGCACGTACCGGGAAATTGCAATAAATGCAAGCCCAGGGTACTCATAACTCCAACAATGTTTGTAGAGGCCGTGTATGCGGGCCCCAGATGTAATCAAAGGCTTGTTAGTGGCGTTTATAAGCTTGAAGAACGGCAGCGAACGCAAGTAACCTGTTGCGAAGATAATAAGCTTCACATTCTCCAAACGGCTCCCGTCCACAAAGACAACCGACTCGGATTCAGGGTCCAAAAAGTCGATATCAGGCAAATCAATCACAAGCTCGCTAGTACCTCCCGGAACCTTACTCGGCGATCTGGCACTCTTATAAATGTTTTTCCCGGTAAATCTTGCATATTGGTAGCAAATATCTATACCGGACGCAGAATTACCAATCACAAGGATATTTCCGTCGATATGGGCAATATTACGAGGATGGCGATAAGTTTTCGAGTGCACGATCGTGTTTGGCTTCAATTTGTTCCATTCGTTGAGCCCTGAAAGTGCAGGTATGAACGGAAGATCATAGACTCCAATTGCAACCAACACGGCATCGAACTCTTCAATTGTATCCGGGAACTCTGTCGACTCCTTGACACCCCCTTCAGTCTCAGCACAGACCTTACGAGAACGAACAATCCACGATTTCGAGCCTTTCTGGACATCCACCACCCGAGTCTCAAACCGGTAATACGATTTCAGATCTTCCCCATACTTGCTTATGTAATCGAGAACCACAGTTCTGTGAGGGAAAAGTGGTGTCCCTTCGGGGAAGCTGTGTCCGTTCAACTCCATCAGAGGATAAGGCGTGTTGGTTTGAAGGTCGTCATACACTGCGTTTGGCCAAACAAAACCGTCCTTTGTGGTGACCGGATTGACGATAGTGGAGGGATCTATTGAGGGGATCTCCAGGACTTGGTCTGCGAGCTCATTGTGGTTCCATATCCCACCAAACGAGTCCCGCTGCTCGAACCCCACCAGACGGTCAAACCCACCTTCTTTTATCAATGCTCTTAATGTGGCAAGTCCACAGGCTCCTCCTCCGATGATGCAGGCAGAATTATAACTCATGCACAGGTACGTATAACTAACTGTGGGAAGATTCAGATAAATAAATCTAAGTGAAAAAATTAAAAAAAAATTATAACTTTATTTCGTTAGCAATGGCTGTGATTAACCAACCTGCTTCGCAGATCCGCTTGACCAATGTCTCGCTCGTGCGAATGAAGAAAGGTAAGAAGCGGTTCGAGATTGCATGTTATCAAAACAAGGTCCAGGACTACCGTGCTGGAGTGGAAAAAGATCTTGATGAGGTTCTACAAATCCCGCAAGTGTTTATCAACGTTTCCAAAGGTCAAGTTGCATCCAACGACGACCTCAAAAAGTCATTTGGCTCAACTAATACTGATGAGATTATTCTTGAGATCTTAAAGAAAGGAGAAATCCAGTTGAGCGAGAGAGAACGTTCTGCTCAAAACGAAAAGCTCCATAACGAGATCCTTACCATCATCTCTACCAAGTGCATCAACCCAAAAACAAAAAAGAGATATCCTCCAACCATGATCGATAAAGCTTTGAAGGAACTCAAGTTCAACATGGTGAATGCCAAGACCGCAAAAGTGAAGGCTTTGGAGGCAATCAAGCTGTTAGTAGAAAAACAGATTATTCCGATAGTAAGAGCACAGATGAAGCTCCGTATCACACTCAGTAACAAAGAGTACACCAAGATAGAGAAAACTTTCAAAGAGAAGCTGGTGTCCTCCGTCGAACACGAAGAAAAGATCGACTCCGAAACAGAACTCGTTTGTTTGGTGGAGCCCGAGTTTTACAAGGAGATCTCGGAATCGATCAAATCCAAGAAAGGATCGGTGGAAATTCTGGATATGGCGGTGATCTCAGAAGGAAATCAGAATCTATGATTCGAATATTTATATCTACATGGTGGCAAGAAAGTTGAGGATGTTTTCCCCTACCACCTCTATTAAGTCATCTGACCACAAGACGTCAAGGTGACTATAATGCTTCACTTTCTGGTACCCAAACCGTCCTCGCATGGCAGGCTCGTTCAACTCTAAATGGCGCACCAACAAGTTTCCGTCAACTAGCTTGTCCTTCTCTCCAATGACTAAATACATCGGAGGCGTTTTGTAACTAAACCATTCCCGCTCTCTTTTAAAAATAGATTCTCCCATCTGGAAACCCTGTCCATGGTGCTTACTGAGCCACCACTTCATCAGTTTCGCCGAGATGTAGACTGGAGAGAAAATAAAGTGGTACGGTCTAAGTTCTCTGTCCCAAAGATGATCGTTCCAGTCAAACAAAAAACTGAACATTGCATAGCTCAAAAATCCAAATGCGGGAGAGCCAACTATTATGTTTCTGAGCTTCATCATAATTGGCATGAACGAGTTGAGTCCAAAAAACGCATCGTAAACGGAATTAGGTAGCAACTTGATGAACTGAATAAATATTTTCGAATTAAGCAACGATCCACCAAATATCGCTGGCGCCAGCATGATACACTTGTCGATCTTGTCCTCATATCCTATTTCAAACTCACCAGAGAGAAACATGGCCATCTGGGCAGTTCCTTGCGAATGGCCAATCAAGCTGACTTTTTCCTTCTTTGTGATATGCAGTATTTCGTCCACCATGGCGGTAAGATCGTATTTTGCCATCTCAGTGAGGTCCCAGTCCCACATCTCGGGATCATTAGAACTTAAAAATGTGTGTTGAGGGTCAAACCCGCATCTGTTGTTTCCCAGCCAGACGTCATAGCCATTTCGAATTAGTAAATAACTCAAGCTCTTATAACCACTCGTAACAAAAGACCCGGATGACTGAAGTAGTCCGTGTAAAAGCAGAATCGGAGGGCCGGTAGGTGCAGTGTTGGGATCCACCATCCGCTGTAAACTAATAACAAAGCCGTCTTTGGTGACAATACGGTATTCATATAGCTCTAATCCCATCAGTTGGACATAATATCGGAGTTTGGTTAGTCTTTGGGGGTTATCAACGGGATAAGCGCGCTTTGGAGATGGCTTGTACACATGATCTCTCTTGACGTGAACTCTGTAAAAGTGTGATACAAGCGCACAAGCCATCAATATCGTTAGAAAAAAGAAACAACATATGTAAGATGTCACTATAGTGATATATCCCAATAGCAGCCTATGAGGCTTGCGCTCTAGCGGCTCGGGTTCCTCTTCGTTGGCAAGAAGAGATCGAGAAGACATAAAAATAAACTTTATAGCACTGCCGTGAATAATGAAGGGGAGTCAACAAATCGCTTGCCTGCTGTGTATGGAAGCCTTTAACGAATAATCCCTTTTGTGCATATGATTATTAAAGGGTACTGTTATCGGCATGTTGCAACTTCGCTCTATCACGCACGAATCAATTGTGGGTTGAACTAAGGGTTGCTAATCGAAGTTCGCTTGACAGTCCACAAAATCAGTAAGTTATACACACACACCCTATATGTGAAAAAGAAACTTACGTCTGCTTCTGGGTCCCGTGACTTAGGATCTGGCGCTAAACTAATGTTAAGTAAATCCCCACTCAAAAAAAAATCCTTCCCCATCAACGGGCTCCCCTTTCACTAGGGGAGACAGCCGTGAGCAATTGCGCACAATGGTTCCTATGCTCATTCCCTATCAAGGCAATTCCTATCAACGGTTCAGGTTTCTGAGGTTTAGTACAATTAATCGCAAGATTAGGCGGAACGGGCCAGGCGGCTCCTCGCAAGGGGGCAGCGCGTTCGTACTCATCATACGGGCGAGATCTGAATTGGTTGCACGGGCAATGGGTATCTGGTGTATTTGAGATGTCATTGGCACAGGACAGGTAGGTGTCCGCGTTTTCCCAATCACTCAATGGATCCAGATACGGAACTGGCGTGAGTAGTTGTGCTGCTCGCAGATATAAGCGACTCTGAAATAGGAGCACCGTATGTTTGCACATGTGGGGGATGAAGCCACCCTCATCATGATATGGCTATGGCTTCTGGGTCCCATGATCCCGGAATTTTTGACAATCGACCATCCACCAGCGTCTGAGTATTCGGGAAGAAGTATGAAAAGAAAATCCCCGATCGAATAACACCGTATCCTCGGGGTGATGACCTAGGGTATACTCAGATTAGGTCAAAACGGTCAG